AGCCACGCGGCGAGGGGCGCCAGCGCCGCGCGCGTCCACGCGGCCGCCTCGACGCGCCGCACGACGGCGACCTGGCACGCGAGCACGAGGAGCTGCGCCGGCGCGCTGTGCAGCCACGCCTCGAGCGCCTCGCGCGTCACCTCGCCGGGGAGCGCGTCGAGCACGTGGGGCAGGCGCGCCGCGAGCGTGCGCGGCACCGCCGCCTCGAGCGCCTGCAGCCACTCGTGCACCGGCGCGCCGTCGCGCACGTCGATGGGCGCGTCGAGGTCGAGCAGCTCGCCGGCGGTCGTCTCGATGCGCACGATGCGCCGCCCGTCCACATGCACCTGCGCGAGGCCGGCCCACATCTGCACGAGGTGGGCGCGCACCTGGCGCACGTCGCTGCCGAGGCCGAGCATCTCGAGCAGGTCGTCGTCGCCGACAAAGTAGAAGCGGGGGAAGCGCGCGCGCTCCTTCTCCAGGTACTCGCCGAGCGCCGTCTGCAGGCGGTGCAGCAGCTCGGCGAGGCGCTCGAGCGTCGGCCGCACGCCGGGCAGGTGGACCACGTCGAGCACGTGCGGCGCCTTGGCCGCCTTCTTGAGCAGCGCGAGGAACTCGCTGCTGATGCTCTGGAAGCGCGCGGCCTCGACGGGCAGCAGGTGCGCGAGGTCGGCGCGCGCGCCGAGCACGCCGTGCAGGTACACCCACTGCCGCTGCACGTTCGCCCACAGCTCGAACGTCGTCTGGATCCGCGCGACGCGCTCCTCCCAGAGCCGCGCCTCCTCCTCGAACACGCGGTAGTGCGCGCTCGCGGCCATCGCGCGCAGCCCGCCCGCGTGCTCGGCGGCGAGCGCGCGGAGCGCATCAAAGCCCTTCAGCAGGAGGCACTCGTGGCGGTAGTCGACCCACTCGAGCACGTACGCGCTCCACGCCTCGCGCACCTGCTGCAGGTACACGTCCAGCGCGTACTCGCCCTGCGCCGCGGCGACCGCCGCGGCGATCACGCCGTGGTGCGCGTGCCAGTCGAGCGCCCACACGTCGCCGAGCGTGTGCTGGCTCGCGATGTACCGCGGCGCATGCAGCTGCGCATGCAGCGCGCGCCAGTGCCGCGGCTGGAACGCGTCGGAGCGCAGATCGCCGAGCAGGCCCATGTGCTGCAGGAGGAACTGCAGCTCGCCGTGCACCGCCTCGTACGCGGCGTACGTGCGCATGCGGCTCGGCAGCGCGCGGCACGCGCGCACGAGCGCCTCGAGTCGCTGCCGCACCGCGCGCACCTGCACGGCACTCCACGGCGTCGCCTTCAGCTCGTCGACGCCCGCCCAGATCGTCGCGAGCGCGCCCCACACGCCGCGCAGGCTCGCGAGCTCGTCGGCCATGCGCGGCAGCGCCGCCGCCTGCTCGAGCGCCTCCAGCCCAAACGCCTCGCGCGCCTCGCCGAGGCGCTGCACATCCGCCTGCAGCGCCGCGTGCCGCGCCGCGTACGCATCGAGCACGCGCAGCGCCTCGTCGATCGGCACCGCGCCCGAGACCGGCCGCGCCTGCGCCCACGCAGCGAGCAGCTCGTCCGTCTGGGCCGCCACCGCGCGCGTCTCGCCCGCGAGGCGCCGCTGCAGCGCCTCGCGCTGCGCGTCCATCGCGCTCTGCTTGTGCGCGAGAAGCTCACGCAGCGCCGACAGCTCGCCCTGCAGCTGCTCGGCGTGCAGCCAGTCGGGCGGCAGCCGCACGCGCTGCGCGAGCAGCGCCGCCTGCGCCGCCGCGAACGCGTCCACGTCCGGCGCCCACGCGCGCACCGCCTGCGTCAGCGACGCGACGCGCGTCACCAGCGCCACCACATGCGCCGTCGAGGTATGCACCGCACTCAGCGGCTCCAGCGCCGTGCGCCCCGCGCGCATCGACGCCGCGTGCGCGCGCGCCGACGCGCCGAGGCGCCGCACACACTGCGCATGCACCGCGGCCTCCCACGCGTCCCACCGCGCGGCGAGACGCGCCTGCGCAGGCGCCGCGTCCATGTGCACGAGACGCAGCGTGCGCCGCGGCGGCGCGTCCAGGAACGCCCGCACCGCGCGCAGCTGCGCCAGCCACGGCAGCCACGCCCGCGCATCGTCCACGCCCTCGACCGCCGCGTCCGGCTCCACGTCCCACAGCACCTGTAGCTCGCGCCACTGCGCCGCATGCGCCGCCGCCTCGCCCAGCGCCGCCTGGATCCGCCGGAGCGGCGCCTGCAGCACGGCCGGCGGGACCCGCGCCTGCAGGTCCGCGTGCGTAGGCACCGCGCGCGCGCGCCACTCGGCCGCGCGCGCAGACACGTGCAGACGCGGCGGCGCGCACACGGTAGCGATGCAGGCGCCCAGCGCGGCGAACCAGTGCGCCTGCGCCGCCTCGAGCGGCGGCTCGAGATGCAGCGCCTGCGCGCGCAGCACGACCTGCACGACCGGCACGTCCGCGCCCGGCGCATCGAGCTGCGCGGCCAGCGCCCCGAGCGCCTCTTCCAGCCGGCGCAGCAGCACCTGGTCGACGCGCGCGCGCAGCGCGCGCACCCACCGGGGCGCGTTCACGAGGCCCGCGAGCGGGAGCGCGTCGATGCTCTGCTGCAGCGCCTGCAGCGGCGCGCGGACGGCCTCGGGCGTGTACGCACACGTCTGCAGCGCCGCGCACTGCTGCTCGACACGCCGCTCGAGCTCGTGGACGTGCGCGGCCTGCGCAGCGAGGTGCTGCACGGCGCGCACGAGCGCGTCGACCGGCTCGGCCTGCGCGCCATCCACGAAACGCTCCCAGCGACACGCCGCGACCTGCTGCACACCGGCGTGCACGTGCAGCAGCGCGCGCGCCAGCAGCGGCGCGGTGAACGGGTGCGCGGCCACGTCGGCACGCACCTTGTCGAACGTGTGCAGCGCGCCGTCGAGCGCGAGCGCGTACGGCGCCATGCGCCGCACATCATGCGCCGTGCTCGCGAGCGCCTGGGGAATCGTCAGGCCCAGCATCGTGAGCGCGTGCGCCTCGTCGGCGAGCGCAAACGCATGCGCTTCAAAGCTCGCACGCAGCTGCGGCGCGCCATCGGGCAGGCGCACGATGCGCAGCACGCCCCCCTGCGGCAGCACGGCGCGGCGGCCCATCTCGTGCGTCCACGCCTGCACGAGCGGCCGCGCGTCGAGCTGCTGCAGGAACGCCTCGCTCTCGGCCCACAGGCGCTGGCCCTCCACATGGTCCACCCACGCCGGGCCCAGCGCGGCTTCGACGCGCTGGCGGTACACGCGCAGCTGGCGCTCCATCTCGCCGAGCCACACGACTGCGCCGACAATGTCGGGCTGGTGCCGCAGCTGCGCGGCGATGTGCGCGTCAGAGTCGCGGTAGCCCGCCTGGAACCGCACCCGGAGGGCCTCGAGATCCGCGCGCACCGACTGCAGGAGCACCGTCTGGTACTCCTGCACGGCGGCCCGCACGCGGGGACGCACGAAGAGGCGGTTGTACTGCGCGAGAATGCGGAGGCGCTCGCGTGCGGTGCGCGCGCGCGCGAGCCCCTGCTGCAGGCGCTCGATGAGGCGGCTCTCGACCTGCGCGACGCGCTCGTTGTACTGCGCCTCGGCGGCGCCCAGGGCCGCCTGCCCCTGCTCGCTCACGTCCAGCACGTCGATGTGCTGGAAACTGTCGAACGCGCTGCGGATCGCGTGCGCGGCCTCGCCGCTCGCGGCCTCGCCGACGTGCGCCATGTCCACGAGCTCCTCGTGTGCGCGCCGCAGGCGCTGCAGGTACGCGAGGCGCGTGCGCAGCGCCGTGTACGGCGCACTGGCCTTGATGGGCATCAGCCGGTCCGCGCGCTTGCGCATCAGGTCGCGCGCCACATACACGAGCTCCTTCGTCAGCTCGTCCCACGCGTCCATCAGCTGCTCGGCGGCGGCCGTCTGCGCCGCAAACGCCGCAGAGTCCAGACGCATCAGGGCGGTGCCGCGCAGGAGGCGCAGGAGCGTCTCGCGCGCATCGCGGCCCGCGGCGTCCACGAGCGAGAGGGCGCGGCGGACGGGGTACGTGCTCACGCGCAGCTTCTTGGCGAGCAGCACAAGCACGCCGTCCTGCGCGTCGCGCAGGGCCTCCAGCGTCGACGCGGTCAGGAGCGCGTCGAGCGGCAGGTCCCTCAGCAGCACATGGTAGCCGCGCACTTTTTCGAGGCAGTCCTTCAGGCCCGTGTCCGCCAGGAAGGACACGGTCGCATGGAAGCGCTTCGCGTGCTTGAGCACGTCCAGCGTGAGCGCGACGCTCGGCGCATGCAGCTGCTGCTCCAGCGCCTCGAGCGCGCCCTCCAGCGCGACCCAGAAGCGCAGCTCCTGCAGCGCGGTGCCCGCGGCCGGGTCGCGGTCCAGCTTCGTCACCGTCTGCACCGCGCGCACCCAGCCGTTCATGTCCGCGTGCAGCTGGTTGATGAAGGCGTCGTCCTCGAGCAGCGAGGGTGGCTGAATCGCGTCGAGCCCCGCCGCCCCGTCGTGCGCCGCCGCCTCGATCGCCGGGTGCACGCGGAGCACGACCTGCGGGATCTCCACGTCCTGCTGCACCTGCCGCAGGCTCGCTTCCAGCTCCGCGAGCTTGCGGCGCACGAGCGGCCCTCCGGCCTTGCCGTCGTCGTCTCGGTCGTCGGCGCGCCCCTCGGCGTACGCATCGAGCCACGGCGCCACGACGCTGTGCACCACCGTCTCGAGCGCCTCGTACGGCGTCTCGAGCAGGACGGTATCGTCGTCGCTGCGGCGCGCAAAGTGCGCGCCTTGCAGCGACACGACACGCAGCTGCGCCGGCAGCGGCGCCTGCAGATCGAGAACGGCCTGCCGCTTGACGAGCGCAAGGGCAGACGCACGCACGGGCGTCCACGTCGGCTGGCGCGCAAGGGCGAGCGCGGTCGGCGCCTCGCCTGCGCCGGCCGCGGACGCCACCTCGTCGACAAAGAGGCACGGCACGCCGGCCTCGTGCGCCAGCGCGGCGGTGGCGTCTTGCGCGGCCGGGCTGTCTAGGCATGCGCGGACCGTGTCCTGCGACACCGGCAGGACGACCGGGAGAAGCGTCTCCAGGTACGCGCACAGCGCGCCGGTCCCTGCCTCGGACGCCATGCGGAGCGCCGGAACGTACGCGCGGCGCGACGCCGAGGATGATCACGTGCATAGACCGACTACGGATAGCGCAGGCTGTTCTGCAGCCGCCGCTTGCGCTCCTCGAGCTCCTGGCGCTGCTGGTCGAGCGCGGCGCGCATCTGGCGGTGGCGCGCATACAGCTCTTCTTCGCTCTGCTTGAGCTTGGCCTCCTTCTCTGCGACCTTGCGCTGGAACACAGCCTTCATATCGCTCTCCATCTTGGCGAGCTTCGCCTCGTGCACGGCCCGTGCCTCGGCCTGCTTCGCCGACGGGTTCGTGTCGCTGAACACCGAGTTGTCCTGCGTCACGCCGAGCGCCTGCAGCCGGCGCGTGCGGAAGAGCTCGTAGCGCTCCTCGGTCAGCTCACGCAGGTCCTCCATGTTCGAGCGGATGAGCATCTGGCGCAGCTTGACAAAGTCGCAGTGCTCCTCGTTGTCCACCTCGACCGTGCCCCAGGGGTACGCGCGGCCGCGCACGACGCGGCCATCGGCCGTCTTGACCAAGTCGTTCGAGCCGACGATCGCGAACGGCAGGCGGCTCTGGATCTCCTGCGCCTCCGCGACCAGCTCCTCGTCATCGCCAGGGTGCATCGGCAGGCGCACAATGTCGATGCCGTGGAACTCGAGGTCGCGCAGGATGCGCTGCTTGAACTGCAGCAGCTCGCTCTCCGCGACCGTGTCCGACTTGGCGATGATCGGGATCACGCTCACGAGCTTGTGCAGGCGCGACAGGAACTCGAGGTCAATCGGGCGCAGCGCGTGGCCCGTCGGCTGGATAAAGTACAGCAGCGCATGCACGCGGTTGTCCACAATCTTGGAGCGCGCCACGCGGTTCTCCTGCTCCAGGTACGCCTCGAAGCGCGCCTCGATCGTCTGCAGAATCGGGTCCCACGCATTCTCGTTGTTCACAAAGTCGCCAAACCCTGGCGTGTCGATGAGGTTCAGGCGCAGGCGCACGTCGTTCTCCTCGATGTCGGCGCTGATCGTCTCAATGCCGACCGTCTGCGCCGACTCGCGACCGAAGTCCCGCTCCTCGCCGCTCGGCACCAGGTTGGTGTTGAAGAGCGTGTTGATCAGCGTCGACTTGCCCAGGCCCGTCTCACCTGCCCGTCAGTCTAAACAACCTACCGACGACCATCGCCGTGAACGAAAAGCCCCGGCGCACCGCAAGACGGTGCACCTGGTTCGGCAGATTCGCGAACCCGACATAGTTCGTGAGCTTCTTGCGCGGAATCACCGGCGCCGCCGTAGGAGGCACAGTCGATGCCATCGTGGAAGCAACGGACCGCCCTGGGCGCCGGCGCCGCGCCTCGACGCGTTTATCACGTGATCCACACGTGCGAGCGTCGCTGCTGCCGCCGCCGCGGCCTTGCGCCGCTCTGCCAGGATGAAGCTCACGGCGGAGCTGCTCGCGCAGTGCGACTCGAGCCTCAATCCCCTCAAAGACCGGGAATTGGACCTGCGGGGCCTCAAGATTCCCGAGATTGAGAACCTCGGTGCCTCGCGCGACCAGAACGACCTGATCGACCTGACTGACAACGATATCCGCTTCCTCGGCAACTTTCCGCGCATGACGCGCCTCACGCACCTGATCCTCTCGAACAACCTCGTGTCGCGCATTGAGCCTCTGCTGCACAAGCAGCTGCCCTTCCTCGAGACGCTCGTGCTGACCAACAACCAGGTGGCCGACTACCGGCAGCTCGTGTCGCTGCGGCGCCTGCGGCGCCTCCGCTACCTGAGCCTCATGGGCAACCCCATCGCGCGCGAGAAGCACTACCGCGCCTTTCTTGTGTGGCGCCTCCCCGACCTGCGCGTCCTCGACTACCGCCGCATTACCGAGCGCGAGCGCGCCGTTGCGCGGCAGCTCATGGAGTCCGACGACGGCCGGCCATCTGCGCTCGCGCGCGAGCTGTCCGGCACGGCGCAGGCGGCGCGGGCAGCGGCGAGCGCGCCGGACGAGCGGCCGGCCAGCACACCCGGCCGGCGCATGACGCCGCAGGAGCGTGCGGCCCTGGCCGAGGCGATCGAAAAGAGCGAGAGCATGGAAGAGATCCGCAAGCTCGAGGAGCAGCTAAAACTGGGCTACCTGCCCGGCACGTCGAGCCATCCGTAATACCCTGTAGTTGTACCTCGCCCGCCGGCGGCGGCGGCGATCCACGTGACGCACACTCGTGTCGCGAGCGCGGCGCGACACGTTGCTCCGCGGCAGCATGCGAGAGGACGCCCCTTCCACCGGCGACTGGAGTGCGGAGGCCTGCTGCACGGTGGCACGGGAGCTCACGTCGTCGCTCGATCTCGGTGAGCACCGCGAGGCGATCGTCGATACGATCGTCTGGATCCACTTTGGCGCCGCGGAGCTGGGCCACCGCGTGCGCGCCTGGACCGAGCGGCAGTACCACCCGTCCCCGCAGCATCTTCTGGCCATGCTCGCGTCGTTCCGCGACATTGTGCGCGAGCAGCGCGAGCAGCTGGAGGACCAGCAGCGCTTCCGCCTCGTCGGCCTGGACAAGCTGCACGAGACCGTGGAGCAGGTGGCAAAGCTGCAGGTGTCGCTCTCGAGCAAGCAGGAGCGCCTGCACCGCGCGAACGAGGAAGCCAACGACCGGCTGCAGCGCATGGTCGAGCAGCAGCAGGCCGCCGAGCAGAAGCGCGAGTCGTCGCTCGCCTTCCAGGCGGAGCTCCAGGCACAGGAGGCGGCCGTCGCACAGCAGCGCGATGCCGTGCTGCAGGAGCTCGCCGAGGCCGAGCCGGCCGTGCTCGACGCCCAGGCCGCCGTGAGCAACATCAAGAAGCAGCACCTCAGCGAGGTGCGCTCCATGACGAACCCGCCCGCGCCCGTCAAGCTTGCGATGGAGTCGGTGTGCATGCTGCTGGGCCACCACATCGACGGCTGGAAGAGCGTACAGAGCCTGATCCGCCGCGACGACTTTATTGCCAGTGTGGTGCACCTCGACACGGCTGCGGCGGTGCCGCGCGCGCTGCGCGAGCGCCTGCGGCGCGAGTACCTGCAGCGCCCCGAGTACAACTACGAGACGATCCACCGCGCAAGCACGGCGTGCGGCCCCCTCGCGCGCTGGGTCCTTGCGCAGGTGCACTATGCAGACATTCTCGACCGCGTCGCGCCGCTGCGTGGCCAGGTCGACTCGCTCGAGGCGCACGCCGCCCAGACCAAGGCGCAGGCCGCCGAAGCGGAGGCCACGCTCGCCGCGCTGGAGGACAGCATCGCCACGTACAAGCGCGAGTACGCGGCGCTGATCAGCGAGACGCAGTCGCTGACGCATGAGATGGAGCTGGTACAGGCGCGCGTCGCCCGCAGCGTGCGGCTTTTGGACGGCCTGAGTGCCGAGCGCACGCGCTGGGAGCGTGGCCGCGAGGCGTTCGAGGCGCAGGTACGCACCGTCTCGGGCGACGCACTGCTGTGCGCCGCCATGATCGCGTACGCCGGCTTCTTCGACCAGGCCTGCCGCGAGACCCTGTGGCGCGCGTGGCGGGCGCGCCTCGACGAGCGCGGCGTGCCGGTGCGCACCCCGCTCTCGCTCGCCGACTCGCTCGCGACCGCGGACGAGCGCGCCGCGTGGCACGACATGGGCCTGCCGCCCGACCTGCTCAGCACGGAAAACGCGATTATGCTGCAGCGCTGCACGCGCGTCCCGCTGCTCATTGACCCGTCGGGCCGCTCGACCGCGTTTGTGCAGGCACTGTACGCGGACGCCCAGCCGGCCGTCTCGTCGTTCCTCGATGGCAGCTTTGTGCAGCTGCTCGAGCGGGCGCTGCGCTTCGGCACGCCGCTGATCCTCACGGACGCGGAGCACTGGGACCCGGTGATCCTACCCGTCCTCCACGGCGAGCGCCGCCGCACGGGCGGGCGCACCCTGGTGCGTGTGGGCACCGTGGACGTCGACTGGGCCCCGACGTTCCGCCTCGTGCTGGCGACGCGGCACGCCGGCCTCGTGCTTCCGGCGTCGGTGTTTGCGCGCGTGCAAGTGATCAACTTCACGATGACCCCCAAGAGCTTGCAGGCGCAGGTCCTCGCGCAGGTGCTGCAGGCTGAGCGCCCCGACGTGGCGGCCCAGCGCCGCGACTTGCAGGCGCTGCAGAGCGAGTACGAGCGGCGCCTGTGGCGCCTCGAGCAGTCGCTCCTTGCCGCGCTGAACGAGGCGCAGGGCCGGCTCTTGGACGACGAGCGCGTCGTTGGCACGCTCGAGACGCTCAAGAGCGAGGCGGACGACGTCACGAGCAAGATGCAGTCCGCCGCCTCGCTCATGCAGTCCGTCGAGGCGGGTCTGCAGGCGTATGCGCCGCTCGCCGAGGCGTTCAGCGCGCTGTACTTCTTGCTCGAGCGGCTCCGCGAGCTACACCCGTTCTATGCGTTCCACATGCCCTTTTATCAGCGCGTGCTCACCGACGTGCTTGCCATGCCGCGCGATGCCGCGTCGGGCGAGGCGCGGCAGGCGCAGCTGTACCATACATTTTTCATGGCCCTGTATGAGCGCACGGCGCCGTCGCTGCTGCATGCGGACCGCCTCGTATGGGCCCTCGCGCTGACGCAGATCTACTGCCGCACCGGACCTCGCGCGGGGGCGCTGGACGGCGCCGACGCCGCGGCGCTCCTCGCCGGCGCCGAGACGCCGACCGTCTTGCGCCTCGAGCACGCGCGGCGTACGGACCCCGCGGCCTGGGACGCCTGGTGCGCGCAGGCAGCGCCCGAGTCGGCACAGGCGCCGCTGCCACTACCGCCGCTTGCCCAGGCGACGGACGATGCGCTGCGCCAGGCGCTGGCCGTGCGCCAATGGCGCCCGGACCGCCTAGAGACGGCGCTGGCGCGGGTCGTGCATGAGGTCATGGACACGCCGCTGCTGGACCGCCCGCTCCAGGCCCTGCGCGACATGGCGCGCCAGACGCCCAGTGCGACGCCGCTCGCCCTGTGCAGCGTGGCCGGGTACGACGCGTCCATGCGCGTGGAGTCGTGTGCGGCCGCCGTCGGCGTCGCGTGCGCGCAAGTCGCGCTGGGCGCGCCCGAGGCGCTCGCGCAGGCCGACGCGGCTCTCGCGTCCGCGGCGCGCGGGGGCACGTGGGTGCTCATCAAGAACGGGCACCTGGCGCCGGCGTGGCTCGCGACGCTGGCGACGCGTCTCGGCGCGCTCGCGCCGCATGAGCCGTGTCGCGTATGGATCACGTGTGAGCTCAGTCCCTCGGTGCCGACCGCGTTTGTGCATGCGGCGCAGGTCGTGATGCACGAGCCGCCTGCCGGCTTCAAGGCCGCGCTGCTCGATGCGCTCGACGTGCTCGAGGAGCGCCAGGCGCCGCCTGGCGTGCCGGAGCGTGAGCGCCTCTACTTTCTCGTGGCCGTGCTGCATGCGGTGGTGTTGGAGCGTGTGCGCCACACGCCCATCGGCTGGTCGCATGCGTACGAGTTTTACGATACGGACCTCGACGCGGCCTATGGCCTCGTGGACGTGTGCGTCGCCGAGGCGGCCGGCGCGCGCGCGCACCTCAGTCCCGAGGAGGTCCCGTGGGCATCGCTGCGCATGCTCCTCGCGCAGGCCGTGTACGGAGGCAAGATGGACAGTGCCGCGGACCGCGCGATGCTCGACGCGCTCCTCGCGCATCTATTCACGCCCGCAGCGTTTGAGGACGACTTTGTCGTGGCGCCGCATGCGACGCAGCCGTGCATCGCGCCCGACGGCGTGCACCGCCGCGACCTGGTCGCATGGGCGCAGCAGCTCCCCGAGCCGCAGCCGGTGCACTGGCTCCTCCTCGCGCCGGCGGCCCAGCAGGCCACGGCCGCGCACCGCGCGCAGTCCGTGCTGCAGCGCCTTCTGCAGCTCCAGCAGTCAGAGCGGCGGGAAGAGGCACTCTCCGTCGAGGCGCTGCACGTGCCGGCCGCTGCCGAGCCACACGCGCCGCCCGCTGTGTGGATCGACGAGCTGCTCGCGCTCGTGCCGGCGGACGGCCCGCCGACGCGGGAGCTGCACGACGCCTCGCCGCTCGACCGTTTCTGGGCGCGTGAGCAGGCGACGGCGCACGCGGTGCTTGCACGCGTACGCGCGGACCTGACGCAGGTGGGTGATCTGCTAGCGCAGCGTGCGCCGCGCACGAACGAGCTCGTGGCACTGCACGATGTGCTAGCGCACGATCGCGTGCCGCCTGCCTGGCAGCAGCACGCTGTGCCACGCGGCGCGACGCTGCGCGCCTGGCTGACCGACTTGCGCGACTGCGCCGAGCATGCGTGCCAGGCCAGCGAGCCGATTGTGCTGGGCCGCCTCTGGGCCGCGCCCGCCTTTCTCACCGCGACGCGGCAGTGCATCGCGCGGCGCACGGGCGCGAGCCTCGAGCAGCTGCATCTCCACCTGACGCTGGGCGCCGCGCCTGCGCCGCCTGGGGCGTGGCGCCTGGGCGCGCTGTGGCTCGATGGCGCGGCGCTCGAGCCCGCGCTGACGTGGAACGACGGCGCGCCGACCTTGGTGCCCGAGAGCAGCTGGACGTGGACGACCGAGGCGCCCGCCGACGATGCTCAGCACATGCGCGTGCCTGTATTTCTGGACCGCGAGCGGCAGGTGCCGCTCCTACACGCGTCGGTGCCGCTGGCCCCGGGCGTATCGGCGGCGCTCGCGACGCTGCGCGCGGTGGCCATCCGCGTTACGTAGGCCCGTCGCTGATACCCTCCCAGACCACATGTACGCCGCGTGCCTCCCACAGCCGCGTTGCATGCGCGCAGGCGATGCGCCAACTCGTATCGCGCCCGTTTTTCGGCACGGCGCACCATCGCACATGCTCGAGGTGGGGCCATGTCGGCGCGCGCGCGACGATCGGCGCGCACGCCACATGCGAGGTCACTGTGAGCGTGCGTGCCTGGGCCCACAGACGGAACTGGAGGCATGTCGGCAGCCGCGCCCAGGTGTGGGGGTGGACGAGCCACTGCAAGCGCACGTCCTTGGGCCGTGCCGCGTGCTCGAGGCGCCCGACCTGACTCTCGCACAGGCGCCACGCCGTGCTGGCATCGACCGACAGCGTCTCGAGATGCGGGACCGCGAGGAACACCTGCTCGAGGGCAAGTGGGCTTGCGGCGCCGCACGACGATAAGTGCAGAGACCGGATGTGGGTGCCGAGATGCGGCGCATCCACCACGAGCGTGCGGCGAAATAGATGCAGCATCCCGGCGTTGGAGATGTACACGTCGCGGTATGCGGCAGCCTGTAGTGCGTGCAACGTTGCCCTCGAGAGGCACAGCACGCGCCCCAAGCTATCGTGGGGCGCGAGCCGCATCGGCGACGGCCGTGCGACCTGCAGGAGCACACGCCACTGGAGCTCGAGGGGGAGGGTATGAAGTGCTACCGTCCATGACGGTGCCGTCGCAGGCATCGCGCAGCGCGCATACCATACCCGGCGCGCTAGCGCGCCCAGCAGCACGCTGAGCAGCGCCGCGCCTACGCACTGCGCCAGCAACCCCACGGCCATGCGCGTCGGATGGGGTAGTGGAGGTGGTGGGTTCCTATTACACGTGATACAGATACAACCGGGCCTGGGCCCTAGGACGAGCCGGCGTCGGCGGCTGGCGGCGCATCGTGGCTGGCCGGTCTCGACGCCTGTTGTGCGGGCGCTTCCGCTGTGGCGGGCGCCTCCGCTGTGGCGGGCGCCTCGGCGTCCTTGCCCAGCGCGTCTGCGCGATCCGCCTCTCGTTTGGCCTTTTCGGCCAATTCCTGATCGCGCTTCTTGATCTCCTCTGTCGTGAGGAAGCGGCCACCCGGCCCGCGCGGGCGGCGCATCGCGTGCTTGTGACGTGACTCGTGAAGGTACGGCTTCTTGGTCTCTTCGTCCAGCGCGAGCAGACCAGAGAGCCATTCTTCACTAATGTGGGCGGGGCTGCCCGTCTTCTCTTCTTCCCGTTGCTTGATCGCCATGACAAACATCTGGCGGCGTTTTTCCTCCATGCGCGCGCGAGCCATGCGCCGCTTCAGGATGCGCTGGTACTGCTTCGCATTGACGTACAGCGGCTCTTCGTCGGAGTTGGGCGCGTGCGAGCGCAGCGGCGGCAGGCCCTTCGGCACAGCGTCCATCGGATGCGCCTGGGCGGACGGGAGTCCAGGCATATCGAGACGCAGCCCATGAGGCGGCGGCGCCAGACCCGAGCGGTAGTAGGCTGCAGGGTCGGCCATGGGAAATGAGTGCTGCCGCGGCGGCCCACCCTCGTGGCCCAGGAACCAGGACGTCAGATCGCCCGACGGCGCACCCGAGTCAGGCGTGTCTGGCATGAGCTCGCCGAGGCCATCGCCATGCGCGCTGCCTTCCATATCGCGGCGCGGTGGCATCCCGCGTCCCATCATGGACGCGCGGCCCATGGGACCTGAGGCGGCACGGAAGCGCGCCTGTGCATCCTCAAACGGAACCGGGCTTGTTCGTCGCCGCTTCGGCAGAGGGCGCGCGCCGCGCGCATTGTCGTCCATCATCATAGCGCGGCCTGCGGCATCTGCGGGGCGGTACATGTTCGCCGAGAAGCTGCGCCCACTGCCGGGCATCGGTGGCAGGCCCGTGCCGAGGGACGATGCATAGCCGTTGCCGCCCTGCTGGAGAACGTCTGCTTCATCCTGCGCGGCTTCGTGGGCACCGCCTGCCGGCGACTGCCGTGAGGGGACAGCCCATCCCGACATGTTCGGTGTGCCGCGCATCGGGAGGCCGCCAGCACCGAGGGATGCACTGGCTTGTCCGTATGAGCCCACGTCCGGCACATCGAGTGGAACTGTGAACGAGTTGGGGGCTTGCTGAATGTAAAAGGCGTCCAGAGCTGGGGCTGCACCTGCATTCATATCGTTGCTATCATTACCGACATGTGGCGCAGAATGATTCAGATAGGGCACCAAATGGTTATTCGAGTATTCACTGCCTTGTGGGCGCTGCGAAGGCGAGCCGGACGGCTGCGGGGGACCGCCATAGAAAGCAGCGTGCGGGTTCTGCATGGTAAGAGGGCCAGACATACCTGAGCATAGTACATCGCGTTCGACTCGCCCTGACGACCGAGGCCTGACCCAAGGATGGGCCCTAGGTGGAATCCTGACCCCAAGCTGGCGTTGGAACCGACCGGAGCACCACTTGGCCCTTCTGACATGCTGCCTACCATGTGTCAATCTAGGCTAGACGATTCAACCAAGCAACGACCGCAGCGACCGTGGATCGTGGAAACTATCCAATCCGAGTTTCCCGCGCATGCGACAGCGCATCGGCCCACCCACGTCCTCAGCTGCGGTATTCTTACTAATCATGACAAATCTACGAGTGCGCAGCATTGTACTTCTGCACGACACTGGCGTGAGACGCGTCGACGTACCCTGAAATCTGGCGGAACAGCCACAGGCGCGTGCTCTGCTCGGTGATCGTGAGCAGGGGGCCCAGCACGCCACCGCGAAGCACGAGGGAGATCCCGTCGTTTTCGAGTCTGTGGTTAGATAGCTTGACGTACGAGATCGTACTAAGGTCCGACCAGAGGACTTCCCATAGCACCTTGAGGCCCATCATGCGGATGTAGAGGATCCGCGACTCGGTGAGCATGATCGCAATGTCGCCCTGCTGGGTATTCGTGTTCACATGCGCCACATATTCATCGTGGACCAGGCGCCCCTGGTCCACGCTCTGCAGCCACATTTGGCCAAGCGCCTCGCGCTCCGAGAAGGGGCGGATGATGTGGTCCGACGCAATATACCGCGGCAGCCGCACGCGGTCGATATGGTTCTGCTCAAACACGAGCGTGGTGTTGCGCAGGCCCTCGGTGATACTGCTCGCCATGTCAAAGAAGCCAGCCGCCGGCTTGGTCACAGCACCAATGAGACCTCGGCCCATACCCTGCACAAAGCCAGCAGCCCCATTTTCCTCAGCGCCCTCCAGCGGACGCAGCGCCAAGCCTTCGATGCCGCTCGCAACACTCGTGAAGAGCGAGTTGGCACCGACCGTGATGCCATAGATCGCGTGCTTCGGCTTGTTCCTGAAGTGCGTCATGCGCCAACGAGTCTGGAATTCGCGGTCCATAGTCACTGCCGCAAATCCCTTGCTAATCGAGCCGGTGAGCTTCGACACACTGTCCGTAACACCAAACACGGTCTTCTTCACAAAGTTACTCGCACCACGCGCGATACCAAAGCCCAACTCGCGGTTGCCATGCATGACAAGACCATAGTAGGGCTCGTAGAAGATGTCCGCCACACCCGAACTGACGTTGTTGAACAGGCCGACGGGGTTGCCCAAAAAGTTGGCCGAGCCTAGGATGCGGTGCACTTGGAACAAAAAGTCCTGGCCGTAGTGGTATGCCATGCGGTTGAGCAACACCGTCTTGGACAATCGCACGTTCTCAATCACAAGCGCATTGAGGCGCACAGGCGCCTCATTCACGTTGCCCAGCACCATGGTAAGCATTGTGAAGAGGTACGAGAAGAGCGTGCGTGAGTTTTCTGCATCGTCCAGGCCCTCGTGCGAAGTCGACATAAACGACAGGTTCAGCGCCACGGGCTGCAAGTGCAAAATCTCAATGTAGATCTGGTCGGTGGCCACAGACTGCACGGGTGGCTCAAGCAGCTCGTGCTCGTGCTCGATGTACATACCCGCTTCGTACTGCCTCTCGGACATTCGACTGCTCGACTTGAAAAAGTCGTACACGGCATACAAAAAGTCTTCGTCCAACTCGGCCGTCAGCTCCTGCAGCAGCACCGAGGCATACTTAATGTGGCGCACACCGTGTGTGTCGTCCTTGCTGCGAATGACGGAGGCCTGCAGTGTCGGATGGATGTCGAGCTCCTTGCCGTCTTTCGGCACCACCGTCGGATACAGCACGATCGGGAAGATGCTGCCCACCGTCTGATTGTCGATCTGGATCCACTTGCAGATCACATTCACCGCGGTCGTGACCTGCGACTCGCTGTAGCTTAGCTCCAAGCCGCGGAACGTCATGTACGCAATCTCACGCACTCGGCTGGAGATGAGGGAAACGCCCACACCAGCGAGCTCGACGCGGAACGAAAACAGGATCGATGTATCCACGTTGACCGCTTCAAAGCCCAACTCGCGCGTCGACGACGGCAGTGCATCCTGCGTGGGCTTGAAGTTGCTCTTCGACTCAGAGTAGTCTGAGATGACGATCGTTTGCACGTCATTGTCCGCACGCACATCAAGGGACACCACGCCAGCCGGCGCGTCGCCGCGCGCGGCAAACCGGAACGGCAGCAGCGAGCCAATTTCCAGTATGTTGATGACATGCTCGCTGCCATTGATCTCCAGACGGATGTACTTGTCTGTATCGGCGGGGAAGTCCCACGCATACTTCATCTTGCTGCGGGGCTGCAACACATACCGCTTGGCCTCCATGTCGCGCGCGCTGCGCTGCGACGCGTTTAGGCTCGATGTCTGTGTGAATGTGACACGCTGCTTCGTCTCGTTGCGCAGCACAAACGGCCAGCGACCTTCTGCGTTGAGGATGCGGATAAAGATCGTCGGGCCACTCACTTGCACATCCACGAGACACAGACTTTGGGGTCGGCCCTTGTGCTCGATGCGCAAAAAGACAACACCGACGTTGTCGATACTGAACGGCGCCGTCCAGTTCTGGCTGTCGTCGCAAGCCAGCACAGCCTTCTTTGCGGACGCCACATGCAGCCAAAGCAACGGCTGACTCTCGCCTGGCCCAATACGGACCGGCTCGCTGCCTGAGGCCTCGGCAATCCGAATGCCCACCGGTAGGGTATTGTGCACCAGGTACCGCGGCGTGAGCTTGACGACCTTGCTCAGCTTGAACTTGGCCAGACCGTCCTGCACGTCGAGACCGAGCTGCAGCTCACGGTCGCCCTGCGCCGACGGAATGGCGACACCCACTTCGGACCCAATGACATCAAACGACAGCGGCTTGGACCAGCTGGAGTCGCCCACACGCAGGACGAACCGGTTGTTGCGTTCCCGCACGCGGCTCAACAAAAATGGCGGACTGTGTTCGGGCGCCTCAACGGGTGGCGCGTCGGCTTCCTGTCCAGCCACCATCTTGGAGTGGCCCGCCCAGGGGCGTGATTTGATCGTCACAGGCAAATGACTCAGGTTGAGGAAGATGTACGGCGCGTAGATCTGCACTTTAAATGCACCGCCCGAGTCGGGGTACGTGTGGTAGTGTAGGCGCAGCTCCAGCTTCAAGTTCGACTTGTCAGCGAGTGGCAGCACATGCTCGACCTGGAAGTCATCGGGGTTGTCCGAAGCAATAATCGCAAACTCACTGGGCGAGTAGACTGAGTCTTGAAGTTCAATACTCAGCAGGAGCAGGTGTTGCAGCGCCACGACATGCACGGGTGAGACAGCGCCACGTCGGAGGAAGCTGGACCAGTTCAAGTTGAGGTTCTTGTCAAAGAGGCGGTAGTGCACATCATACGGCAGCAAATTCTCAATCTCCACCGGCGCGCGCACTGCGAGCGTCAGTCGGGGATAGTTGCGGCTCGACGCATGCTGTGCGTCATGGATCGCAAACGCCTGGAACTGGAAGGGCGCCTCGCTCTCGTCATGCGAGTCACACGTGAATGTATTCGACGCATTCGCCATGAGGTCCTGCCAGCCCACCGTCTCGCGCGACCATGTATAGCCGAGCCCCGGATCAGGGCGCACCTTGAGGCGCTTGTCGTAGGCAGCACAAATCGGCAGCGACGAGCTTGTACCGGGTTCGATTCGCAGTATGGTGTCTCCCACCTGCCCGTGGGCCTCGACCAAACCAACCTCGAAGGGGATCAGTGCCCGGTTATCCACTCGGAACGTTGATTGGAACGTGATATGCTTGACATTGTTCACCAACTTGACTTCACACAGCAACCGGTGGCTTACCTTGTCCAACTTCGGACGCAGGGTCATAACATACTCCCCTTCCCGCTCCACGGCGATGTGCCGCACACGGTCCCAAGGCATACCTTCCATATGCACCGAAAGACGGTTGTAGCCCGGTTCGGAAACATTCTCACGGATCGAACGCCAATCACTAAAAGACCAAGGCATGTCCCGGCCATTCTCGAGGGTCTGAGGCGCATTACGTCCGGCACTCGGTATGGAGGACTCAGACCAGAGGCTGATCGGATATCCAGTGCGGTTGCGAATGAGGAACGGTGCGAGGTGCCGCGCATCCTCCCGCAGACGATTGTCCTCGTCCAGGTACGACAGCATTGTCGTGGTCGTCTCGACCATGAGCGCCGCCACATTCACTTCGAGGCAATGGGGCGATGACACTGTAAAGGTGCTGCTAGGTGGTGTCAGTATACGTTCATAGCGCAGATTCAGCTTGTATGGCTCAATGAAAGGCTCCCAGTACGAGGTGGACAGGTTAAAGTTGTTCAGGCGCAGCTGCAGCTCCATGTGCATGCGCACATCAGCTGACCAGTCCGTGACCGTCACCTTGAATGGGTCCACGTTCAGATCAAGGAGCGGCAGTGTATGCACCTCGCTGATCAACATCACTTGTACGCCTTCACACTGGATCCGCAGCTCCTCACGCGTGAAGAGCACCTGCCCATTGTCCTCAGCAGGCTGCGTCACCTTGTTCAGCACCGACGGGGAGACAAGCGCCTTTGAGTTAGCAGCCTCCTTGGGTTCCTCGCCCTTGTCGTCGCCCGACTCGTTACTCAAAGCAATTGCATTAGACACCACAGCAGTGATAAGTTCCACGTCTGAGCGCATGAGCCGCACAAACACTCGCTCCACATCCACCTCCATGCTCGTAATCTTGCCTGTCGACGTCATCTTCGAGTCCATCGATAGGGAAACGTCGAGGTTGCTCAAGAGCCGCTGACGCTCATTGGGCGCATTCATGCGCCAGACAAAAATACCGAGCTGTGTCATGGTCAATGCCAGCACAGTCTGCTGTGAAAGCACCACCTGTCGCATGAGTAGCACAATGGCTTGTGAGTCAGAGCGCTCGGGCGAGGAGAGGAGCAAGATGCGCGGCTCGATTACATTCACGCGGAAAGAGAAGCTCGACTCGGCAGAGTACGGCGCCGTAGCGTCCGCGCCGCGCTGGGCCTCCGTCTGGGCCGCAATTTCGGGAGCGCTGTCCTCTTCCGCTACCTCGGAATCGCGCGGCATACCGGCATTGACAAAGTGGATCAGTGCAAATAGAGGATCCAACGAGAAAATCAGCTTGGGACTGTCGACCGTAACCACCATCAAGGCGTGGCTCTCCGGGTCGGGTGTTCGTGTATAGTTCAATATGAATTGGCGGCCATTGTGCTCCATCTTGGGAACCAAATCGCGGAAATACGTGTCGCGGGAGCGACGCGTGTCTGTAGCCGAGAACGACTTAATATCGACTTCGAGCTCAAGACCAGACCTGGGGTCCTGGTGGTGCTTCAGCTGCACGTCATCCATTATGAACCGGAAAAGGCTTGCTTGCTCCAATGAAGCCTTGTTGGTGGCCGAGTCGTCATAGAGGTTTAAACTGATTTGCGCCAGTGAAAATTGACCCTCGATGTGGTGGGGCGCGACAGGTGACACCTCGGTCTTTGCTAGCGTCTCAGGCGGATGCACCTTCTCCAATTCGGGCGACGGGTCCGTTGCTGGGATGACCGTGCTGCAGCTGCGGAGGACGCGCATAAGCAAACAGTATTGCTGCTGCGTCAGTGTCATGCTAACGTTTGACATGGATGCGGAGAAGCGCGTTGAACGCAGCGACTCTTGGCCGTCGCTCGAAGGGGGTAATTGCTCGACCATCTTGAGCTCAACGTCCACATTGTCGAGCATACTCAGCTCATGCAGCTGTCCTTTACTTTCAATGGCCGATTCGAGATGGATCTGACGCAGACCTGCCTGAAGCGTAGACTCGAGCTTTCCCGCGTGGTTTGAAAAGTGGTTATGCGCATAAAGCTCACCGAGATGTCCCGTCATACGATTGCGACTGCTCATGTCGTGTGGAATGACAACGATCGGACTTCGAACAAGCACGTCGTACTTGGTTTGACCCTGCCTGGACTGTAGTTGCGAGGCTTGTGCAGACGCAGCGTTCTTTGCCACGTCATACACCGCCTTGAGCTTCGCAAACTTGGCAAAGTACTCAACCATGTCCGCGAACGGCTCTGCCATGTACACCAACTTAAGCGTGTTGCACCGTAACCAGATTGACGTGTCGTAGCCGGGATATTGCTCGTCACGCGCATCGAACGTCTCCATAGCAAAGTCGACAAGCTCGTCGCCTTCAATCGACAGCAGATTGGCCAAGGACGGGTCAATGCGCTGCCGCGGCTTCTCATCTCTGAGCGATAGCGAACCGATTCGCGCGGCAATTCGCATCGAGTTCTCACGAAGGAGCAAAGCAATATCAGCCGTCGAGAGCTCCAGCGAGCTTAGCAGCTCCCCATCATCGTTTAGACGCAACAAAATGGACGAGAGTTTAATCTTGATGCGCATCTTCGATGCCTTGCTAACCGCTTCTCCCTCGGGTTGAGTCACCGGTTTCTCCGGTACCGGCTCGGATTCAGCGCCGGCCGAGGTGAATGTCTGCAAGATCCAGTCATATACTGTTAGAACACTCTCCCTTGTGACCATCAAATTGATTGTCGATAGATTCACCGTGATTGAATCCTCAATGCCCTCAAACTTGTCGTGGAACTCGGGGGAGTTGGGGGACACCATGAGATATTGCACGAACACAAGGTCATGAGCTTCCTCATGCGAAACATTCTCATGCTTCTCCGTTTCAAGGCAACGAGATGTGATCATGTGCCGGAACGTCGGGTCTTGCTTGACCATGCAATCAACAAGGTCCAAGGATCCAAGACGCACATCAACCTGTAGCTTATTCTTGAATACATAAACACCCAAACGGAACTGCTGGAACACGGCTTCTGCCAGCAGCTGATCATCCTCGTTGGTCTGCGATTTGCTCACCGTTCCAGACACTTGCTCCACAAGCATTTCAAATTCAAAAATCTTTTGTTGCTCCGACAAAGCCTCTGGTGCCTGGACTTGCGGATCCTCAAATCGCTCTTCGTCATCCTCGCTATCCAAATCGTCCGCCAATAGATCCGGCTCCTCAAGCTCATCATAGTCGATCAGACGCGGCCGCCGATCGTGCTTCGGATGCGATGGTGCGTCCGGACCCGCAGCTTCTTCCCTGCTGATCGTAGGAATCGCGCTTAGGATCAACTGAAGAAGAAGTCGGTACTTCTTGTCTGAAAAGTGAATGTGCAGGAGCGGCAGTGTGCCAGTGAGCTTGCATTTGGTCAAATTTGGCGCACGAGGAAGAATCGAACTGTGCAACGTGAAAGAGAGATTGATTCGCTCAAGAAGATGCATACCTTGCACCTCAGGAGCAGAAATGCTCTTCATACACGCCTCGTATCCTTGACCCAGCACCAGTTGCACTGCCTCTAGCTTGATAAAGTAGCGATCATACATTAGCTCTTCCAGCTGATGATAGTCCTCTTCCGTATACTGACGGAAATGCTTCGCACGGATCACCTCCATGGTTTCAGGCTCAGCTAGCAGAGACCGCACAGCTAAATGACCTGCATCGAGCACCAACATATGGCAGTCTCGTGTCGTTAGGACTTCAGGGAGAATCCAAATCGGCGACTGCACATCCAGAGACACATCAATCGTTTTGTGGTTCTCAAGCGCGTTCTCAAGGCCAGCACGTGTCTCGCGCCGGATGCCTTCAAGTGTTGAGCTTGCCACATCCATCAGAGCTCCAATGACTTCGAGCTCCGTCTCTGGCGGCTGGAAGAAATGAACGATTGACTCCACGTATGAGGCATGATACACAATTTCCATGGACTGCATGCGCAGCTGCAGTGCATTATCTGCACGACCATCAAGTGGATGGTGTTCGAACTGGAGGAAGAACAGCGGAACCAGCTCATCAGACTCGTCACGGCCTTTGACACGCACAATATCACGGAATTGCGTTGCATCCGAAAGCTGTTCTTCCACATGCATGTCATCCAGCGTAACCGACAAGTCAAAGTTGTCCATCCGTGAGTTCATTTGGCCCTGTAGCTCATCAAAGACAAGTGATACAATGTTCTTCCCTGAGTTGTGATCCTGTAGGTGAAGGAAACCTGTCTTGAGTTTTGCTGTAACGTGCACAGACACAGCCTCGGGCGGCAGATCGTCGAGAGTCGGCAGGTTCGACGCACCAGTTTCTTCATCCCACTCAATGGCGTCGTACAACTCTTTGCGCTGCTCTGTATTCAGCGACGTATCACCCTTGGCCTGATTGGAACCACTGCTGCCCCAGATCCAACCGAGCCATCCACCTGATGGTGCTGGAGTCTCCTGCGTCTCCTGCTCCTGGTCCTCAGCTGCCTTCAGCTTGTTACGACGCAAATCACGCCTCGCCATTGAACGATAGAAGCGAATATCGCGGTATTCCAGCCGGCGCTCCAAGTCGCGCAGTGCCTCATCCCTGGAATTGCTGCCTGATTCATTCGCAGGCAGGGGCGGCTTGCCACCATTGGCCTTGAAAAGCTCAATGTACTTAAGACGCATATCGCGCCGCTCCTTCATAAAGGCCCACGTCCACACGCGACGGCGTTGGTGCACCTCATTAAGGATGGCCTGTGCCGCAAAGCGCAGCAGGGCTCTGGGGCGATTTTCCGCGAGTTGTGCCTCGGTGGGGCGGAAACGCTGGTATTGGGCTTGACGTCCATAGAAACTAAACAGGTTCGCCACACTCAGGCCATCACGGTATTGCTGGTCATTTAGTGTGAAACCGATTTGATCTAGGACAAGCTGTGCATCCAACTTAGGAAGCTCTTTCGTAGCTTGATGCCGCATGATGAGCTTGCCAACGCCACTCACAGGCTCCATGATGTATTGGTGCGATGGGATATCGTCCTTGGTAGGGATCAGTTCATTGAGCTTTGATTGCAGCTCTTCAGGCGAAGAGCAAGTTAAAAACTCGGCGTCCGTATTCCAGTAAATCGAAAGGGAGTCTAGGCGCGCTAATTTGTGAATACCTAACGAGGAGTTGTGCACAAAAGTGGGCTCCCAATTCTCATCTGTCGACACTGCTGAGAGCTCAGCTAGTGTGATACCCATAGTGAATGGGTGTAGAGGATCGGACAAACAGTCTTCATACCGAATATGGACATTGCGCACCGTCACTTGCACGTTGTCGACAATGCGCGTCACGAGCGAGCTGATGAACGACTCCGTCTTCTCAGAGTCTTCTTTAGTATCAGCCATTCCGGCAGATAGTAGCTCAGCCTGTGCAAGCTTCTGCTGCTTGACTGCTTGACAGCGCTCGTCCTCCTGCTCTTCGTCAACAGCCACAGAGGCGTCCCGGGGCATAGCAAGTAAAGACACGTTTTCCACAAGCACGCGCACTGGCTTTCCCTTCAGGTTTGACCAGGGAATCGATAATGTGAGTTGTCCCAGGTACCCTTCCTTTACATCAATGGGCAGACGTAGCTTATCGAGGGCCGAGCGCTTCAAGCGCAAGTTCCTGAGCTTCACATCACCACTCCATATCCCCACATTGAGCTGATTAGTATTGAGGCCATCCACATATGCCGCCAAAAAGCGATTGAGGATCGTGGCCAGCACACCCTCCAACATGACGGAGTCGTGCTAGGGCTGAGCTGGGTGGCAATGAAAGCCTGGTCCACTCAGCCGAGCGCGGACCAGCAGCGAGATTTATTGGAACCAGATTTGTGACATAAGCAACACACCAGGCCCAGCCATAGGTCCTGTCCTACAAAGCTAAGACGACTTGGGCGCCTGCTCGAACAGATCACCCTCTTCCTCCATAGGAAGGTCTACTTCTTCGCGCACACGATTTTGGGCCTCAATCAGGGCCAAACGTCGCTCATTCAGCACAAACTTGATACGTGCCATCGACTTGCGGACACGATGGTGGCGGTATTTTAGGCTAGAGCCGAGCATTTGAGCCGAACCCTCGGCATTGTGGCGCTTGATCTCCTCCCAACTTGTCGCAAGTCGATTCCGCTCCATCAGCAAGACATACCATAGAGTGTGAAGATCTGCGCTGCTTTTCCGGCGAAGTTCAGGGGCCAGCCATGCACGCGACGAGTAATCGTGAGAGAGGTCCGACTCAGCGACGGCTTGAGGAACGGGAATAGACTCACGCTCATCAGCATGACGGCCAGAGGTCCCTTCTTTGGCAACCTCGACGGGAACCTGCTGGAAAAATTGCATCAGAGGGTGGTCGGGATAGGCCTTTGCCACGTCAAGGGGTGTTTTCGGAGCCGGTGTGCCTGCCAGGACGTGCGCCTTGGGTATCATCCTAGGTGGTCTCGGCGCCTGTGCAGACAACGCACTAGTACTTAGCGTGCGTATGCCAGCGCGCCAACCATTGTCGAGCACCGGCCGCAAGAGCGTCATAACTGGATGACCGATGCTGTCGCTCCAAGCTGGAAGACAAATCCACTGCTGACAAATCATGCATATCCTCCCCACAGGCGCTTGCGGGGAGAGCCGGAAAAAGTCCAGCCTGTACCTCACTGATCCGAGCCCAACCCTTGATAAAAATTGTATGTTGGTCCGAAGACGCTCTTCGTCCAGACATACAGGCGGGGGCTCGGCAGAGGTGTCAGAAACAACGCCGCTGATGGGTGGGAGATCGGCATCAACCTATTTCAAAACTGTGAATGACACGCTTCTGAGGCATATTCTTTTCCTGGGTCCTGGGCTTATCGCAGCCGTGGCCTATTGTGATCCAGGCAACTGGGCCACAGATATGGAAGCTGGTTCACGTTTTGGGTACAAGCTTTTGTTCACTGTGCTTCTGTCTGGCCTGTTTGCTGTGCTTCTTCAGATTCTAAGTTGCCGCCTCGGCGCCGTGACGCGCCAAGACTTGTCAGTTGCGACACGCCGTCTCGTGCTGGGCCTTCGACATGAGTCGTCCGTCCCCGACTGGGGCTCCCTGCGCACACGACTCAAGTATTGGTGCCTTCTCATGCCCTTGTATGTGATCAATGAGATTGCCATTTTGGCGACGGAGCTCGCTGAGCTTATTGGCAGTGCTATTGCGCTAAACCTGCTCTTCCCTAGCCTTCCTTTGTGGGGAGGCGTGCTTGTGACCACAGCTGATGTGTTTTTGGTTCTATTCATGTACAGGCCCTCGTCGGGAGTGCGTCTCTTCGAAATTCTGATTTCCGTTTTGGTGATTATTGTTCTAGTTTGCTTTTGCGTACTACTAGAGCGAGTGCGTCCCGACTGGGGCGAAGTTTTTCACGGCTATGTGCCCTCGCCTACCGTGGTGAGTTCCAAAGGTCTATACATATCTATTTCCATTCTCGGTGCCACAATCATGCCTCATTCACTCATTCTTGGCTCACATTTTGCCACCATTGAGCGCCTCGATGTGGACGAGGGCTCTGAAAGCGACTCCTTAATTCCGGACCAAGTGCCGAAAACGAAGCAAAGTCTCTGGAAACGCCTCATCTTGCCGCACGTCCGCGTACCTGAAATGATAGAGACAGATGCCATCCCAAAAGCTGAACCTGTTTCGTACCGCCATTTAAATCTTGTCCTTCAACATGCTTCTTGGGATATTGCTATCTGCTTGGTGGTATTTGCCATCACGATTAACAGCGCCATCCTTGTCGTTGCTTCTGCTGCGTTTTACTATGGTCATAACAACACAGGCGACAAAGTGGTGGTGGCCGATCTTTTTGAAGCATTTAATTTACTCAAGTACACCACGGGCCATGTACCAGCCATTCTCTTTGCTGTTGCTCTCTTAGCAGCGGGCCAGTCGTCTAGCATTACAGTCACCCTGGCCGGTCAGATTATCTCCGAGGGTTTCATCCATTGGCATCTCACGCCCTTCATGCGACGTTTGATAACTCGTGCTATGGCTGTGATTCCCGCGATGATTGTGGCAAGTGTGGCTGGCCGGTCTGGATTGGATCAGATGCTGGTGGCCTCCCAGGTGGCGCTCTCAATGGCACTGCCTTTTGTTAGCTTTCCGCTCCTGGTGATTACATGCTCGTCCAAACTTATGACACGCGAGCTCTCGGACCAGGCAAATGATGATGCATCTGGTACTTACACCGAGCCTAGGACTTCCTATGATACGGTGCCGCCATCTCGCTGGACGCGGGTACCAAGCCAAGTATTATCTATGAGCCGAGCAGCCATCTGGCCTAAGCGCGATCGCTACGATCCTGATACCGGAAAGTATTACTATGCTTTCCATAATGCTCCTCCAATTGCTCTGCTTGCCTGGGCTGTCTTTCTCCTTATTTGTATTGCTGATATCTTTGTGCTTGTGCAAACGCTTAGGGACCCTTCAAGCGCATAGTATACGATGCTTATTCCGGCATCTCTATTTCTTTAGTAAAGAACCATCTCACGTGCTAGATCTGCCTAAACTGATACGTTTTCCACATAAGCCGGCAGCATCGTGCATACGCTAGTGCGTTTAGCGGCGCGCCTGGGACGGCTCTTAGTCTAGCGATCCACGCTGTGCTCGCGATCGTGACTCCGCCAAAGTGTCTATCCCACCAGCTGTTCTCGCTTCTTTACCGGATAAGAATCCTTATGCGTCGCCAAAAAGGAGCCCCGTGGGTATCTCCATGTCGGACTATGACGTGTCGGTACTACCATTGATTCCTTCTGATGGTGACATTAGCAACCTTCATGACTATCTTCGTGGCTCCTCTGGTTTTTCGCCGGGCCGCAAAAGCTCACAAGGCAATTTAAACTCCAATCTTGATGGAAAAATTAGCGGATCTCGAAGTCGTGAGGCATTCTATGCTTTGAGGAATCCTAAGAAGCCTGGCAATAGAATGATGTTCAATCCATCTCCACGTTCTGCACCATCAAGTCTGTACCACTTCGGCATGCATAGAAACTTTAGCACGCCGTCCCTTCGAGGTGTAAAGTCGGTAAGCCCTGTTCCTATGAGTGATCCGAGACCTCATACTGTCACATCCCACCACACGACGCCGTCCCTCAGAGGAGCTCAAGATGATTCACAATCGACTCCCACATTGTTGCCTCGGAAGATACGAAAATCTCGCAGTGCTTCACTGTTATCTTTCCGCAAACTTGGCGGCAAAAAGGGCACGCCTGTGGCCGGTTCTGTTCCACTGCCTGACGCAGCTCGTGCTTCTCCAAGTCCGGTATCTGCACTGGGGTTGTATAGGGGCGAATCGTCACGGGCAGATAACTCCTTTTCATCTTTGGACCTGCAAGAAAGTGCTGGCAATGATAGCAGTATCATGATGTCCTTTCAAGATGATCTTTCCGGAGAAAATATTGGTGCGCCCCAGTCTATTGCGCCATTGTCTAACCCGCCTCCTTCTACTACCTCGGGATCATCAAATGAATTCCTTACCAAGTCACCAGCACCTACACCTGATGTACAGGAATCCCTAAAAATTCTGGCAGAAATAGACCAACCATGGTTCCAGCCCGCTGCCCCTCCTCCATTGCCCTCTACTTTCGCGTCTTTAGCGCCCCCCGTGTCGGAATGGCATCCTGAGCCTAAACACACCCCATCAGTCAGGTTTTCTACATCGGCGACACCCGAACCGGAACGCATTAACGAGTCGCTGTCCCAAGATGCTCCGACTACGCCTGATGGAGACAATTCATCTAACATATTGTTTCAACCCGCTGATCAAACTGGTGACAACCCAGAGCGTGCGTCTGGCACTACTGCTCCTCTGCCGTCACGGCCAAGTATGGCGCCGACGGAGTACAGTTTCGGTTCCCGATACAGTGGGATCTCATCAAGGTCTCCTCGGATTACCCGTGTTCCTTCGCTTCCTCCGGCTATCCCACATGTCACATCGCCTATAATGCAGACGGGAGCGCTGCCGAGTGACTCTGCTTTGGTTTTGCCGCATACAGAATCCATGAAAGCCAATGACTCGTCTCCCCTGAATGCATGGCTAGACAACCGGCCGCTGCCTCCATCTTCTGCATCTCAAGATTCCCAAGGGCCGGGCTCTCTCTCTCAGCCTGCCAGTTATCCTCACATTCTTTCTCCTTCGACAACAGAACCTAAATTTACATACAGCATTGTCAATGGTATCCAGCCTAAAGCGCAGCAGCGCCAAGGATCGAACAATCCTTTCAAAATACCACCGAGTACCAAGCCCTTGCCCCCCATCGAGCTGTCCAAAACTGATGGTTCATCGAGTCATGGCAATCATACTTCAGAGGAAACAGTTCATTCGGATCAATCATCTTCTGCTCTTCCCCCAGTTTTGCCAAATAGGGTCTCACCGAACTCGCCGCCCATACCCTTGTCGGTACCAGAAAGAAGCGCCGGGACTCTTCGAGACACCACTGACTTCCGCTTGTCGAACACTTCGGCATACGATTTCCAGGACTTCTCCAAGGGCGTGGAAGAAAATCCTGCAGCGTCGCCAAATCTCAAGGATCAGCTCAACGATAGGTCGAAGGTGTATGGTTCCGTCGACTGTGTGGACACGGTTAACTTGGTGCCATCACCGGCGATCCCCCGCACCGTCGAGGCACCTACCTCAGAGAAAGAACCGCAGGGTTTCAAGAATGACGTGGAGGACTCTATATGTCAACGATTGAAAGAATTCCAATCCCAACAACAAGCCTTGCGTGGCACTATTGAAACATCCCGCGCAGAAATCTTGCAGCTCCGCGAAAAGATTCGCGCTTTCCGTGCCGAGCTGGACGAAGAAGTGTTGGTGTATCCTCCAACCGAGCCTTTGAACTTGTCTATCTACGAACCAACCGATCGAGAACCATCTCGTGACGATCGTCTACGGGATAGTTTGCTCTCCATGGATGATCTAGATCGTCGACTGACCTTTATGCTGGAGAGCCATGGTCTCAGAGATACATATCCATACACATAGCACCCCTAGTCTGAAATTCAAAAGTAACCTGTGACCAGGCGTGTGCACATTTTCTGGAGGTCCCCAATTCTAAGACCCCCAACACATGCACGCCTATGCAGTCGGGCACCTACATTTTGTCAGCCGCAAGGAGCACCTAATTTTCAACCAGTGGCGGAACGCGCAATCTACGCCCGATGCGCGTTTTTCAGAAGGATACATTCGGAACGCGTTCTATAGGAACAACCCCTATGACATACTGCAAAAGTAACACGCTGGCAGCTTCGGATAGCTCTCGTTGGTGTCACTGTCAAAAAGGTCCATCGGAGTCCCCGGAACAGGCCCTAGTTGGTCTAGGCAACAAATTGTGGCGTTGTCTTGACACTTGCGCACCCTCAATTAGGGTTCTTTCGCTGTGCGTACACGCGTCTTGTTTCACTCTGGAACAGCGTCCCGCGTTTCCCACTCAGAACTTCCATCTCTGGTCGAATTCGGTCTCGGAGCGCCAACTAACAGACCTTATTCTCTTTCTTTTATCCGCTGGTTCGGTATCTTGCTGGTTTCTGATAGCATCTCAAGTGAGCGCCAACATCTTGTGATCTAGCAGCCTAGCATCTCTATCTATACAACATCGTAACAACTTCTATATTATGTCTACTGAATCTCGCATCCGTGACGAATCCCCCAGTCTCTCGGTCGTTGGTATCGGTCTCCGACTACCAGGGGCCCGAGACAAAAAAGAATACTTTGAACTTCTTAAGGAAGGCCGCTGTGCCATCGGCCGTGTGCCCAGTGATCGCTGGAACGCTGATGCCATGACGCAGTTGGGTGGTGTTCCTGGAAAGGTTGTCACTGACCAGGGTGGCTTTGTCGACCCTCACTCTGAGATCGACTCGCTTGAATTTGGTATCTCGCCTGCCGAAGCCAAGAGCCTTGACCCACATCAATTGATGCTGGTTGAGTGCGTTTTCCAGGCTCTCGAAGATTCAGGTGTGCATTACCGTGGTACAAACACGGGTGTCTACGTGACTGGCTCACCCGACGTGCACAATCTCGGCAATGACATGTGGAACATGGGGCCCTACAGCGCCACAGGCGCTGCCTTCTCGATGCAGGCAAACCGTTTGTCGTACTTGTTTGACCTGCGTGGTCCTTCAGTGTACCTTGACACGGCTTGCTCGTCGAGTATCACTTGTCTGCACCTTGCGCGCTCCGCCATTCTCCGCGGTGACTGTGACATGGCTGTCGTCGCTGCCGTGAACCTGATCCTTGCACCGCACGCGTCGCTTTCGTTCTCGACCCTTGGTACGCTGTCTCCGACGGGCTTGTGCCACACGTTCGATGCATCGGCTGATGGTTATTCGCGTGGTGAAGGTTGCACCGTAATTATTCTTCAACGCACCGACGATGCGATTCGTCTCGGCAGCCATATCTACTCGGAGATCACCGGTACTGCTATTAACGCCAATGGTAAAGGCAAGTCCATTACCCTGCCGGATGGCCCGCAGCAAAAAGCTGCGACCTACGCTGCGTACAGGGAAGCCCACCGTGATCCCACTGAGACTGCTTATGTTGAGTGCCACGGCACAGGTACCCCTGTCGGTGATCCTATTGAAGCCAATGCGGTCGGTGAGGTGTTTACGCCTGGCCGCGAGAAGGGCGACTACCTGCGTATTGGTTCGGCTAAGACGAATGTGGGTCACTTGGAGCCCGCGGCCGGTCTTGTTGGTTTGATTAAGAACTGCTACACCCTTGATATGGGCCTGCTGCTTCCTCACTTGCACTTCAACGAGCCGAGCCCCAAGATTCGCTGGGATGACTTTTTGATCCAGGTGCAGACCAAGACGGAGCCGCTCCCGCCTCACAAGCTGTCGAAGGACGGCAAGTTTATTGTGTCGCTTTCGTCATTTGGTTTCGGTGGTGCCAACAGTCACACTGTGATGGAGCGCGTGCCGAACAAGCAGGAGGAGGAGGTGCCCACTGTTGGCCCGAATGACCCAATGCTTGTTGCCGTTGGTGCTCTGTCGAACCGCGCTGTCACTTCACTTACTACGGCAGTGTCCGAGATGTGGTCGCAGACGAGTGACCCGCATACGGCATCGCTGCTGGCTCGTACGATGACTGAGCGTGCACGCGGTCACCCGAACGTGGCATTTGCTGTTGGCTCAACGAATGACTCGCTGGCGTTCTCTGAGACAGTTGTCGCCTCGACGCCGGATCTTAACCCCATCAAGGCATTTGTTTTCTGTGGTCAGGGCCCGCAGCACGAAGACATGGGCCGCCACTTGTACGTGCGCTTCGGCGCGTTCCGCGACTCGGTGAACAAGAGTTTCGAAATTGTTGCACGCTTCCACAAGAAGAACTTCCAGGAAGAGTACGGCTTGTTCAACCCTGAGGCCGAGGGCTCTGTGGCCAAGACTGAGTCAGGTGGCTGGACCGTTGAATGCATTGTGATTGCCATCACGATCTTCCAGATCGCTCTGTTTGACCTGTGGGTGGACCTGGGCGTGAAACCTGATGTGGTGATGGGACACTCGGTTGGTGAGATTGCCGCTATGTACGCGTCTGGTGCGTTGTCGCATGAGAAGGCTATCCGTACGGCGATTGCGCGCTCCAATGCCCTGACGCTGCTCGACACGGTTGACGGACAAATGGCCGCGCTGGGTATTGGCCGAGAGGAGGCCCAGGTGCTGATTGAGCGTATCATGAAGGAGAACAACACGGACACGGGTCTCTGGGTGTCGGCTTCGAACTCGACTAACGCTGTGTCCGTGTCTGGTAAGACCAGCCTGCTGGAAGACGTTGTGAAGGACTGTGAGGCTCGCGGCATCTTTGCGCGTCACCTGCGTGTGGGTGGGCCTTATCACTCGCCTATGGTGTCGCCGTGTGGTGAGCCCTTCTTGAAGGAAGTGTACCCCATTGTGGATGCTAGTGTGAATGTGCCGACGACTCGCTTCATTTCGACTGTTCATGGCCGCATGCACGACGTGGGCGAACGCCTTGACGCCGAGTACTGCTGGAAGAATGTCTGCCAGCCTGTTCTGTTCCGTGAGTCGATTGAGACACTGCACCAGTACCGCAAGGAGCAGGACCGTGGTTTGTTGATCATTGAGATCGCGCCACACTCGGTCCTGGGCTCGTACATGGAGGAAATTACGCAGAGTGTCGCGGCTGAGCGCACGACGATTGTGTCCTCTGCGCGCCGCCCCAACTTCAAGAAGGGCGAGACGAAGGAGACGCCTGGCGAGATCACGCAGTTCCTTACTGCGGTCGGTGGTGCAATTCAGTCCGGTGTCCGTGACCTTGTGCTCTACAAGCTCTATGGTGACAAGTTTGTTGACCGCCCGATGGGTGTGAACTCAACAATTGATGTGCCTGCGTATCCGTTCCTGCCGCTGAAGAAGACCCCGCACGAAGTGTCCTTCCCGGAGCACCTGCGTATTCGTCCGATTCAGCCACCTCTGTCGAGCCCTGTGTTCCGTATCAATGCGCAGACGCACTCTTGGACCAAAGGACACAAGATTCGTGGTACGATTGTGTTCCCAGGTGCGGGTTATGCTGAGGCTGCGCTTGAGGCTGGCGCGCGTACAATCTTCAACATGCAGATCCACCGTGCATTTGTGCTAGAGGACGAAGGTGCACCCAAGTATGCCTCGTTCAAGCTTACAGGCATCAATGGCGGCTGGGAGTTCCGCTCGTCGGGTAAGAACTCGGTGGACGACGCCGGTCTTATCTTCGACCAGCTGCATGCCAGTGGTCAGATGATGCCGGAAAGCACGCCGATGGGACCTTCTCACATTGAGGAAGTGTTTGGCCAGAACTGGCTCGACCACTTTGACATTGTCATGGACGGTGAAACATTCTACCAGCGCCTGCGCCCCAACGGTTCGATGCACACTGGTGCCTTTGGTATGATCAACGAGGTGCGTGGTTCGTCGACGCGTGAGGACGACTACATTGCGCTTGTCGATGTGCTGCCGGATCTGTGGACGCACCGCGAAAGCGAGATGATGGTATTCCACCCTGGTTTGCTTGATTCGGCGTTCTTGTGTACATGGATTCCTGCGCTGCCGTTCGACGGTTCGAAGCTGGGTGTTGATGCTTTCCTGCCGAACCACCTGGACATCCTCACCGTGCGAGGCACGCCCGAGGAGATCCGTGAGGCGAAGCAGCTTGTTCTGTATGTGCAGACGATCATTAGCAATGATGTGCACATTAAGCATAACATCCTCATGTTCGACCGCAACACGGGCAAGACCCTTGCGTTCCTCAAGGGCCTTGAGTGCACACGTATTAAGGACACCGCCAAGGAGCGCGAGGGCTACACCGAGAGCTGGGAGCCACGTGCCTTTGACTCTTCGGAGACGCCTGCGGACTGCTTGACGCTGCAGCCTGAACTCACGAAGGAGTTCCTGGCTGACATGCGTGGCAAGGACGAGACGGGCGTGGCCGAGGCTGCTTTGTCGAAGGGCCTGGTGGCTGGTACGCCCTTGCAGGACGAGCTTCTGGATCTGCAAGGCGTGAGTCTCGAGACGTTTGAGAGCATTACTACGTCGATTCAGCGCATGATTGACAACTCCCGGGCCAAGGTGCCGCGTTTTGTGTTCCGTGTGCTTGAATTGTACCCGCGTCACCGTAAGGTAAACCTGCAGCCTCTCCTTGCATGGGGCGAGAAGCGCGGAGTGTCTCTGGACTTGGTGCGCCTGAACGTGGCCGGTTCTTTGCGTGGCTCGGACGCCTTTGAGACTGGCCCGTACGATGTGATGCAGGCCATCAAGGACTTTGATCGCACGATTCCGGCGTCGTTCGATGTGATCGTTGCCTGTGATGTGCTTCGTAACTCTGTCGATGCTCAGGCAGCGATTACTGCAGTGGATGAGCTGCTGGTGCCGGGTGGCTACGCGGTGTTTGCTGAAGTAAACGCTTCGTCGCCGCTGGGCCCCATGTTCTACTCGCAAGGGGCGACTTCGCTGGAACAGCTTGGCCTGCGTCCGTATGGCCAGAGCCCCACGTTCTCGCTGGCATTCCGCCAGCGCGACACGAGCGCTTGGCCGTGTATCCCTCGTATCCCCAGTGTCGATGTGGCTACGTCTGGTCGCTTCCGCGCACTCAAGGACGATGAGCTACTCTACTACCACGAGCTGGGTACTGAGCACCTGCTGCCCGCTGCCATGAAGGAGCACTGGAAGTCGACCACGCCCGTGGGCAAGATGTGGATCATTACCGATGACACGGTCGACGGTGCCGCGGCTATGGGCATCGCTGGTACACTGACGAATGAGTTTATGACGGTGAAAGGTATCTACATTGCAGTGGACCCGTCTCTGTCACGCGCGCAACGGGACGGCCTGATTGAGCTGCTGCGCGAGCGCGAAGAAGAGGGCTCGCTTGAGATGTTTAACGTGATCCGTGATGGTCGCCTGTACGGCCGCCGCCTCGTGAAGCTGCAGTCGCTGCACCCTACTGAGTTTGTGGACCAGGACTGGGTGCTCGAGTTGATCGAGGGTCAGCCTGCCAGTGTACAGGCCGTGGCGCCCCACACGCACGCGACGCCCCTGATGGATGAGCACGACGTCAAGGTGCAGACCGATGCTGTGGCGCTGAACTTTAAGAACATTCTCTCGGCTACCGGTCTGCTGCCGGCCACTGACCGCTTGTCGGAGTTCAGTGGTATCGTTACCGAAGTCGGCAGCGGCGTTACGCGTGTGCGTGTTGGCGACCGTGTAATGGGCACGGCTGGCGATGCGCGTGAGGGTAACACGGCACTGGCATCCGAGTTTGCTGTGGCAAAGGTACCGGAGAACATGACGCCATTGGAGGCGGCCGCCTATCCGATTGCTTACGGCACGGTGTGGCATGGTCTTGTGCAGCTGGCGCAGATCAGTGAGGGTGAGACGATCCTAATCCATGCCGCTGCTGGTGGTGTGGGTCTGTGTGCCATCCAGATTGCGCAGCGCAAGGGTCTGGAGGTATTCTGCACGGTTTCTTCGCAGGAGAAGCGTGATTACCTGCACAACAACCTGGGAGTGCCGTACGAGAACATGGCGAACTCGCGCTCGATTGCCGCCTGGCAACAGGGCGGTCGCGACTGGCTGGCTAAACGCGGAAAGAAGGGCTTCGACGTGGTGCTGAACTCACTGCAGGGCGCCGCTCTGCAGGGCAGCTTCGAGGTGCTTGACTACCTGGGTCGCTTTGTGGATATCTCGAAGCGTGACCACCTGGCAGGAAACCCTATGTCGATGAGCGTGTTCTCCAAGGCGATCAACTACATCGCCGTGGAGCTTGGTCTGCTGGGTGTGCATGCGCCGCACCGCATGGCTGCGTTGCTCGACGAGATTGCCGCGGAGCATGCGCGCAAGCCGTTCAAGTGCCTGTACGGCCACAAGTTTGAGGGTCCTGAGGGTCTGGTCCAGTCGTACCAGCTGATGGAGTCAGGCAAGCACATCGGTAAGATCGTGACAGACCTGAGCGTCTCGTGCCGCCCCGGTCACAAGGAGAAGCTCTGGTGCGCCTACAAGTTGTACGATCCCCGCAAGACGTACGTGCTGGTTGGTGGCTGTGGTGGTCTGGGTCCCCGTCTGGCGCAGTTCCTCATTAACCTCGGCGCGCGTAACATTGTATTGACGGGTCGTCGTGGCCATATCAGCCGCTCGGACCGTCTGGCGCTCGAGCGTCTGGTGCGCGATCCTGCGTTCCCTCACGTCACGATTAAGATCATGGCAGCGGATGCGCTCAGTCCCGAGGCGATGAAGGACGTGTTTAACACTGCTAGGTCGCTTGGTCCGATTGCTGGTGTCTTCCTCATGTCTGTGGTCCTGCGCGATGACCAATTCATGATGATGGACCAGGAGAAGTTCGAGACGGTGATGAACTCCAAGATTGGCGCACTGAATGTGATCCGTCAGACGCTGAACATTGACGAGATTGACTTCTTGTTCCTGTTCTCGTCGACGGCTGCGCTCTTCTTCAACCCTGGTCAGGCGAACTACAACGCTGCGCAGGCGTACTTCAACCGCTTCGCGCTCGAGCGCCGCAACGTGATTTCGTACGCTGTGCCAGCCATCTCAGACATTGGTGTGTATGCACAGATGCGTGCCAAGTCGAACAATGCCGCGCTCAAGGTCATGGATGCGCTTGCGTGCACGTCGCGTGAGCTGTGTACGATGATTGCGCAGGCGATTAGCCGTCTCGTGATGGGTGGTACGAACCACCACGGCTACTTTATCCAGCCCATGGACTGGGAGATGATGCACGAGATTTCGCCTGCCAATGCTTGGAGCATCTCGCACCTGGTTGAGCACCATGACGACGACGATGACGAAGGCGACGGTGACGACGAGAATGCTGACCCCGTGGGTATTCTGCTGGGCAAGCTGCTCAACGTCGACATTTCGACAGTGGATGACACCATGTTCCTGTCGACACTGGGTCTGGACTCGCTGTCTGCGTCGAAGCTCAGTGCGATCCTGCTGGCCGAGTTTGGCTGCACTGTCACGCAGCTGCAGCTTCTCGGACCTGTCTCGGTCATGGCGCTTCGCGACATTGTCGCCGAATCGCAGACCAAGGGCGAGAGTGCTGCGGGCAGTAAGGACTCTAAGAAGGCGGTGGCGCCCAAGACAGAGGCGCCTGCGACGGCTACCTCGGACGCGGCGCCGACGAAGGTCGACACAAGTGCGATCAGCACGTTTGACTACGCGGCTGAGCCCGAGAAGCTGGATGACCTGCCTCCGTCGCTGGCAGGCCTGGTGCCGTTTGATGCGCAGGTCCTGTCGCCGGAGCGTGAGCAGCACATTTTCCTGACGGGTGCGACTGGTTACATGGGAGCCACAGTGCTCTCTGCGCTCCTTGATGCCTTCCCTAAGGCGCAAGTCACAGCGCTTGTGCGTGGCACAGAAGAGGGTGGTCTTGACCGGATCCGTGAGGTGGCTGCCCAGCGCCACTTGTCGACGGTGCAGCACATGGATCGCGTTAAGGCGGTGGTCGGTGACATGACTAAGCCGAAGCTGGGTCTGAGCCCCGCCCAGTGGGCGATTTTGGCCTCGGACATGGACTTGCTTGTGCACGCTGGTGGCAAGGCTGACCACTTGATTGGCTACCAGGGCATCTACGAGGACAACACGCTCTCGACGCGTGAGGTATTGCGCCTGGCATCTGAGCAGAAGGTCAAGGCGGTGTTGAACATTGGTTCGACCAACATGTGGCTCAGCTTCACGGAGAAGGACCGCAGCGACGAGACGGTGCGCGAGGACGTGGACCTGGACCAGTTCAAGACGGGCCTGTTCAACGGTTACTCGCAGTCCAAGTGGGTGGCCGAGAAGCTGTGTGAGCGTGCGCGCGCGCGTGGTCTGCCGGTGATCACCGTGCGTCCAGGTGTGCTGGGTGGCAATGCGCGCTCGAAGTATGTGCCGAACGAGGACAGCTTCCTGTGGCGCATGATCAACTCGTGCCAGCAGCTTGGCTATGCGCCTGAGTCGAACTCGACGGCCTTCACGGAGACGCCGGCTGACTGGTTCGCCGAAATTCTCGGTCAGTTGGTTGCCTCGCCGAAGACGTGGACCTCGGACTATGCGGCGTTCCATATCCGCAACGAGACGCCGCTGCGTGTGGAGAGCTTCCCGACGCGCGAGGGCGTGGCGCGTCCGAAGACGGTGCCGCACGACGAGTGGGTGGAGATCTTCCAACGCGAGGCGAGCAAGCCTGACACGACGAACCCGCTGGCGCCTCTGCGCCTGTTTGTCGCCAAGGGCGAGCTGGCTCACTTGCCGCACTTTGATCAGTCGCGTACACGTGAGATGCTCGGCGCCCGCTGGAACGAGTGCCCGGCATACCACATCGATCTGTAAGGGTTTAAGTTTACCGGAATGGCTGGTTGAGGCCACCAAGTGACATGCATGCAGCCCTAGTTGGCGCTATGGGTTTGCTGAAGCAAGTACGACGGTGCGACTCGATCTGCCGGCAGGCCAGTAGGGATTTCTTAGGTAGTTGGCGCATTTGGTATGTGGAACAATGGGCGCGCCGCGCCGCGCCGTGCGTGGCGTAGCGCGTGGATCACGTGATGGTCTCTTCCCACGGGCCGTCGTCGCGTCAGGGCTGGAGCGCCACTTGACAGCGAGCGGCGAGCGCGTGCGAACGAGCGAGACAGTATGTTCGGTAGTTCGTCGTTCGGCGGCTTCGGTCAGCAAAATCAGCAGGGCGTGAACAATGCGTCCCAGCCGTCAGGCACTGGCATGTTTGGCCAGCCGGCGCCCGCCGCAGGTGCGGGCACCGGCAGCATGTTTGGACAGCCAGCGGCGACCAGCGCATTTGGCACACCGGCGTTTGGACAGCCGGCGACGGGAACGGCGTTCGGTTCGTCGCAGACGCCGGCATTTGGAGCGAACAACAGCATGCAGTCTGCGCCCATGAACACTCCCTTCTCGTTTAACCAGTCGTCGACGAGCTCGTTCGGCGCCCCCAAGCCCGCGACGACAGGCTTTGGCGGCTTTGGCGCATCGACACCTAGTATGCCGGCGCAGACGGGGACGTCGTTTGGGTTTGGTGGCGCGTCCACGCCCGTGTCGCAGCCACCGACCAGCACGTTCGGCGCACCCAACACCGCCTCTACAGGCTTTGGGCAGGCGAACACGTCATTCTTCGGGCAGCCGTCGTCTGCACCTACTCCTGCATTTGGCGGATTTGGCGGTGGCATGGCCGGTGTGTCGTCGGTCACGCAGGGCTCGGCGACGGTGCCCTACGCGCCGTTCCGCGAGGACATGACGCCGAATGAGCCGAAGGCCCATGCCAAGACATTCGAAGTCCATCAGTCGCTAACCTCGATGCCCGCGTACCAAAGCATGAGCCCCGAGGAGCTGCGCCTCATGGACTACCAGCAGGGCCGCGGCAAGGGCACGGCCGGTCCTAGTGCCCTGGGCACGGCCGCTGGCAGCGCCCCGGGTACAACGTCGGCGCCGTCGTTTGGCTTTGGGGCGCAGCCGAGCTCGTTTGGCGCCCAAGCGGCGCCCAGCTCGACGCCCGGGTTCGGTCAGGCGTCCACGACGAATGCGTTCGGCCAGCCGGCATCGGGCACGGGTACCGGCCTGTTCGGCCAACCTGCGACGTCGCAGATGAACTCAGGCACCTCGCTTTTTGGAGCACAGAACAACACGGCCACCGCAGGCACAGGGGGCCTGTTCGGCCAGAACAAGCCTAGCACCTTTGGCGCCTCGACGACGACCCCTATGTTTGGCGCTCAAAACAACGCAGGAGGCACTGGCTCGGGCTCACTGTTTGGCAGCGGCTCGACGGGTGCACAGACGGCCCCGTCTAGCGGCTTCAGTTTTGGTGCGAACAATGCCAATACACCGAGTACGGGCTTTAGCTTTGGCGCCAACAACAACAATGCGACGCAGAACAACCAGTCCAAGCCACTGTTTGGCGGCTTTGGCTCGTCCACGACGCAGCCGGCGCAGCCGCCGTCCACAGGCTTCAGTTTTGGCGCCTCAACGACGCAGCCAGCGCAGCCGCCGTCGACAGGCTCGACGTTTGGCAGTGGCGGCACAGGCTTCTCATTCGGTGCTAATAACAACAACGCCCCCAAGCCCGGCGGACTCTTTGGCAACAGCAGCTCGCAGCCATCGACGGCCCCCACGTTTGGCGGCTTTGGCGCGAACAACAACACACAGGCACAGGCGAACAAGCCTGCCTTCTCGTTTGGCAGTAGCAACACCAACACTGGCACCGGCACAGGCACCGGCTTTGGTGCCCCGGCCGCGGGCGCGGCGGGTGGCTTTGGTGCATCGACCACGACGAACAATGCAGGCGGTGGCCTGTTCGGTGCCAAGCCGCCGGGCACCTCGCTCTTCGGCAACAGTGCGTCGCAGCCATCTGCGGGTAGCACCAGCACGGGCGGTTTCGGTGCGTCCAGCACGACGAACAATGCAGGCGGTGGCCTGTTCGGTGCCAAGCCGCCGGGCACCTCGCTCTTTGGCAACAATAATGCCTCGCAACCTGCAGCAGGTGGGACGTCCCTCTTTGGCAATACTGGTGCAGCGGGCGCTGCTAGCAGTGCACCCAGTACAGGCGGCGGTCTTTTCGGAAACAATACGACGAACAATGCTGCCAAGCCGGCGTTTTCTTTTGGCCAGTCGACAACGGCCGGCACAGGCACCTCGTCCGGTGGCCTCTTTGGGCAGAGCCAACCGGCCTCGGGCACGGCTCCATCGCTCTTCGGCCAAAGCCAGCCGGCGGGCGGCGCTGGCGCCAGTGGTGGGCTGTTCGGTGCCAAGCCACTAGGTGCGTCGGCGCCGGCGCCCGGTGCGTCGGTGGCGCCACCCACGCTGACGACGAACCCTTACGGTACGGACGCCCTGCTGAGCCAGGTGCCGACGACCGCCGCGAACCAATCGCCGCTGCCCTTTAACGTGGCGCCCAAGAACAAGCCTCCGCTGGTCCCGCCCTTCCGCTCCAGTCCACGCAATGCGGTGCGTGTGACCCGGCTGCGGGGCTCGACGCCCGGCCTGGACATGTCACGCAGTGTGCGGGAAGGTACGCCTGTGGATCGTACGACGCCGGTGCGGGCCGGTAGCGTCGGTCTGTTCCGCAACCCGAGCGATGCGGCGGTGCTGCCCTCGCAAGCCTTTATTCCTCGCTCGACCTCGAAGCGCCTTGTGTTGGACGCCGATACAAGTTTGACGCAATCGCCTAGCCTCCGTGCCTCCGTGCCGCGTGCGGTGACGCCGCGTGCTCGCTTCTCGCCGGCCGTGGAGAAAGTCGTGGCGGGCGGCATCGATGGCGATACGTCGTTGGTTGTGCCTACGCATGATGCGAGTGTGCTGTCGTCGACGCCTGCACCCAAGGCGAAGGCGTCGGTGGCGAGTGCCACCGAGCTGCGCCCGCCCCGCCCAGCACAAAAGGGCGACTACTTCACGGAGCCGTCGCTCGCTGCGCTGCGTTCGATGCCCTTCGACGAGCTCGCGCAGGTGAGTGACTTTGTGGTGGGCCGCGTGGGCTTTGGTCAGGTGACGTTCCTGGAGCCGGTGGACCTGACGAGTGTGCCAGACCTGAGCTTTGTCGCCGGTGGTGTGGTGCAGCTGCGTGCGAAGGAGTGCTTTGTGTATCCCCAGGAGGAGGACCTCGAATCGGACGAGCCGCTGGACGGGCTCCTTCCACACTACGTGCCGGTGCCGAAGGCGCCGCTTGGGACGGGGCTCAATGTGCCCGCGCGTGTGAGTCTGGAAGGTTGCTGGCCTGTCGACCGCGCCACGCGGGAGCCGCTGAAGGACGAGCAGCTGCCGCGCGTCAAGCAGCATATCCACAAGCTGCGCAACAAAAAGGAGACTGACTTTGTGTCGTACGATGCTGTGAGTGGCACTTGGACGTTTAATGTGCCGCACTTTTCGCGCTACGGACTCGATGACTCCGACGAAGAAATGGACGGGGCGCCAGGCGCGGACGATGACATGCACGACGAGGACGACGATGCGCCTCCGCCCATGGCTCTGGGCGAGGAGAGTGGCAGCGATGAGAGCGACATGCACGAGAGCGAACTCGGCGCGGACCGTGCAGACGACATGGAGGCTGACGTCTGGGTGCCCACCGTCCCGGCAGCTATGCCGCTGCGTCGCTCCATGACGCCAGGCGCGGCCATGCGCACGACGCCCGGCCCCGAGGCTCGCAAGGTCCAAGTGATGCGCGCGAGTTTTTTTGGGCAGGCGCCTCCGACGACAGGACCGGTCGGAGGCGTGAGCCACGGTCCATGGATGCCGCCGCCGTCCGTCCCGCCTAGCTCTGTGACAGAGGCGGAACTGATGCCTGACGCGGACGTGCTGCAGGAGGCGGAGCTTGGCGTCATCGACCCTGTGCCGCCCGCACGACCGCCTGTGCCGCTCGTACGGGTCGATGCGGAGCACACGGCCCTCGATACGAGTGCGACAGACCCTGGTCTGGCCTGGGCGCGCGCTACCCGGGCGGGCTGGGGACCACGCGGCCTGTTGGTGCACCAGGGCACGGTGGGACGTGCAACGCAAGGCGACAGCCTGACGCAGGTGCACATGGCGCCTGTGCCTGCGTACACCGACCCCGACGCCCAGGCGCAAGTGCAGGCTCTGTCGCGCCTGCTGCTGGAGCGCCAGTTGGCGCATACCGAGCGTCGCGCCGGCGAGCTCGCGCCCAGTGTCTCGTTCCGCCAGGGCACAACCTGCGCTGACATTGCGCAGCTGTATGGCGTGGACGACAAGCAGTATGCGGCACAGCTGTGGCACTTGGCCAGCGCCCTGTTCGACCCACTGGACCTGGCGCTCCCTGCCACGCCCGGCGGCGACGCACCGGACGCAGCGCTCGTGGCCCATGTGACGCAGCGCCGGCGCAAGGCAGCACTGTCTGCATGGCTGGAGCGGGCCGTGGCCGCCTCAGTCCAGGCCGAGGTCCGCGCGCATACGGCCGCGTCGCGGAGCACCGAGCAGGTGTTTGCGCTGCTGAGTGGGCACCAGGTGGAAGAGGCGGCTGAGGCGGCTATGGAATCGGGCCAGGTGCGCCTAGCCACGCTTGTGGCACAGGCCGGCGGCTCACTGGAGATGCGGGCGGACCTGCAGGAGCAGCTGGCCGTGTGGCGCTCAGAAGGTGTGGATGCAGAGGTGGACACGTCCGTGCGCCGCGTCTACGAGCTGCTGGCCGGGAACGTCACGCATGCGCAGATGAGCGACGCGCGGGGGCGACCGACGCAGACTCTCGCGATGGCCGCGGGCCTGGACTGGCGCCGTGCCCTGGGGCTGCATGTGTGGTATGGCACCGCGTGGGAGGCTCCGCTTGCAGTCAGCCTTCGCAGCTACGAAGCGGCCTGGCGCGAGTCGGACAGCACGGCAGCACCGCTGCCGCCATACCAGGCGGATGCGCAGCTGGGTCTACTGCGCAAGCGCGAGCTGATCCAGCGGCCGGGCGCGCCGCGCGATGCGCTGTTTGAGCTGCTCATGCTCCATGTGGATGCATCGTACCCCCTGGAGCATGCACTGGAGCCGCGCCACTTTGGGCGCAGTGCGCTCGACCACACTCTCCCGTGGCACCTGCTCATGTACCTTTCACGGGCGCTGGGCGTTAGGTCCCTGGACGACGCTACGGTGGGAGAGCGTTTGACGACGGCCTATGCAGCGCAACTGGAGGCGAGTGGCGAGTGGCATTGGGCCGCCTTTGTGTTGCTGCACCTGACCGACGAGGCTGTGCGCCAGCGTGCTGTGCAGGCGCTCCTCACTCGGCATGTGGCGCACCTCGACGAGCACGCCTCGTGGCTGCAAACGGAGCTGTGCTTGCCGGATACGTGGCTGTGGGCCGCGCGTGCGACGGCTAGCCACGCGCAGGGCGATTACTTTGCCGAGTACGAGCACCGCCTGCGTGCCAACGACATGTCTGGCGCCCATGCCATTGCCGTGCGATACCTAGCGGCGGAAGCATTTGTGCGCGGCGACACACAAGTGCTTATTGACCTCTTCTCACCCATGGCCGAGGCTGCGGAGGCGCCGGTGCCGGTGCCGGTGCAGGGCTGGAACGACGGTGGGCGTGTGTTCCTAGACTATGCTATGCTACCGCAAAAGCTGCCGACGCTACTAGCCCAGGCGCGCTCCGGCACGAGTTCGGCCAACGAGCGCCATGCACTGCAGCAGGCCATCCACCGTACACACGAGTTGCTTGAGCGCGTCCCGCGGCTCTACCCGGACACGACGGACCTTATGAGCACAGTGGCGCGTACCGAGATGCTCGCTGTGCTCCACAACCTCGCGCGGCTTCTGGCCAGCGAGGCAGGCGCGGCGGAACCGACGATGCACTGGACGCCGGCACACCCGCCCGAGGTCGAGCAGCTGCAGTCAGCGGCTCGCGACTTTGGCGAGGCGCTCCTGGCTGGCCTGTAACGGCACCATAGGGAGGTAGCTGTGTCCCAGCACGGGTTGGACCAATCCACGCTGCGCGAGTAGTTCGAGTCCTTCGACGACCGAAGCCAGTGGCACATACTGGAAGCGGGAGTCGGCGCGTCGCAAGCGTATGCACAGCGCTTCCGCACGCATGGCAGGCTCCTTGGCTACACGCACCCCTGGCGCGTGTGGTAGGAGGCGCAGCATTTTGCTGAGCTGCGTTGCTATTACATAGTCGCAAATCACGTACACACCATCACGCCATGCCAGCACGCTGCCCGTGTGTGTGAGATAGGTAAGTGTGTAGGACAGGAGCCGTGACACACGCTGTTCCATCGCGCCCGAGGCAGCCGACACACTCTGGCCAGAACGATGTGCCTTGTCGGAGATAACCGCATGTGCCTCGCTTTGAAAGACCCTCTCAAGGCCCGCGGACGTATAGAAAGGGACAGCTTTCATCGAGAGGCTTGTCGCAGTCGCCGTCTGTGCTAGGGTATCTTGATGCATATAGCGCCACACAAGCCGGGCAAAGCCCTTGGACGAGTGCTCGAGAGGCGGGGGTATAGGCAGTGGCGCTGCACGAGGATCACTGGTAGCCTCAGAATCCTGCCAGTCATCAGGCCGGGGGGGGACTCGTGGGGAGGGTGCAGTCTGCGCATGATCGTGGCCTGCCGGGCCAGACGATGGCGACGTGGAAGTAGGGTTAGAGGGCGCGTGCGCCGCCAATTCATCGGGAAGTGTGTCTGCACAGACAGACGCTTTGTGGATAGCTCGGAGCATATGCCGCGGCTCTTCGTTGCGATCGTCGATGCGGTCTATTGTCAGTCTTTGTTGTTACACACCTATCGCAAGGGCATGCAGCACTCGGCCACGGTGCGAGTGCACATACAAGCGAGCGAGGGTTTCGACAAGATCTCCCACTGAGAAATGGAGGCTCGAGTGGTCCAGTTGGCGGGTCGTCGCATTGTGGGTATATGGGTCACTAGGCCCTGTCTGGAGGCGATGCACATGCCATGTGGGCAATGTTTGGCGGCAATGAACATCGATCGTGCCCGAGCCATCATCCAGCGTGTATTCAGCATAGAACTCGTGTAGCTGGGCACCGACAACCGTCGCGACCACATGCACAAATATACACGGCCACCGTCCATGCAGGTACGCCGTACACGCCAACTGTTCCGACAGATAGGTCATGGGGCGCAGTTCATGGATGTGCCCGATACAGCACGGTATTGCATTCTCTGGTATACGCGCCCATTTGTACTGAGCGTAGGCCCACACCAGCTCTGCATCCGCCTTTACTACTGTTCTCATGCAAGACGCTGCCATCCACCACACATGGGTCGGTGGATGTGGAGAAGTCCCAGAGCAGATCCGCGGCGATGCACCTTGACGAGCCCCCTCCGCGATGACGTTGCTTTGCTGGACACGCGCCATCGCCTACGCGCAGCGCCCGTACTCGCATGTTTCATGGACGCCAGTGTCGCCAATCGCGACTTTGGTGCGTACCTACGCCACCAAGAAGGCGTGTGCCAACTGCGGGACGCCGAATGCCACGGCCTCGCTGCAGTGCAATAAGTGCGACACTCTCCAGCCACTGCCACCGTCTGTGGATTATTATGATGTTTTGGGTATTCCATGGGAGAGTGTGCCGCATCAAGGGTGGCAGGTCGACCAGAGCGCCCTCAAGGCCCAGTGGCGGCGCACGATGGCCTTGTCGCACCCCGATCGGCTCGTGCACAAGCCAGACAACGAACAGGAGATTGGCGCACACCAGAGTGCGATTCTCAACAAAGCCTATGAGACGCTGCGGCAACCTCTACCGCGGGTCCTCTACTTGGTGTGTATTGACGACTTACCGCAGTTGGAAAGGCAAGGCATCGAGGGCATCCCGGAGGGTACTTCCATGGCAGACCCTTCGTTGCTGATGGAGGTCATGGAGCTGCAGGAGGCCCTTGCTGATGCAGAGGACGAAGCGGCGGTCGAGCAGGTAAATGAGGCAAACCAGGAGCATATGCAGGACGTCCTTACCCAGCTTGATGAGGCATTCGCTCACACACCGCTCGATACACAGCGTGTGCAAGCATTGGCCATGCAGCTGCGATATTGGACCAACATTGCGAAGGCGATTCGCGAATGGCAACCGGGCAAGCGCCCCGAGTTGCAACATTAATATAGAGACTATTACACAGCCGCCGCGCAAATGAGCGCGATATCATCAATTTTACCTCCAGGATAGTGGATGCCATGTCGCGCAGCATCAATTTGGAAGGGACTCACTTTCTCTTCGGTCATCTGACATAGGCGTGCATACTGCATCAACGTCGATGCCACCACATTCGCAAAGTCCTGCTTCTCGTCCGCTGCTGTGGCGCCAGCTTTCTTCGTCTTCACCCAGTGCTCGCGGTGCTTGTCCTGCAACATGTCAATAAGTTGCAACAACTCGGGCCGCTGAGGAGCATCAGGCGTTAGTGACTCTTTTGGCGGGAGCTTGCAATGTACGTTGTCCAAGAACCCATCGGTCATCACGAGTACCAAATCGCCGCGCTGCAAGTCCACCTCGAGCAGCGAGGCGTCGCTGGGGTAGTTCGTCAACGACCCGGGCTGAAGCATACTCTGAGGTACTTTGGCGAGCTGGTACGGGCAGTTGAATCCGTACAGCTGAGGCGCAGAGCTGTTGACCACATACATCCGCCCCTCTGAACTGGCAGGGTCAGGACGCAAGTGCACAAAGCCCGAGTCACCCACATTGGCACACGACATGCGACCGGTCGACGTGTCCAAGCGGAGCAGACAGGCAGTCGAGCTGCCTGCCTCGATGTCAGGATTTTGGGCAACCTGATCAAAGGCATACTGCAAAATAGCCTGCGGTGTGGGCATGGTCGGGTGTCGCTCAGCAAACTGCGCCGCATAGTGCAGCAGTGCGTTAGAGTAGAGCGACGGATCCACGCCCGATTCGGTCCAGCCACCGACACCGTCAGCCACACCTAATAGGAAAGTAGACTGATCCGGTGACTTGGCGACCATCAGCGCATCCTCGCCTGCATCGCCACCCTTGAGCATTTTGCTGCGCCATAGACCGAGATCACTTTTGGGATCAATGGCACGCTCAGGGAATACAGCACGAGAAGCCTCTTTTTCGTCACTCTGGTCCTCCTCTTTCTCGCGAGGCTTAGCCGCGAAGGCGTAGGCAGTGACAATTTTCAACTTTTGGGGGTCCGCCGCCGCTGTCGCAGCGGACGGTGTGGGCGAAGGGGTGGGTGCCGAGTGCAGCGGTCGTACCGGCGCCAGGACACGAGCGATCGGCTTGGGAGCCCGCGCAACAGCGGTCGGAGCCACCATGCGCTTAAGCGTCCCCGCGGTCGCATATCCTGGGCGCCATGACCGGCTACTCGGGATCATGGTGAGTGGCGGGATGACTCGTAACGACAGACGAGTGGAGGATTTTCCTAGACCTTCCAACGTCGTCCACCTCCATTTTTTTTGCGTGCACACGCACGGTGCAAGTATGGGGAAGGCGAAAGGTGCAGGTAAAGCAGCCGCCAAGGCAGCTAAGAAGGCTAAACAAGAGAAGGTAGGCAGCTATCTGACTTATTCATGAGCTGGCTGAACGCCGTGCGTCAAAGCAAAAGAAAAAGGGAGCCAAGAAGGATGATGTGAATGATATGGACGAGGAGGATTTGGATGCATTGCTTGCCCAGTACCGCGAAGAGTGGGAGCAGCAACATGCTACGACTGAGGAGCATGTCGTATCCATTCCAAGTCGCCGAGCTAATGCTACGTACGTTTGGCATACGTGCTTACGCAGCCTCACGCCGTGTCCCTTGGGCAATGATTTGTGGATGTTCGGGGGAGAGTACTTTGACGGAGACAAGTACGTGATGAGCATGCCTGACAGCTAGGTGCATGTTCTACCAGGATCTTTTCCGCTATATTCCCGAGAAAAATGAATGGCGTTCATATTCAAGTGCGTAGCTCGAGCACTAATCGCAGGTAAAATTCAGCCAGGACCCCGCTCAGCGCACCAGATGGTTGGAACGCCCACAAGTGGGGGTCAACTTTGGTGTTTCGGTGGTGAATTTGCGAGTACCAAACAAACAAACTTTCATCACTACCGTGACGTGCGTTTTATCTCATTAACACTAGCTCTGGGTATACTCGATTGCGGAACGCGCATGGGAAAAGGTGGAGACCAAAGTGCGCCCAAGTGCTCGTAGTGGCCACCGAATGGCTATTTGGAAACACTTCCTCGTTCTATTTGGTGGATTTGTTGATACGGGCGTTCGAACAACATATCTGCAAGACCTGTGGGTGTTCGACACATTGGAATATAAGTGGAAGGAGATCAAGCAAAACGACCTTCGTCGTCCGTCGTATGTACAGACATGCTGACGCCAGGGCACGCAGTGGCTTTTCCTTTTTGCCGACCCCTGAAGGAATCGTGCTCTATGGCGGTTACTGCAAAAAGTATGTCAAAGGACAGAGAGCACAAGGTCAAGCGCTGGAGGATGCGTGGATGCTGCATATGAATGAGGACTTGACCAAAATTGAGTGGTCCAAACGCCGCAAGATTGGCTATGCGCCCAATCCTCCACGTTCAGGATGTACCATGGCCTTGTGGGGAAACCGAAGTACTGGCGTCCTGTTTGGTGGTGTCACCGATACGGAAACGGATGAGGAATCTATGGAAAGCATGTTCTGGAATGACCTCTATGGGTACCAGTTGCCTGGAAATGGGCGGTGGATTAGCTTGAATATGCGCAAGACGAAGAAGCGTGGGTCCAAATATGCAGACGCAGATGGAAGCAATGAAGATGTTGAAGAAGACCCAAATACTGCACTCCCGCTGACACGATACAATACCATGCTGGCCGTTCAGAGGAATACACTGTTCATGTGCGTTATAAAAACACTTACCAAAGCTATGGTGGTATTTACGAAAGTGAAGATGTACGTTAGGACCTTCATTCTAACATATTAGCGGGAGTACACGCTCGATGATTTTTACACCATCGACCTTTCGAAGATGAACAAGGTTGTGTGTCTGAAGGAATGCCCCATCGACAAGGTATGTTTATGTGGTTTAACACACAGCTCGAGTGGAATGAGTCTGAGGACGAAGATGACGATGAAGATGACAGGGACGATGATAGTGAAGAGAGTGACGAGGAGCTGGAACCTGAGGGTGTCGAAGATGTGCCCATGGCGGAGGAACCTGTGGAAGAGGACCTTGCTGGCGTGGCAGACATTCAGATCAACGATGAGGAAACGCTTTCGCCAGAAGAAAAGGCCCGTATAGAGCAGATGCTCGCTCTTCGTCGGGAAGCAACAAGCTTCATGGGCGTAAGCAAAGGAACGAATCGTACGGAGGAAGATATTCTGTCGACACCGGAGCCAGGTGAGGTCTTAAAAACCTTTTATACCCGCACAAAACACTATTGGGCTGCAAAAGCCTATGAAATGGGGCAGGGCGAGTCGCGAGGCAAGCAACTTCGTCGCGACGGCTTTGATGTAGGTGACACGTTACTAACCCTAGCTCGCTGAAAAACGATTCAATGAATACAAACCTATCCTTGAAGAGGTATGTTCAATGGTGCTTACTCCAGATTGAACGCATTCGGAGCGACGCGGGCTTGGATGAGGAGGAAATGTCGAATTCCCAAATGCGCCGGCCTGTCGGCCCTGGCGGCGAAAGCCGACACCGACGGTAGTGTTTCTCCACATGTTAATAGGAGCCTACAAGGCTTAAACCGGGAGACCGTTGTTCGAGGGATCCACATCGCGGGTTCGATTGACCCTGTGCCTCGTTACTGCAGCATGTCGGACAATGCGCTGCTCGACACGCTGGATCGCCTGCCCAGGGTATGTATGGTCTTTGGAGTAACTGATATGTCAGCTTCGGCAATTCGATGCATTTCCCAAAGTTGGTACTCGTGTATGCTAACCATGAGACACAGCCAATGTACCTCAAAAGGTCCTCACATGGTGGTCTTCTTACGGTTATTTTGGGCCTAGTAATGACCATCATGGCACTTGTTGAGATTCGATCATACCTATTTACAAGTCCTGAGTTTACGTTCGACGTCGACAACCATATTGGAAGTTTGATGCAGCTCAATATTGACATTACGGTTGCTTCACCTTGTAGCAGTACGTCTTTCTGCCCATACTAATGATGCAGAACTGGTCATTGATCTGCGGGATGCCACAGGTGATTTTGTACACTTCGACGAGAATGATCTCGTGAAAGATCCAACACACTTTGAATCAGAAAGGAGGCGTGCAGCTAGCAAGGGGCACCATAACCAGTTCTACAAGCTGACACATGCCCAATACCGCAACCAAAAGAAAATGCCCCGGAAGAACAAAAAGTCTGTTCGTGGTGGCCCCCGTCACAAAGATTCGGGCTTTGAAGTGGTTGACAGGTCTATCGACGGTGACAATGCACCAGCATGCCGCATCTACGGCAGTATCAAGGTAAAGAAAGTCACAGGGAATTTCCATATCAAAGCGCTTGTTCCCGTATTCATGATCCCCAATGCAGGCCTTGACAGAGATATCAATATGTCTCATATTATCCACGAGTTCAGTTTCGGCGACTACTTCCCCGATATTGCTGAGCCCCTGGATGTGAGTATGGAATTGACACATGACTGTACGTGGCATTTGCGCGACTGACTTTCTAGACGCAGCTGTATACCAGTATTTCTTATCCGTGGTTCCTACCCAATACATCTCAGGCCGACGTGTCTTGAACACGAACCAGTACAGTGTGACGGATTACAAGCGCGATCCGAAAGGACAGGCCGCCTTTCCGGGATTGTATTTCAAGTATGACATCGAGCCTATGACGATGACGGTGCGCCAACACTCCAAGCCGTTGGTCGCCTTCTTGGTGCGTATCACGAGCGTGCTGGGTGGTGTATGGGTTTGCACAAACCTCCTTTTTCGCGTGTTGTATCGCCTGAGAGTCATGTATCGGCGTTATCTGCGGGGTGCTTCCTTAAACCTTGCAAATGCAGCGACGCCCGACCCAAACCTGCACAGCACCCCTTATTTCTCGGGACCTATGGATACATCCAATACGGGGTATGACTCGTACAGTGTTTCGACCTCTCCCTTCGCGCACCCACCGGGCCAAACCACCAACTTCTAATTACTCCGCTTGAGAGAAAGGACTGTCGGTGAGCATCATAGCAGAAACGTACTTTTCGATCATTTCGAATCCATCCATCGGACTAATCAGGGTCAGATTGGTGCCACGCAGGACAGCTAGGCCCAATGACCGGCGCTGGCCAGTAGTTTCGCCATCGGCAGGGTTGTGCAACAGCTCTTCCACGTCATCCATGACAAGATTCATTAGTTGATCGTAGCCTTTCAGTACACCGACAACTATACGTAAGTTTAGATACACCGTACCTTCGCGTCCGCCAGAAAATTTCACACGAATCTGCTGGTCGACATATTTCGCCAGGTTGAGAATGGCTTCTTTTTTGGGCTTCTCTTGAGGGACATTACCTCCGCGACCAACCGTGTTACCTCGGTTACCGCCACGTCCACCACCTCGACCACCTCGGCCGTAGGTCTAGCTGTGTCAACGTCAAGTCAACGCACCCGATCCGACATGGTTGTCCTTCGTCGTGGCCTGGCTGACGGGCAAGGAGCACGAGCTGACTAATATCCACGTGTCCTGTGCATATGACTGGCGCACGGTGGTGGTACGCCGATGGAGAACGGATCCCCTAGCCCTTGCTAGCTGGACACGTGTCCAGCATGGCGACGCACGATGTGACGCAGCTTTTATCATCTGTTGGATCACCACTGGTGGATATTCCAGGAGAGGTTGTTCAGAAGAAGCTTCCGGCTTCCGCAGTTGTTCAGCTGCTAGATGCACAGATCGAAACACTTGAAACAAAGACGCAGTCTAAGCCGGCATTGGAGACTGTGACTAGTTGTACGACTGCAGAAGACTTTGTCACGGATGAGCTTCATGAGGCTTTAAAGGCTTATTCGAATGCTACCGCCCGGTACACGCATTCGTCGAGGGTAGCCGCCGTGGTATCAGATGTGACACGGGCGCTACGACATGTTGTGGCCTTGCAGCAGGCCATGGAGAAAAGTGATACGGAAAATGTCGCTACGCTCCGTATCACTGCAGAAAGAGAACTCGCAAAGATTGGAATTCAGGCTAACTTTCAACAAGGCCTGGTAACATTGGATACAGAGGAGCCCTTGGCACGCTTGGCGTCAATGGATCTGCTTGTAAGCCAATGCAAGAGTATGGCAAACCAATTTGCAAATGAAGAGAGTGAGAATTCTGCATTTTTACTGGATATTGAGGTTGCCGAAGGCGGCATCCGATGGACCACCGGGCTAGCTGACCACCCTGGTCACTCGAAACAAGTCCCCGGGACAGAGACGCAGGTAATTCAGTTGTCTCGACAGCTTCTCGAACAAGTGGTGGAGCCATTGTTGAACAGCATGACTCAATGGAAAGCTACGCAAACAAACAAAGGTCTGATTTTAGAGAAAACAACGAGCGCAGCTTCCTTGAAGGTGGGCGCGGCCGTTCCTGAACTTAAGGCCGTTCTATCGACTCTCGAACCTTTTATACCCGAACGTCCCGATCTTCGTGCTTCACTTTTGCGACGCTGTATACCGCCAATCATTGAATTAGTCAAAACGCATCTGACTTTGTGTCTGCCAGCTGTGACAAGCTTTGATGAGGTTCAAGAAAGTAAAGCCATGTTGGTGGCAGGAGCAATGGAGCTTCATCGCCATCTAGTTCAGTTGCGTTTTGTGTCGGACGTCGCTTTGCCTCGAACTAAGCCCCCTACGGGTGCCCCTGAGCCCTTGTCAGATTTACCTGCTTGGACGAAGACAGCCGATGCCATCTGTAAACAACATATGGTGGGAGCAGTACTTGATCATGTGCGGTCTATTATCGTCGATACCCATGATCGACTTTGGGACCCTGTCTCGAAGCAGGTCCCCGTTCCAACTACCATGCGTGTCCCGCTACAGCCTACAACGGAGAAGCCTTCATCCATTGTGGCTGAGAAACCGCCTCCGAACAGTACGATGCCACAGGCACCGATTTCAACGCCAAAGAACCCTCTGACAAAAGGGAAAAAGCCTACACTGGGGGTTGTCAAGATTGGTGCCAAGTTCCCAAGCACCACCGAAAAGGCGTTACCTCCAACTGTTGCACCCAAGAATGAGAAGCCTGAAGATGACTGGGAATGGGGAGATGAAGATGAGGAGTTAGCTCCTCAAAATAACAGTACTCTTAGGGAGAAGGAAGACTTGGATGATGATTGGGGGTGGGGCGATGACGATGCGGAAGTGGAACAAATTCTGAGCGAGACTATAGAGCCGCCTTCGACTCAGTATTCCCAGCAGGCAGGCTCAGCCTCCGTGGAAGAAAAATCATTAGATGCATGGGATTGGAACGAGGATGATACAGAAGGGGAGCCAGAGCCAAAGATGCCTTATAAGCCTGACATCAGCGCCACACTGCATCCGCCAGCCTCTGCTGTCCAGCCAATCTCTCACCTTTGGCAGACGTATTCCGTTTCGAAGCGCATCATTGAGATTCATGAATTAATCGCGATACAGTGGCGTCGCTTAGACGAGGACATGCAAATGCGACCGTGGACGGCGCAAGGTCTGGTGGAGTCTGTGCAGTTGTATCGTGCCTTGATGCCCATTGTCCATGGCCAAGTTCTGCAACATGTTCCCCTCCTAGGAATGCTGTTTGTGAATGATTGTGCTTTCACAGCCGTCACTCTGCGTGAGTATGCGACACGATCGAACAAGTGGGGTGCATTTCGCATGTCTTCGCGCCAGATGCTGGAGGGATCGCTGCGGGCTGAGGCGGATTTGCTTGATGACATGAGTACGCAGTGGCGAACGGCGCTTTTGGCATTCCAGGCGCAATCTCTGCACGAATGTATGGACCAGGCCGATGGGTTCTCACGTACGGATGACAATGCACGATATGAGGCCTGTGAGCGAGCGATTCTTCAAGTACAGCACCTCTTGACACATTTGGCGTCCGTGTGGCGGCCGGTGATGGCGGCCGAGACTCTGGTACAAGTCATGTGTGAGTTGGTGGATGGCCTGTTCTCTCGTATTATGCACGAGATCGAGGATTTGCAGGATATTTCAGAACCTGAAAGTATGCGCTTGGCCAAATTATGTCACATGCTTTTAGAAGCAGTGACGTCGGTGCTCGACGGGGCCGAAACGCAGGTGCCAAGTTACTTTAAGTTCGCCTATCTCCCTGACATCCTGCAAGGATCCATGGCCGATCTTGAATACTTGCTCTTTGGTAACGAAAGCGGCAGTGCTCTATGTGACTATACGCGTGAGGAGATGGTGATGCTTGTGCGAGCGCTCTTTGCAGACACGCCGAACAGGAGGCGCCTGCTTGACGGTATTCAGCGCTGGAACAGCGGCAGTCATGTATAGAAGGACGAGAATAGCAATTTTCGTAACTAAGGAAGGGGCAATCCTAATAGTTTGTACATGAGATGAACAGCTACGCAGAAGCTGCGGGGTTGTTGGCCGAGAAGATAAACAGATTGTTTGTTGCAGCGATCGCGATAGTGTCCTCCCTAGGATGGTAACTGGCATGTAGAATTTTCTTGTTAAAGTCCACGTTATTGGCGTTAATGCCCCCCGCTCCCGCACTGCGGGCGCCAGGCTTGTGTGTGGCTGCAAGCTTCTTGGACTTAAATGCAGATTTGTCCGCCTGGAGAACGACACTTGAGTCGCGCTCCCAATCGACAAGATGGAAATAATTGCTGTAACTGCCAGTCAATGCTGTTGTGCCGGTAGGCCCCCAAATGCCTTCGAATTTATCAAAAATGCAGTCATTTTCGTAAAGATCACAGAGCTTTGGGCGCAGATAATCATGTATGGGAATCGTTGCCAGAGGACGCGACTCCATATTGACGTCCCAAACTTTCAAAGTTAGGTAGTCGCGTGATAAGATATAGCGCCCATCATGGCTAAAGCGCACATCTGAGATGCTGCTGATAATTTCGCTGAAGAACGAGCGAGTAGATTGATCTTCCTCCTCTTCAAAGAGCTTCGCATGCTGGTCACAGAGGGCAGATTCACGCATGTCAGCCAGCTTGATCGTGCCTTTCGAGCTCGAATACACCAGCTCATTACAATGAATGGGATGAAACTGAGCTGCCGTGATTACTTCGGTGAGTTCTTCCATGTTCACTGGCTTTATATCAACAATGTCTAGAGTTAGAAAGTCAAACATACTGAAACTCTGGTCACTTATGCCCAAATTCCAGAGATTGATCCGCAAATCATCCGCACTAATATAGGTTTCACCATCGGAATTCACAGAGAGTGAGTTGATGTGGTAGGCATGAGCATTTGCATAGATCTTCCGTGGAACAGCTGCAACAATAGTGTCATGGTACACTAGACGAGGCAATCGCAGTAAGCGCGATTGAGCCGGTGACAATGAAGGGGTAATCAGGCCACCATGGGGGGCGCCGAGCTTCAGCAGGCTGGGATGCAAAGTGCCGTCCATTTGATGGCTCTCATGCGTCATCTTAGACATCAAGACGCTGGTGGGATCTTCTCCCGTCGCCAAACTGCCTTCTGCAACGGCATTCAGAGGTTTGTCAAAAACCTTCCAAAGCTTGATCGTTTTGTCTGCGGTGAGTCGGTTCACACATACCATTGGTGCTCAGCAACATATGGGCCGCATTTTGGCGTTTACACCAGCAGATTTGGTTGATCTTTTCCTCGATTTCAAGTGATTTGAGATAGTCGAATTCAGGCTCGTGCGACTGAAATTCAGTGTGGAACCGATATTCGCATCCTTGTTTCTGGGAGCCCGCACCAGCACCACTACGCTCAAACATGACAACACGTCCTCCTTTATCACCAGTGGCCAGGTAATCACCTGTTGGATCGAATTCAACGGTCGAAATGATATCAGCCTCAGTGATGTCTTCAATGTCACCCTTATCACCGAAGCATTGGGCAAATCGCCATGCACCCTGGGGAGACCCAGACGAACTACCGTCACGATCCATTATCCTTCACTCTCACAATCGGTGAGAAGCCCCGAGATTGTTTCTCTTGACGACCTGAGACAGCCGTCTAAAAGGCTGTATAGGTTAAAAGTGGTGAAGGGGCCTCGCGCGGATGTCTGCCCGATCACACCGCTGTATATCACGTGATACGTAACGTGCTACGTCCATGGACCGCTCCCTCTCGCACCCGCGGGAGGCTTGGATTGTATGTACCCTAAAAGTGACGTAGACAGAGAATACGTCTATATTAACGCTACATGGAATGAAGGAAGAGTGAGACGACTCGAAATGATCCCGCTCGTCAAGATGAAATCACGTTCAGAATCTCCCTGCGCGCACGGTCCATGGATGATGACAAATCAACCACACTCAGGGACAAGACCGTAGCTGTACATTTGTGTTGCGCAACGCCGAAGAAAACCATGCAAACTCAGTCTCTAGGGCTGCTTGCCGTGTCTCCGCCTGGCGGAAGCCATGCCCCTCATTTTCGTATTCCACATAGCGCACCCGTCCACCTTGAGCCTCAATGGCACGCGCCATCTGTTGACTTTGCTGTTTAGGAACCACTTTATCTTGTCCGCCCTGAAGCAAAAGCACAGGGGTCCGGATTTGATCTGCATGGAACAGTGCGCTTCTCTGATAATAGACGTCGGGTATGGCATTAGGGGGTCCTCCCATCAAAGAAGATGTATAATGCTGCTCAAACTTGTGGGTATACTCCGCCATCTCTTTTAAATGACTAATGCCATACCAGCTGGCACCAGCACAAAACACAGATGGATAGCGCACGAGAGCACACAAAACTGTCAGACCACCAGACGAACGACCATGGAGACAGATCCGGGAAGCATCCACTCGTGCATGATATTTTGAGGGCTCATTGTGAAGAAGCATGTCGTGCAACCGCTGATATACATGGATATAGAGAGAGCGAGAGGGCATCAAATTAGGAAAAAGTATCTTGAGCGAATGATTCTTGGTTTCTGACGAGGTGGCCAATACCGCATAATCCCAAACCCGGAAGGTCTGAATTCCCTCCATCATAAAAAAATCCAAGATTGTATCGCGAGGAATAAACTCGCGTTCGCAAGAAATTTCCATAAACGGTTGTGACCGAGCACCAGTCCATATTCCTCGGTGAGTCTCGAGCTGAACAGCTAGATGAGGCATGACGCGAATAGATTCGGCTTGCACACGTAAAACAATTCGATGAACAACCACCCAAATCACACCGAGAAGGCCCAGGGCCCAGGCACACGAAGCAGGCCAGCTTAGCCAGGAAAGGAGTAAGCGCGTGAAGAAGAAGACACCACTGCCAATCACCGACGCCAAAATTGTCTCCATTAAATAGGATGGAGGCTCTCGACGCATCACTGTGATGCTTCGAGAACCATCCTCACCATTGCATTCCTTCAACTCGAACTCTTTAGACATAGGAAGATCCCATGGTGGATTCACGCCGCCCAGGTAGGCAGCTGCTGCGACACAGTCACGTACATCAACATCGCCCCAATGGCCCTGTAGGCGGCGCATATATTCCAGCCCATGCCCTGTGCTTCCGCCAAAATTCACGGCACACACAGCCCATCCCCTAGTAGTCCAGTATTGTATCGCCAAATCCAGCGAGGAAGATGCGCATGCAGTTGGGCCACCGTGAACTATCATACGACAAGGTGGCAAAGAACCTGCAGGGCCAACGTACCCAGGATTTTTAGGAGCATAGAAAAGTGCATGAGAGGTAGCCGATGACCCATCGGGTAACTGAGTGGGAAAGGTGATAGGTTCCGGTACACTTATAAAGTCCTCAGAAATTAACGGGTCAGAACTGGCCCGGAGTATTTCGATATCGATCGTATACGACCCGGTGTCGTTAGGTATTAAACGGCATAAAATCAGAGCTGGTTGAGATGTAGGAGAACTAGCAATACAAACAAACTGGTCGTCATTAGCAGCACGCAGTTGAGAAAATTGTGTATAAGAAGAATGAAGAGGGATTCGTTTGCGTTCTTTTCGATCGATAAGAACCAGGGTATCTTTCCCGGATTGAGTCTCAACGTATACAGTCCACTGTTGATTCAAAGCCACTAAGCTAGAAGCGTTTAAGTTCCATAGCGGAGGTTGTACCTGCACTGTTTCTCGGTCTCCCTCAACATCACCCCCGCTCGGTACTGCGCGCGAAATGCAACATTCCTCGTTCTTAGCAGTCACGTCCACTTCGTAAATGTCCGAGGCTTGACCATTGCGTGTGAACAGTAGAGTCGCCGAGCCAGGCACCCATACAGGCTGCTGTGCCACTACATCTTTCCCGCCAGCAACAAGAACAGGCGTAGAGATGGTGATCGGATTCAAACTCTGGATGGCAGCGACCCAAAGCTTGGAGGCCCAGAATGGCATGCTAGGATGATCCCAGGTGACCCAGGCGATAAAGCGACCATCAGAAGAAAAGCGGGGATAGGCATAGAAGTCGTTCCCCTCGTGTACCTTGTACACTTGTTGTTCATGTATGCAGACTAGGCGATTGATGACAGCCGTCGCCGTATGTTCTTCTTCTACAGCCAGGACCGGAAGTGACAAGAATGGATGCGCGCCAAAGTCGGCATAACGCTTACATGAAGTTGACTCCACAAGATTCGATATAGATTGAGACGTCATGTCCACGACATCTACGCCAAAAGTTCGATCTCGTTGATAGGCATAGACAGCACGGCCATCGGCGAGAATACTAAAGGCGCCGCCGCCATATTCATGCACACAGGAGCGCACAGAATCCGTGATTGCTTCACAAATATGTGCTTGTGAAGGACTGTCAAATTTTCGGTATTCAAGGGTCGTACGTCCACGATTGTGCGGGTGAGTGATTGTATAAACTGTCGTGTTAGAACGAACGGCGACCTCATGGATCGTGGCACTATTTCGTGTGAGCAGATCACTGGTGATAGGAGACTTCCATGTGCCGTAGGTTGCTTGCGTGTGTACACCACATGTCATGAATTGAGGCGGCCAGCACTTTTGCCAAGACAATGCACGAGCCAAGCCTGTCACCAAGTGATGACGGTGTGCCATGTGGTTGGCGTGCGATAGGTTATATGCACGTGATGGTAATGCCTTACTGGAAACTCTCCGGAAATGTACCGAGGCTAGCCGTTATATATATCAAAGGCAGAGTGGCTTTGGCAATCCGTGCTTCCTAAACAATGGCCTATGTGCAAGCAAGCATGCCCGAATTGCATGCCAGACATGGTGATGAGATGCACGGCATGAGCGGTATGGGCCAAATGGGCGGTATGAGTGGCATGGGCGACATGGGCAACTCGACTAGCTCCGGCAACTCAGGTCACATGGGAGGCATGAGTGGCATGGGCGATATGGGCGGTATGAGCGATGAGCCTATGTGTTCAATGAATATGCTTGGAAACTGGAAAACTATAGGTGCCTGCTTTCTCACACGATCGTGGATGGTTTCGACCTCGGGTCAATTTGCAGGCTCCTGCATTGGTGTGGCTTTCTGGGTAATTCTTACAGAATGCATTCGCCGCTTTGCACGCGAGTATGATCGGCTTGTGATCGCTAGTGCCTTAGAGAGCATTGCTAAGAGTCAGCAAGAGTTCCCGGAAAAGTGGATTGAGAACGGCATCCACAGCAGTGGATCATCTGAGGAAGACCAGAGTTCAAAGTCCCTCCCTGCACATGCGCTAGGCATGGTATTTGGTCTTCCACCGCGGGCTCTGACGGCCCGAGGACTGCGGATCCGCCCTACCTTTGTGCAGCAGTGCGTGCGTACTCTGCTGTATGGTATTCAGTTCACCAGTGCCTACCTGATCATGCTTATTGCCATGACGTACAATGGGTACATGCTACTGTCTATCATTCTTGGCGCTATGGTAGGCTACTTTGCGACTACATGGGATACGCTTGGCAATGTGCCCGTGATGCCTGCGCGAAGCCACACTTCTGAAAAGACACCTGTAGGTGCCCGTCCGGTTACGGCGCCTGCAGTCGAGCTGGATGCTACCAACGAGAGTGCTATGATGATAGGCGAGCGGGGATTCTAGCTTGTAGGATATTAGTAATAGAGCAAATCTGTACGACGAGATCTTGACGCGTGCCTTGCCGCCACCGACGCGAGACAGACCGCGTCGCTACGACACGGATGACATCCTTGGCGGATGCATTGGGCAGCTTTGTAGCTGCTACACCGTCTGAAAGATATCAATTTTTGGAAGCGTTGGTGCGAGAGTGTCATGTTCGCGAACTTTCCGACTTGGAGTCAATGATTGTGCCGCGACTCAAAGTGGACTTTCTTCAGCGTTTGCCTAGGGAGGTGGCGCTGCATACCCTCACGTTTCTTGATGACTGCAGCTCCCTTGTTCGTGCTTCGGCTGTTAGCCAAACATGGTATCGACTGGCTACAGATGAATACATTTGGGGCTGGATGTGCGTGCGCTATGGGTACCATACTCCGCAACACCTTGACTGGCTCGTAGCGAGTTTGGTCCCAGCCTCTTCCTTGGAGATGCAAGAAAAGGATGAGAGCATGGCATTAGATGGTGTAAAAGCCCGGCGGCGGCGCTCCTTCTTTGCCGGTTCAATCGACCGGCTTCCGCCACCCGGCCAGAGCGGCACCGTGGCGTTTCGGGACTATTTCCGGTTGGCCTACTTGACAGCATGGCACTGGCAGAAGGGAGGCCGTATTCTTTCGACCTATGTGACCGAAGAGCTAGCGGATGCTGACCCAGACCCCAATCGACGCCTGGCCCTCACTTGCTGTGCTATGGACCGTGACTGGATCGTCGTGGGTTTGACGAACAGTTGCATCTATGTGTTCTCAAAGCGCACGGGTAAGCTAGCGAATGTGCTGCAGGGCCATGAAAGTGGTGTATGGTGCCTCTTGCTGGCAACGGGTACCCAACGCGGAACGCCGTACGTGATGCATAACGCCCCGCTTGGTTTGCAGCTTGCGCAGTCAGACGATAGGCCTGCAGCGATGCTCCCGCTGGTCGAACATGGTGGATTGTCTGTGCGGGATGCTGCCTATGCGGCCGAGCGCTGTCAGGCCACTGATACCGCTTGTGGCCGCACGCACGGCTGGGGCCGTACAGAGACGCTGGTCGTTAGTGCTGGCTCCGACCGGAGCCTTCGTGTATGGGATGTGGCAACGGGACACTGCATGCAAGTGCTGCATGGTCATACCTCCACGATACGATGTGCTCAAGGCATCCCCGGACAACCGTTTTTTGTGACAGGTTCCCGCGACGGCACCCTGCGTGTGTGGGATCTCGAGAGGGGCGTGGTGCGACATGTGTTGGCTGGGCACCAGCACTCAGTACGGTGCCTGGCCGTGCATGGACACCAGGTGGCGAGTGGCAGCTATGACTTCACGTGTCGCGTGTGGGATTGGACCCGGGGGCAGTGCCTTCACGTTCTCAAGGGGCACCAGCTGCAAGTGTATGCGGTGGCTTTTGATGGGACGCATGTTATCACTGGCAGCTCTGACTCAACAGTACGGGTATGGAGTGCGACGACTGGAGCGATGCTGGCCATGTTCCAAGGCTATACGCATGTGGTTGCCCACTTGCAGCTCTTCGGCGATATGTTAGCAACGGGAAGCAGTGACGGCCGCGTGCTTGTGTATTCGCTGCGGACGTTGGAATGCCTGTACCGGCTTTGTGCTCACGATAGTGGTGTCACCACCCTGCAACTGAACGACCGCTACATGGTCACGGGTGGCTCGGATGGCCTTGTCAAGTTATGGGACGTGACCACCGGGCGCTTTCTGCGATATCTGTGTGAGCCGTGTGAGACGGTGTGGTCGGTGCGCTTCGATGACGATACATGTGTGATCCTGGCCAAGCGACACGGTAAGTGCGTCGTAGAGATCATGTCGTTGCGGCCTATGTAGACTAGCCAAAGCGGAAGCTGCTCGCGCCGGGGCCATAGAAATGCGTGCTTGTGCCGCCAGGGCCCATATCAAAGTTGGCAAATTGCGCGCCAAACAAATCGGCCAGGTTGACGCCGCCCATACCACCCATACCACCCATACCACTAAAGCCACCCATGCCACCTAGATCCATGGCGTCCATATCGTCGACGCCAGAGTCATAGCGGCGGCGCTTTTGTTCGTCGGACAGTACGCTGTACGCTTCGTTGCACAACTTGAACTTTTCTTCATCGCCACCCTTGTCGGGGTGGTGCTTGAGCGATTCCCGACGGAACGCCTTTTTAACTTCGGCCCCGCTAGCCGTCTTGGGCACGCCCAAGATTTTGTAATAGCTGGTGTCAGGTGTGTATACGTACTCCTGCTTTTTGCTGCGCTTTAGGTCCACCTCTGCGCGGCGGCACTCGCGAACGAGCGCTTCGTGCTCGGCGGTGCCAACGCTTGCATCCACAGCGCGCTTAAAGTCGCGCACTGCCTCCTCATACTTCTCGCTCGAGAGGTAGGCGCGGGCACGCGTCTTGAGCGGCTTGACAAACCCTGCATCGAGCTGCAGCGCCCTTGTGCAGTCCTGGATCGACTCGTCGAAACGCGCGAGCTTGCTCAGCAATATAGCACGGTTCGAGTGGATGACTGCCTTGAACTTTTTGGCCTCACCATCGGTGTCGGCATCGGTGTCGGCGACCTGCAAGAGCTCTGCATACTTAGCGAGAGCCTCGTCAGAGCGGTTCGCCTTGAAGGCTGCGTTAGCCTCGTCCTTGAGCGTCGAAAGGGTCTTGCACTTGCGCAGAAACGTTTTGGCATCGGCGCGATCAGGGTCGGATCGCAGCGCAGCTTGCGCCTGTGTAACAGCTTTGGTCACGTCGTTGTTCGCGAGGAGCACGCGTGCACCTAGCAAGATCGCGTCCGTATCGGAGGGGTCAGAACGGTACATATCCATCGCAAGCGACTGTGCCTGGCTATACTGACCCCGCTGCAGAAGGATTATGGCCCGCAGCTCCTGCCACGCCTTGGGCGAGGAGGCGTCGGTCAGCTTCATCACGCCCTGCGCCTGGTCCAGTGCAATACTTGCGAGCAGCCAGTTTTTTTCGCGCAAGTATGCCTCGAGCGTAACGAGGTGGCGCTCCATCTGCTGTGCCAGCAGATCCACGTCCTGGGCCTGCTTCTGCTCCGCTTCCGTGCCCACCGTGCCTGAGCGCAAGGACTGCAGCGCCAAGGAGCCATCGCGCGGACGACCGACGCCAACGAGGCATTTGCTTAGGCGAATGATCGCCTTGGGTGTGGGTGCCTCGCCCTGCAGCTTTACCGCCTGCTCGGCATCTGCCAGGGCGCGCCGATAGTCACTCAGGGCCATGTACGCTGCGCAGCGGTTTAGCAGCAGCACATCGCTCTGGGGGTCGTTCGAGATCGCTTCTGTGTATGCTTGTGCGGCGTCTCGGAACTTGCCGCTCTTGAAGAGGTCGTTGCCCCGCTGCTTGGCCTCTTCCGCCGCGGACATGTCGACCGGCAAGAAGCTCTTCACGCGCGGCACGTCGCCGTACCTGTCACGTGAAGAAAAGACCTCGATCGGCGCGCCGCAGCGACTGCCGCAGAGGAGCTAGCCGGGCGAGCACGATGGTGGCAGCTGCCGAAAAGCGCGAGGCCCCCAGCGAGGACCATGCCCGAGATGCCAAGGTGTCGCGCACAGACGATGGTGAGGGTACAGGGCGCCTGGCGGTACGTGCACGTAGCTGACCGGCAGAAGCGCAAGGTGGCCATCTTCTTTGGGTACTGTGGCTCCGAGTACTCGGGCCTGCAAGTGTACGTGTCCCTGCTGACATCAGGAATCCGGGTGTGAAAACCATTGAGGGAGACATTTTCGATGCCTTTTGCCGCGCTGGTGCCGTATCCAAGGACAATGCGGTCAACCCGAACAAGGTGCAGTTGCAGCGCGCCGCCCGCACCGACCGTGGTGTGCACGCGGCCGGCAACCTGCTCACACTCAAGCTGATCCTAGAGCCGCCTCACCTGCCGGCGCAGCAGACGCTCACGGAATATGTGAATACGCTGCTGCCGCCCCAGATCCGCATCTGGGGTATGCGCCGCGTGCAAAGCGCGTTCAATGCGCGCACGAGCTGTGATTCGCGCCTTTACGAATACCTGCTTCCCACATACGTGTTTATTCCGCCCAAGCCGTTCAGTTCCATGTGGAAGATGCTGCGCCGCCTGAATACGGGCGAAGAGGAGGCGCCGATGAAAGAGGACGGTTCCCCGGTGGCGCCCTGGGAGGATGAGGCGCTTAGGGACAATACTGTGCTGAACCATCCATTCTGGCAGGCCCACGGTACGAGTGGCGACTTTGCACAGGACATGCTGGGCAAGCGGCAGTGGCGCATAGACAGGCCGGCCCTGGAGCGAGTGCGCCGCGTGTTCGACGAGTACACGGGATCCCACAACTTCCACAATTACACCGTCGGCAAAGAATTTCGCGATCGCAGTGCGCACCGCGTGATGAAGAAGCTGACGATCTCGGATCCGCGCATGATCCACGGTACCGAGTGGGTCTCGGTCCAGTTCCACGGCCAGTCGTTCATGCTGCATCAGATCCGCAAGATGATCGGTCTGCTCGTGCTGATCGGCCGCACAAATGCGCCCGTCTCGCTCGTTGCGCAGACGTACGGCCCAGCACGCATCCACGTGCCCAAGGCCCCAGGCTTGGGCCTGCTCCTCGTCGAGCCGTTCTTTGGCGGCTACAATCAGAAGGTGACGAACAACAACGAGCGTATTGACCGCGTGATTGCGCAGCGGCAAGCGTCGTCCAAGCCCCTCCCGCCTGATGCTGAGAGCGGAAGGCGCGAGCATGTTGACTACCAGGCGTTCCAAGATAAGATGGACACGTTCAAGCAGACGTTCATTTACGACCAGATCTACAAAACCGAGGAGGAGACGGCCGAGTTTGCCAAGTGGCTCAACTACCTGGACGTTTTTGTCGGCCCTGACTTTGAGTTCCTCAACCCCTCAGGCACGATCCCGACGTCGGCGATTCTCAAGGTCGGCGAGCAGCGCCGGGCGCCGGGCGGCCAGCCCAAGGCGCCTAGCACCGATACAAACGAGGCGCAAGGCGAGGCACTGCACAGCGATGAAGAAGGCGAGACACAGGGCGCAGACGATGATGCATGATCCACTAAAAGTCGCCTAGGTCTATATCAATATTGGGCACAACGGCGGAGCCTGACGGTGCCGCGGCCAGGGCAGCAGAGACCTGCGCGGCTGAAGGTTCGGCCGGCGGGGGGGCCGCCTGCTTCGCTCGTGCAGCTCGGCGCTCTGCTTCATGGATGCGCTCGCGGTCCTGTTTTCGGTTGCGCTCGTTGATCTGTGCCATGGCATGCTCGTCAAAGCGACTGGGGGCGTTGGACTGGACCGCCGCCACGGCAGCGGCTGTGGACCCCTGTCCCATTGCCTCAGCCGCTGTGCGCAGCTCGCGCTTCCGCTGGATCATGTTCTTGATGTCATTTTCGGTCAGAGGCGCACTCAGCGCCGCCTCGACTTGCCGCTGCTTGGCCTCAAAAGCATCAGCACTTGGGAACTGAGGGTCAGGGCCCGCCGCAGCGATCCAGCGCTGCCGCTCAGAATCGCTGATCCTCTGCGTGCTGATGGGGCGCAGGTCCACGCTGTGGTCCTTCCCGCCCCAGCGGAACGATAAAAAGCTGTTCATCCAGCGCCCCGCCTTGTCCTGGCTCACGTCATAGTACTTTTCACGCTGTTGCACATCGGTGATCTGATGCACGCGGTACAGCGGCTCCTTGCCGCCCTCGCGCCGCTCGCGCATGCCCCAGGAACAGCGCACAAAGCAGCCGCGCACCACGTCTTTGCCGTTCGGCATAAAGAGCAAGCGCTCCAGCTCGTCGCGCCCCAGGCGCACAGCATTCAGCTGCTCCAGCGATGGTGGCTCATGGCTGCTCGCCACAAGTATGGGCGATTCGCCACGCACGCGCCGCGGCGTATATGATGGCTCGTAGTCCGACTCACTCTCGTACTCGTCGCTGTCCATGGCGCGACGCCGGCGGCGAGGCGGCGAGGCGTCGTCGTCACGAGCGCGCACGCCGCGGCTGCGCTCTGCCCGGCTGCGCCGAAGCTCTGAAAGTTTCGCTGCCTTGGTCGTCGCAGGCCGACGGGGCTCGTCATCGTCCGACTCGGCAAACACGTCCTCCTCCGACTCGTCCTCTGCAAAGGGGTCGTCTAAGTCTTCCAGCTCGCGGCGCGCATGATCGCGCCGGCGCTTGGCACGCTGTGCCTCGCTCATCTTGGGCTTGGCGCCCGTGCGACGCGTCTTACCGGCAGCCGCCTGTTGTGAGCGCACCATGGCGGCCAGCTGCGCCTGCTGCTGACGCCGGGTGATCTCATCGCGGCGCTGAGATAGTACTTCCTCACGCTCTAACTCATTCAAGCTCAGCAGCCTATGTGTCAGACAATCATACATACCATTCGCGGTCATCCGCATCCTTGTAGATGCCCTCGAGCGGATACAGCGCGCGTGACGCGTCTTCCTCCTCGTCCTCATCGCTGTCAGACAAGTCTTCGATCAGAGCGGCGCGCCGACCCTTGCTCCGATCTGGAGACAGCTGGCGCGGCGGCGGACTCGATTTGTCCTCGCCCACGAGCGCGATAAGCTCGTCGTCCAGCCCGTCTTCCGACATAGCGTTCGCCGAGTGGAGCCGCGCGGTCGCCGCGCGGAGCCATACCGTCACGTGGCCCCACGTGCCGCGGCGACGCCCGTGCATCGCACGCCGGGGGCTCACTGCCCCCGCCCTAATCTTGCGTGAGAATGGCGGACTCGGTGCCTGTGGTCGTGGACAATGGCACAGGTGTATGTACATGAGCAGACTTACAAATTCCAGTTTGTCAAAGTAGGCTATGCGGGTACGAAAACAGGCACAGGACTCACGCACAGGCTCCAATTTCCCGGAGCATGTGTTCCCTTCGATTGTCGGTCGTCCGATTCTGCGCGCTGAAGAGCGCGACGCGATCTCTGCGTCGGGTGTACAGATCAAGGACCTCATGGTCGGAGACGAGGCCGAGGCGGTCCGTACGTACTTGCAGGTATCGCAGCCGATGGAGCACGGTGTAGTCAAGGACTTTGACGATATGCGGCATGGTACGTGACTAGTGCTCACCGCAGTGTGGAACTATACCTTTGATGAGAAACTCAAGATCGACCCGCGCGGTCGCAAGATCCTGCTGACGGAGCCGCCCATGAACCCGAAGCGAAACCGCGAAGAAATGTGCCGCATCATGTTCGAAGAGTATGGCTTTGATGGTGTCTATGTGGCGATCCAGGCCGTCTTGACGCTCTATGCACAGGGTCTGCAGACAGGTGTGGTTGTGGACAGCGGTGATGGTGTAACGCACATTGTGCCCGTGTATGAGGGCTTTGCGATGCCGCATCTCACGCGGCGCCTCGACGTGGCGGGCCGAGACGTGACGCGCCATCTGATTAAGCTCCTGCTGACGCGCGGGTACGCTTTCAACCGTACCGCGGACTTTGAGACGGTGCGCCAGATCAAGGAGAAGCTCTGCTACGTCAGTTACGACCTGCCCCTGGATAAGCGCCTGGCCGACGAGACGACGGCGCTCGTTGAGTCGTACACACTGCCCGATGGGCGCGTCATCCGCGTTGGCTCGGAGCGCTTTGAGGCGCCTGAGTGCCTGTTCCAGCCGCACCTGATTGGCCTCGAGCAGCCGGGCATGGCCGAACTCCTCTTTCAGACGATTCAAACGGCCGCCGTGGATGTGCGGCCGGAGTTGTATAAACACATCGTGCTGAGCGGTGGCAGCAGCATGTATCCTGGTCTGCCAAGCCGATTGGAAAAGGAAATGAAGCAGCTATACCTCGCGCGCGTGCTGCAAGGGGACGGTGCGCGCTTGCCGAACTTTAAGCTGCGCATCGAGGATCCCCCGCGCCGCAAGCATATGGTGTTCTTGGGTGGTGCTGTCCTGTCAGACATTATGAAGAACCGCGAAAGCTTCTGGATCAGTCGTGCCGAGTGGTACGAGCAAGGTCCTCGCGCGCTCGATCGGTTGGGTCGCCATACCTAAGACTATAAGCTACATGAGACGCTTGGCAATCTCAGAGTGCCAGTTCTTGGCACGCTCGAACCCGTTGCGGTTCAACTGGTAGTCCTCAATCGCATGGTATATCTCGTCCGGGGAGGTCATCACAAATGGTCCGTACTGGACGACCTTGTGCTTCATCGGCTCACCCGAAATGAGAATGACACGCGACGGCTTGTCCGTCGGGTTAGTAATCTTCACGCCATCAGTACCGTCGACCTTCTCAGGTGTCGTCAGCACAAGTAGATCGTGGCGCTTGTACTCCGCCTCGCTCTCCGAGATAACGACCGTGCCGTTGAGGATGTAGAGAACTGTGTTCCACCCCGTCGGCAGCTCCTGGAAAATCCATCCGTGCGGGTCCAGCTCAATGTCCATAAACCAGCAACCCGCCCCGTTCGGCCACGTCACGGGCGACTCAACACCATGACTCCGGCCTGCAATGACCTTAACGCGCCAGCCCTCGCCTTCCGTCTCCTTAGGTTCACTGGGGCGGGGGCTCTGGTATGGCATTTCTTTCGACGCCAGTTCTTGATACGACGGCTCCATCATCTTGGCGGACTTCGGCAAGTCCAGCCAGAGCTGCATGCCCTCCGGCAGAGGCAACTTGCGGCCCTGTTCGTCATAGTGGCGCGGCATCTCGGCATGCACCATACCACGGCCCACGCACATCCACTGGATGTCACCAGGACCAATAATGCCGCGATGGCCGGCAAAGTCCTCGTGCTCCATATAGCCATCGAGCATGTAGGTCACGGTCGTCTGGCCGCGGTGAGGGTGGTCCGCAAAGCCGGTACCTTCGTCAACGCGGAAGTGGTCCAGCATGAGGAATGGCGTCAGGTTGCGGATTTGCTGGTTGCCAATTGCACGGCGCAAACGCACGCCAACACCGTCGCCCTGCTCTTGAGCAAAAATTTTCTGAGCGACTCTTCGCGAAATGGGTTGCAAAGACATGCGTGATGGTAGAGAATAGTACAGTAGAACGAGAAGTGTGCCAACAAGTAGTAGTCCCCTCACTTTCCGCTAGATTGCAAACGTAGAAGGCCTGCAGTGGGGAACGCCACCGGCTGCGTCCTTTATAGCCGTGCGAGTAGATGGGACGTGCACAGCACGTGATACATTAGGCTCGGGGCGGCTCCGAAGAAGGCCTTGTTTCGTACGCCCAAACGCCCAGATGAGCCGTCGGCCCCCGAGTGGCGTCACATGGTCGGACATGGCGAAAGTGGCGCAGGCCGCTTGGATCCTGTCAGAAACTTCGCTGCGCGGACGCGTGATCACGCCGCGGACTGTGAGGCCATGGCCGACACAAGTGCCGACGCCTGGCGCGGCGGACAGCGAGCCACCTGTGACAGCCAGTGAGCCACCTGTATCGGCCAGTGAGCCACCTGTATCGGCCAGCGAGCCACCTGTATCGGCCAACGAGCCGCCTGTGTCGGCCAACGAGCCGCCTGTGTCGGCCAACGAGCCGCCTGTGTCGGCCAGTGAGCCACCTTTGTCGGCTAGTGCTGCGCCGACTGTCCAGGCGACCGATGTGCCTGTTGGCCCGCCTGGGCGCGTTATACCCGTGGAGAACATGTCCCCTTCCCCTGCGTCCGCCGAGCCGATGGATGTGCGTGTGCGTGTAACGCCACCTTTGGAAGAGTATGATGCAGCCAACGAGCGCACGCGCCCGCTGCGTGCGACGCGTGTGCCTTCATCGCGCTTGGGGCGTCTCCTGCACTATGGCAGCCTGGGTGCCGGGCTAGCATGGGGATCTGCCGGTGAGTACATGCGGCGCGCCACATCTGGCGCGCCGCCGTCTGGACCACGATCGCCTGCGTTTCTCAGCCCCCGCAATGTAGACCGACTGGTGGATAAGCTGACGACTATGCGGGGCGCCGCACTAAAGCTGGGCCAGTTTCTCTCGATTCAAGACAGTAATGCTTTGCCGCCCCAAGTCGAAGAAGTGTTGTTGCGCGTCCAGGACACGGCGCATTACATGCCAGCTTGGCAGCTGGAGCAGGTAATGCGCGAGGAGCTTGGCGATGACTGGCGTACGCGTTTTGCTTCCTTTGATGAGCGCCCTCTCGCAGCAGCATCAATTGGGCAGGTGCACACCGCGGTGCTTGCAGATCCGTTCCCGTCGCAGCCACATCTCGCTGGGCAGCGTGTTGCAGTCAAGGTGCAGTTCCCTGGCGTCTCCGAGTCGATCGCGAGCGACCTGTCGAACATCAAGTGGCTGCTTGCTGCGAGTGCGCTCTTGCCCAAAGGGCTGTTCCTCGAGAATTCGGTGCGGGTCCTACAACAGGAACTGCAGGAGGAGTGCGACTATCTGCGTGAGGCCGAGATGGGCCGTCGCTTCCGCGCTCATGTACGTGCGATGGGTCCCTCGGGAGACGGGGCCCTGTCGTTTGAGGTGCCGGAAGTGGTGGACGAGCTGTCCACGAGGCGCATACTCACGACTGAGTTTATGCGCGGTCGTCCACTCACGCATGCGGCGACGCAGGACCAGGCGACCCGCGACGCCATTGCACATGCGATTATGGAGCTGAGCCTGCGTGAGCTCTTTGACTGGCACCTGATGCAGACGGACCCGAACTGGACCAACTTTTTGTACCACGACGGCCGCCGAGCGATCCAGCTCATTGACTTTGGCGCGACGCGATCGTACTCGCCGGAGTTCATTGCCAAGTGGCTGGGGCTGCTTCGCGCTGCGGTGAGTGGCGATCGCGCGTTGTGTGAACGGTGGAGTGTAGACATTGGCTATTTGACAGGCCAAGAGTCGGAGGTGCGTGTCTCCCACTAACCCCAGGCCATGCGCGCTGCACACGTCGACTCGATGGTTGCGCTCGGCGAGCCATTCCGTGCTGATGCGCCCGTACCATATCCATTTGCTCAGCAAACGATTACAGAGCGTGTGAAGGGCCAAATCCCGCTCATGCTCCGTGAGCGCCAACGGCCGCCGCCGCCGGAGACCTACTCTTTGAACCGCAAGCTGAGTGGTGCATTTTTGCTGTGCTCGCGCCTGCAGGCGCGGGTGAACTGCCGCGATCTGTTTGCGCGCGTGACACAACCATACCCCGCCAGTGTGCCGGTGGCGCGTCTTCACACGCGAGCGGGCAACTATCTGGGCGAAGACCTCTCGGAACGCTGGTCGCACGTGCCGACAGAGCGGAGTGCTATCCGGCACTGGCGACACGAGAAGCGGCGTCACGGGCGAGTGTCTATGGAGGCGGAGCCTAGTCCTGATACCCTTGCGGGGCATGTGCGAGTGCGTGATGTACAAGTGCCGTTGCGGCCCCGCGCGCCAGGCCCCGAGGACTGCTGCATGTCTGGATGTATCAACTGCGTACACACCCTCTACCTGGACGAGCTGGAGGAGTACGGAAAAACGATGAAAGAAGTCCGCAAGCGTCTCGCGCACTATGAGCCGCCGATTGGACCGGACGAATGGGACACGAAGCGCCTAGGGCCCCTGCCGCACGGCGACGCGTCGGAAGCGGAGGCACAGGCCTCCAAGGAGGCGAGTGCACCGAAGATGGACGCGTCCATGGCGGCATTCCTGGAGCTGGAGCGCAAGCTCAAGTCGTCGAAATGAGATAGCCATAGCCCGCCGGCCATGTCCACGTCTACAGCGGTGTAAAAAATACGGACACATTACGCGTGGTAGAGCTCTTCCTTCAGCGGCACACCGAGCTCCTCACGCAGGGGCTTGAGCACCTCAAGGTACTGCTTGTACTGCGAGTCGTTCTCGGTCTTGTGCTTGATGCCCTCAAAGATGCGGACGGCCAGCGCAAAGTCGTTCACGCGGCGAGCGGCCTTGAGCGCGGCCTCAAGGACCTCAGGCGAGGGAACAAGGTCGTAGGCGAACGCGTTGTTCAGGCCACGCTGCGCCTCGAACTGATCCTGCACACCCTCGAAGAACTTCACGTAGCGCTCGTTGAACTCCTCAAACGACTCGCTGTGGTCCGAGTACAGACGCACTGCCAGTCAGACACTTATACATACCCTGCATCGCAGCAGGCACAGCAGCGCGCTTCATCAGCGCAGCACGCGAACCCGATGAGGCGGCAGCAACACGAATAGCTCCGGTCAGGAAAGACATGGTAATAGTGGGCTGGAGAGCAAAACGCCGCGCAACAGCGGCCCGACCTCCGCCGCTCCCGTATATCACGTGATATACAAGCGAGCGCCGCCATCCGCGCGTCGACCCCCATGCCCCGGACGCCGGCGGGCGTCGCGGCGCGCGGCGGCGCTGAGCTGGCCACGTATGTGGCAACACCACCCGTGGGGGCACACCGCACACGGAAGCGGACGCATGTGGACGTCGACGCGTGCACTGTGGTCTCCGAAACGCTCTTTTTCGACGTCCACGCCCCGGACGATCCGCCGGCGCTCCGCTACACGGGCGACGTGGACGTGCGCGTCGTCGCCGAGCGCGCAGCACGCATGCAGCCGGGCACCCTGATGCACCCAGAGCATGCGGCTCTCCTCGATCTCCTTGTCAGCGACGACCCATGGCTCACCGTGCCGCTGTCGTACGCCACCTCGCAGTGGCTCCAGGCTGCGCTTGCCCTGCGCACTTGGCAGGTTCACGCATCGGTGGCCTGGGATGACGATACATCACTCGGACTTACTGTCCATGTACTGGCCACGCCGGCGGCGTTTGCGCCGGCGGCCCACCCGAGCGACGCGGATCGCGTGCTCACCCTGGTGGAGCACGCACGAGTGCTCGCAGGGGCGGAGCGCCCGGGCCACATACGCGATACTGATGAGACAGCCGGCGCGGCCATGGTGTACAGTGCTCTGTGCGAGCGCGAGCGCGGGCTTGATACCCAGATGCCTGCGGCCGAACAGCCGCGCGGCCTGCTGGCGCCGCTGCTGCCGTTCCAACGGCGGTCCCTCAGTTTCCTCCTTGAGCGCGAAGCGCCACCTACAGCGCGACGTGCGCTCCGCATGCCATGCGGGCCGTGGTGGATCCAGGTCGGAGTGCAGCCGTTGTATGCGCATGTGCTTACAGGTGCCCTAAGCGATGACAGCGCACGCGTCGCGGCCGAGGACGTGCGTGGCGCCATGCTCGCCGAGGAGATGGGACTTGGAAAGACCGTGGAAGTGCTGGCCTTGCTGCTTGAGCACACGAACCGCGCGCGGCACGAGCAGCCGTCGTACTGGGATGCCGCGAACGAGACGCATGTCCAGCCGGTCGGTACGACCCTGATTGTGTCGCCTGAGATCCTGCGCCGCCAGTGGCTCGAGGAGATACAAGTGCATGCGCCCAGTCTGCGGGTGTACTCCTACACGGGGCACCGCAATGCGGCGGCGCACCGCGCACAGGCTGGGCACACCAGTTGGGGCGCATGGGCGCAGGACATGGACGTCATGGTAGTCTCGTTCGAGGCGCTCGCGCGCGATCTGGCCGCGTCGCATGCGGCGCCGGTGCGCTCGCTGCGTCATCCAAAAAGGTACGAGCGCCCGCGCAGTCCACTTGTGCAGCTGGATTTTTGGCGCGTCGTCATGGACGAGGTGCAGCTTGTCGGAGGCAATGCAGCACGCACGATGGGCATGATCCGCCGGTGCATGAGCGTGGCGGTGAGCGGCACACCCGTGCGGCAACTCGCAGACCTGCGCACGTCGCTGTGGTTCCTGGGGCTCGTGCCGCCAGGCACGACGCCTGCCGCGTGGAAACGCATCCTCGGCGGGCGCCTCGCGCCGTACGTGTACGATGTGCTGCGCCAGATTGGCATCCGTCATACCAAGGCGCAGGTGCAGCATGAAATGGTCCTTCCGCCGCAGACGCGGTACTTGGTGCCGGTGGACTTTACGCACGTGGAAACCGCGTTCTACAAGGATGTGTGGCATGCGAGTTTGGCAGCACTCGAGCTTGATACGGACGGCGCACCGCTCTCAGAGGCGTGGGAGCTGGATACGGCTGTGTTGCGCACCCAGCTGCAGCGCCTCCGCCAGGCTTGCACACACCCGCACGTCGCCCTGCGTGGCGGGCATACCCTGGGGGGCGGCGACGGTGCCGGAGGGGCCGGCGCCGTGAATCTGCGCAGCATCGATCATGTGCTGACACAAATGATTGAGGCCGCGCAGCAGGACCTCATGACCCAGAAACAGGCTCTCGTGTCACGCCGCATCTTCCGCGCATCGGTGCTGCTGTTTGCGCCGCGCGACGAGCTGATGGCCCAGGTCGCGGAGTACAGTACCGCCTCACTCGGTGCCGACGAGCACGCCGTGGTCTCGACGTTGGCCACGCGGCCCTGCCTGGATGTGGCGCGCGACGAGTGGGAGACGCTGCTGCCAGAAGCGGTCGCGCACGTCGAGGCGCTCCAGCGCGACATTGAGGCCGCGCACGAGCGGGGGCCGCTCTACGCATTCACCGCTGCGGAGCTGGCCGCAGAAGCGGCGTGGGGCAAGGACGTGCCGGCTGATGCGCCGCATGAGAAGCTGCGTCTTCGGCAGCAGCATGTCAGTGCGCTAAAGAGTCGCCAACGCCACTGGCTGCAGATTGTCCACCGGATCCAGCAGTTTTCAGGACACTGCTATTTCCAGCTAGGCGAGGCCGCCGTCGCCCAGCGCGCGGCTGATCCGCCTCCGGCCCTCAAAGACGAGCCCGACGGCCCCGGCCCGGAGGCGCCCGTCAAGGGAGAAACGCCCTTCACTCCATGGGAGGACGCGGCGTACCAGGCCGCCGAGGCGACGCGCCAGCGACTCTTGGCCGATGCACGCGATATGGTCGAGCAGAGCGTGCATGCTCTGCGCCAGCTTTCCGTCGATACGCATGACCTGGCGCCAGCCGATCCGCCTGCGGCGGGTCTCGCGGGCCGCAGCGTGCTGGAGCATGTGTGCGAACGCCTAGAACAACTGCGTGCCCACGCTGCGCTCATGCTGGACTGGCGCGCGCAGATCTACAAGCGGTTGACCAAGCCGGTGAACCGCGAAGTCGACAAGGCGCGGGAAAACGATGATATCTATGCGGAGAACCTCGACGCCCAGATCGAGGCAGAGACGCTGCTAGAGATGTACCGCCCATTGCTGGCCCAGCGGGACGAGCTCCTCACGGGCCGCATTGCCCTGGGCGCGACGGCCCGACCACAGCTGTTTGTCGAGTTGGATCGCGAGTTGCGTGCGGCACGCGCGCGGCGATGGGCGGGCCCGGGCGCCGACGCGGACGCGGACGACAATGTGGACGACGACGATGCAGTGCGTCAGGCCAAGCGCCTGCAGTTGACCCACTTTCGCTCATTGGAGCAGGCACGGCGCACCGTCATGCTGCCGCCCGACGAGCCGCCGCTGCTGGGGCTGATGAGCGCGCTGAAAGACGCGCGCGATGCGTGCGTACGTGCCGAAGAGGTGCGGGTCCTGTCGGCCGCTTATGCGGCGTTGCAAGCCATGCAGCGGCGGCAGACAGAGCTGCTCGAGAGCCTTCGACGCGAACAGATGCATTTTCAGGCGGTGTTCAATGCACGGGCCCTCTACTTTAAGCAGATGCAGGAGCTCTCGGACCAGGTACAAGACCCGGACCTATCACTGGGCATTGTGCCATGTTTGCTGCAAGCTGTGGCGCAGGAGCGCGCTGTGCGGCAGCGGATCGGTGCGATGGAGGGGCGCCTGCGCTACCTCCGACATGTCGAGCAGATGCAGCGGGCGGGCGGCACGGACGACGAGCTGCGACACTGCTTTATCTGCACAAACACAATCGATCGGGGTGTGTTGACCAATGCATGCGGTCATATATGCTGTGAGACGTGCTTCCATGCATGGATGGCACATGGCCACCGCACCTGCCCCCTGTGCAAGACGCGCATTGCGCCGCGCGACATTCACCGCGTCGTGTATCGCGCACCTGAGCCGCTGGCGCCGACCGCGGCCCCCGCAGCGCCGTCTGCGTACCGTGTACTGCCCAGCGATACGCGGCAGGCCCTGCACCACCTCCCGATGGAGGGCGGCGCAGGCAGCAAGCTGGATAGCCTAATGCGCCACCTACTGCATTTGCAGCGCACTACAGGCGAGAAGAGCCTTGTATTTTCGTCGTTTGCTCGTGGTCTCGACCTGGTAGCGGAGGGCCTGGAGCGGCATGGGCTGGAGTACGCACGTCTCGATGGGTCAGGCGGCAAGCGAGCGGGAGCGCAAGTGGAGGCGTTCCAGCACGGACCCACCGTACGTGTGCTGCTTCTGCACAGCGAGGCGCAATCGGCAGGCCTCAACTTGCTAGCTGCGACGCACCTATTCCTGTTGGAGCCGCTGCTCAACCATGCGCTCGAGCTGCAGGCAATTGGCCGCGTGCACCGTATCGGCCAAACTCGACCTACGCATGTGTATGGCTACATGGTGAATGACACGGTGGAGGAGCGTATCGTTGGTCTGGCAGCGACGCGTGGGCAGTCGCTGTACCTGGACGATGCTGCGGAGCCTGACAGTGCGCTAGTACAGGCGGCACACCTCGCGACGGCGCAGGATATCTCGCGCGAGGCGCGGCGTGGCGACCTCATCGGTACAGCGGACGATCTTCTGGCGTGTCTGTTTTCACAGCACTTGGGTGCAGCGCGTTAATTGTATCGGCTGCATCGGAATTATACCCGAATCAAGCGTGCGCGGAAGTCCGGCGACTCGGAGCGATCGCTCAGGAACGATTACTAAATAGAACAACCATCAGGTGCCTGGTGATATGAAGGGTAGTGGAACAGGACACGGATGGCTTCTGTACCATCTTGACAAGCGACGATGGGTTCGTCGTGCGTAACAAGCTGTGTCGCTCGTTGATAGCGAGTGTACAAGCGACGTAATTTTGACATAAAGTGCTCGCCCGAAGTAAGGTACGAGTATAGACCGGATCGGATTTTTATCGGATATATTTCGGCCTACCGCGATAACAAAAATTGTGTGCATAGTTCATGCTTGAGATATAAAAAGCATAGAGGCGCGCATACCATCGCCACACATCCCTCCTCTGCCCAGGATGTTTGGACACCGCGCCTCTATGCATTCTCAAGAAGATGGGCGCCTGGGTGAGGTTCTCGGGCGCCGCCCATCCAGGGCTCGATCCGCACGATCAGGGTCTGTCAGCTCGCGCGTTACGCGTGCGTCGGCTGGGACGCATCATCACTACCCACACGTTGAGCAGGACGTTGAGCCCTTCCATGAAGAGGTGTTTCGCGAAGAGGAGCGTGAAGAAATTCAGCACGAGATGAAAGAAGGCATGACGCCAGCCGAAATCGAAGCCCAAGACAAGGCGGCTGAGGCCGAGGCGGCCATCGAGCCCGGGTATCTCGTGGAGTTCCAGCCTGGTGACCCAGAGAATCCGCGAAACTGGTCGTTTACGAAGAAGTGGTGTTGGACGATGTTTTTTAGTTTTCTGTGTTTCGTGGTCGCAGTGGGCTCTTCAATGCCTACCGCCGCCTTAGTTCAGACGGGCAAGCAGCTACATGTCAGCCAAGAGGCCGTCCACTTGTCTATTTCCCTGTTCGTTGCCGGTTTCGGTTTTGGTCCCGTGTTTTTTGCCCCCCTAAGCGAGATGTTTGGTCGGAAGCCTGTGTACATCGTTTCTGGATTTTTGTACTTTATATTTACATTACCTTGCGCCGTGACAGACAACCTTGCAACCCTCTTGGCCGCGCGTATGATTTCGGGACTGGCGGCGAGTGTGCCCATGACAAACGTAGGCGGTTCCATCAGTGATATGTGGGTTGTCGAACAAAAGGGCAACCCAATGAACATCTTTTCGTCGGTCCTTTTCTTGGGTCCTGCAGTCGGTCCTATCGTGGGTGGTGCCATCTCGTCAGGCACAAATGACGAGGAAGGTTGGCACTACATCTACTGGACCCTGTTTGCGTTCATCGGCCTGACCTGGATTGGATCGCTCTTCCAACCGGAAACGCTAGGGTCGGCCATCCTCAAGAAGCGTGCGCGCAAATTGCGCAAGGAAACCAATGACGAACGATACTCAACCTTGGCAGAGAAAGAGAAGATGGGTCTCAAGGCGATGGTCGTGGTCCTGCTGCTTCGTCCGGTGGTGATGTTGTTGGTCGAGCCCATCTTGCTCTTCTTCTCGCTCTACTTGACACTTGTGTACATGCTGCTCTACCTCCTCTTCTTTGCATACCCTATTATTTTCGCGGAGGGACATGGTATGAATGATCTACAGACCGGTTTGATGTTCATCCCCCTTATTGTGGGTATCCTTATCGCCGTCCTGTTTACCATGTTTGTCTTGGAGCCGCATGTGAAGAAAAACGTAGCCCGTCGCGGTACGCCACAAACGCCCGAAGACCGACTCATCATTATGTTTATTGGATCAGCCATGTTCCCCATCTCGCTCTTTATTCTCGCGTGGACGTCCATGCCGAGTGTGCACTGGCAGGGCGCTCTGATTTCAGGTCTTGGTACGGGTCTGAGTTTCGTGATGATTTACAATGCCGCTAATACATATCTTGTGGACTGTTACCCCAAGACTGCGGCGTCTGCGCTAGCATCAAAGACGCTTATTCGTTCACTGGGCGGCGCTGCGGTGCCTTTGTTTGTCAACCAAATGTTCCATGCTATGCATAATCAATGGGCCCTTACACTGTTGGCTCTCGTTGCAACAATCATGGTGCCTATTCCCTTCTTCTTCTACCGATTCGGTCCCAAGTATCGTGCGAAGTCCAAATATGCATCAGGCGACGATTAAAAGGTGGGCAGATACACCCATTGCCCGCCACTATACCACTAGTAGATAGTGCAAGACATTATAATTAAAATTAACTATCCTAATATTATAGAGGAAGGGTGCAGCTACGTACAGAACCTGCCAATATTGAGGGTCGGCAGATAAGGGTGGGCAGCCAGGAGACAACTGTAAGCTCCAAGCCACGACCAGTCAGCGTCTTTTTGTGCCTGTGCGTATCACTTTTATGCCGCTGTGATTCGCATCCCTAATCGCATTATGATCGGAAAGAACCCCACCCCCACCCCAACAAGCGCCGATGATACAGTCCCGGGTTGCACTAACGAGATGCCGGAAAGTCCAGAGAGGTGGAGGGTGGTGTTACACGCCAACAACCCTGATGCGAGAAAGGTAGGCGAGGTGGGCAGGGCGTAGAAAAGGGCTGGCTTCCGGCATTGATCGGTCATTCGTGGCTTGACATTGAGTCCTCCATTGAAGAAGGTGAGGCAGACAGGACCTGGTCAAGACCGCCGTTGGGGTATAAGAAGAAATCCGCTGTCGACCTGCTGAATGGCAGTTCGAGAGGGGTTCGTGGCTCGGACATCGGTGTGCTAAGTGGCACCGTTTGCGCACGATTCAGAAAAGGAGAAGGCTTGGACGCCTCGGGTGTGGTCCATGCACACGAGGCTGCATGCGGAGCGATACCATACGGCGACGATATAACGCTGGTGGGCACGGGCCATGACATAGCCCCATTGGTATTTTGCTTCGGTGGTGACAAGGGCGATATGGTCAATGCTGGTGGAGACTCAGTCGGCGATGTCGGATCCACCGCCAAGGGTCCGACGATTTGAGAAACACTTTGAGAGGGCTCATCGGATGGCAACGCCGGCATGTCGCTGGACGCCCCCATCAAACCTTTCAAGCTGGTGGGCGCCATTTGCATCACGCTTGCAATACAAGGCTTTGCCACGTCGACCAATGGCCCTGACGACGCCAGGGGCGTGAGCTTATGTTCGACACTGCGGGTCTTGTGGCGCCGCGCCAACGACTCAGAACGAGTCGGGCGCGTGTGATGTGTGGAAAAGGAATCTTTTTGCTTGTCCGAAGCGCGCCTTATTCCCTTGATGCGGGGCTTGTAGCCGGCGCGAGCATACTCGTCCGGGAACGCATTGCGGAATCGATCACGTACGTCCGTCGAGCTGCGCTGGTTCTTAAAGGCGGGATCCTTCGCAATCAGACACCATTGGGAGCCATGTTTCTCATAGCCACGTTTTAGGGCTTGGTCCTCAGCCTCAGTGAAGGCACGGCGCTCGCGTGTCCTGTGACGCGGCGGTACGAGAGTGTCGACCTTTGCTGGGCAGGATGGTGTCTGCCATGCTGGCGCGACACTCTGGTTTTCGGTGCTAAGAAGAGAGGGTGACAACGTAAGTTCCGGGACGGAGACAGTTGCGACCGGGGGTGAGCCTGTCAGGGCTGCTTTCAGAGGGGGGATATCGAGGGGCCAGGCACCCTGCGTCGCAGGTGCGTTTTGTAGATTTGTGGGGTATGCTGGACTGTCAGAGAGCGGCGATATGTCGGCAGACAGTATCAGGTCCCACTGCCATGGTGCCAGGTACTCAGCATCCTGCGGGATCACCCCGAAGGTCTCGCCCGACATATTGCTGGGCTTCCCTAAGCGGGGCGACATACAGGTGCGTTAGAATCGAAGAGTGGGTCTACGGAAGAAGAGCCCCGTACAGAATGGACACTTCGCGAAGCTTAATTAGGAATGTCACTAGAAACACGGGTATGTCATTCAGTCTCGTCACGCCAGATAATGGGTTCCCGAGAAGGGCCTGATTACAAGTCAAATGGAACTAGGACTTGCATATATCGCTCTTGCGTTCCAATCACAAGTCAGGCACAATGACGCCCCTGAATTACGCCTTTCCATTTTCATGCAAATGGAGAAACCGACTCGTCCTCTGCAGGACGTCTGCTTTCAGCAGCACCTGGTAGGGCCTCCACGCTGGGGCGTGTGTCAGCGCCATAGGCTACGTCAGCTGTGTCGCCAATCGTCGTCGGAGTTTGACGTCTGATGTTGGGGCTGTGCAAAAGTGGAGGGATCCTGTCTTGACATTCGGTCTCCTCATTGGCCAAATTTTCCACTTGCGCACTTTGTTCAACGCTCGCGAATGTGTCAATCACGTCAGAGATAGCTGCGTCGTTTGTGGGAAGCACAGACTCCAAATGCGGCAATGGCTCATTTGACGTTCCTTCTGTTTCCTGCTGGGAACGCGCAGAATGCCCCCAAGAGGCCAATAGCTGGAGTGAGTGATAATTTTCGTACCTGCTGTACCTTTTGAGCTTGTTCCAGCCGTTCATGAGCGCCCTCGCCCCACGGTGATGACACGTCAGGCGCTGGCGATGCACTCGACAGCGACTGTTCAGCCGTAGCAATAGGTGGCTCGACTTCCGGTAAAGGCGCAGGGTCCTCGTCAAAGGCCGCCCGTGCACGAGCCTCCGCGGCGGCCTTCGCCTCGCTACGATGCCGCGCGTCGTTCACCAGCGACACTGTGGCGAGGTCCCACGCAAACTTGATAGACAGCCGTCCACCGAGGAATTCGGTGTCTTGCAGGGCATCGTGCGCAGCAACACATGCGCGACTGTCCCAGTACTCAAGGAAGCGTGTATGTGCCTGGTCTTTGTAAGTACGGACTGACCGAATGTCGCCGTATTCGACAAATTTGGACTGCAGAGCTTCGTCTGTGACTGGTTCCGTCGCATCCAGGACCGCCACAAACAAAGTGCCCTGATTTTTTGTGCGGTCGCAGTGCTGTTGTTGATCCTCGTCCTTAGGCAGACTAAAGTGTACGTCCAAGGCACGCCCCTCGTAGACCTTTTTGTCCATATGCACACGCGCATTGTCAGCGGCGCGCGTGTCATAGTATGTAACAAACAGCATGCCGCGGCGCTGCACAATGTCGAACCACGTGCGAATCTCGCCAAAAGCCGCAAAATCAGCGCGAAGCATCAACATGTCCACTTCAAAGGCGACATTGCGCACAAACAGGGTGCGGCATGGCTTGCTGTCTTCCGGTCGCGCAGCATTGGGGTCGGGCTGATAGGCACTGCGTGTGAACCGGGGACGCTGACTCTTACGATGCGCCGGCAGCCGCGCACGATCAGGCGCGGACGAGCGGTTTTGGCCGTGGCCGTCCCATGGCGAAGGACGACGGCCGTGCATGGGCGCCTGCGAGGGAACCGAGTGGCCACCCCAGGCGCCGGGACCATAGGGCAGAAACGGTGGAAATGGCGGCATCCCAAAGGGGAGCGGCATCGTACCGAATGTCGCGCCCCAGGGCGGGTACGCGCTGAGGGCCTCGCCCATCCCGTAGGGCGCATAGCCGGCGAAATGCGCTGCGTTTCTATGCCGTCCGCCCCGACCACGCCCGCCAGGCCGGCCACCGCGGCCAACACCGCGACCTGATCGGCGCGGCGCATTCGTCTCTTCGTAGCCGCCATAGGGGTGATGGCGGGTCATGAGCTGAGGGAACTGAACGAGGAGCTGAGAAATGTGCTGACAGAAGAGTTTGTAGAGGAATATCTTACGAATACAAGTGCCTACACACGTTCAGGCCGCGTGGATGACCACAGCAGGCCGTCGTGGCTGTCGTCGCCGGCGGCCGACGACCGTCCGGCCAGACCGCCACAACCTGGTATTTCTGTAAATAAAATGTCGCTCGGCCTGGGCTCCGTCCACGCGTACGTTGCAGTTCTGTGTTCGATATGAGTGGCGTTGTGAGCTTTAAGCTCGTGCTGTTGGGTACGTAAGGAATGGCTAACAGCCAGGCGAGTCGTCAGTTGGAAAGTCGAGGTAGGTGGCAGGATGGTGTGCTGACGCGGCAGCATTGCGCTCCGCTTCGTCAAGGACCAGTTTGAGGACTATCGCGAAAGCACTATTGGCGGTACGTGCACGGGCAGCTGACAACAGCGGCGTTCCTCACCCAGACCGTGAAGCGCAGTGATGACACCAAGGTGAAGCTGGAGATCTGGGACACTGCCGGCCAGGAGCGCTACAAGTCGCTGGCGCCCATGTACTACCGCAATGCGCACTGCGCGATTGTGGTGTATGATATTGCCGAAAAGGATTCGCTCGAGAACGCTAAGAGCTGGATCCGTGAACTCCAGCGCCATGCAGACTCGACCATCATTATCGTCCTTGTCGGCAACAAGCTTGACTTGGCCGACGCCCGCGAGATTCCTACGGAGGAGGGCAAAAAGTATGCGGAAACAGAGGGGTTGCTGTTCCTCGAGACCTCGGCCAAGACGCCGACGAACATCACCGAGCTCTTTGATACCATCGCCAATCGGCTGCCCCTGGACCGTGGCATGGGTGCCAAGCGCGCCGCGCCGCCTGGCGCCGCGCGCCCTGCCGACGCCCCGGTGCAGATCGGCGCGTCGGCGCAGCCGGCGCAGGACAGTGCATGCAACTGCTAGTCTTCTGTATTCTACGCATCTAGAGGAGCGAAAATCCCAGCAACACATTGTCGATCAAGCGCGCGGCCGGCTGTGCGTCGTCGCGGTGATTACGCACCCACATGGCGCCGCTCAGGATGGCCTCGGTGCCAGCGTCGGACTCGGGCGTGAGCTCGTCCAGCGTCACTGGGTCGTTAAGCGAGATATAGTCCAGCTCCGCTGCGGCCGTCCCGTCAGCGGTGCCCTGCTGCGTGACGACTGACCGCGCGGCTTCGAGTGTGCGGGCGATGCGCTCAGCATGTGGCACGTTCTCGCGCAGTAGCGCGTCCCACGTCGCCTGACCATGCGACAACGCCTGGAACAGTAGTGGTGCAATACGGCGCCCATGCTCGTCCAGATACTTGTTGCGGCTGCTCAGCGCCAGCTGGTCGGTCGGGTCGCGCGCCGTTGGCAGTATACGGACATGCTTTGAGCCATGTGGGTACGCGAAGAGGAGGTCGTCGACGAGGCGGCGCAGGATGATAGCTTGCTGGATGTCTTTCTGTCCAAAGTATGCGCGATCCGGCTGGGGTAAGTCGAGGCACGTACGAGCACCACATTGAATAGCTTCGTGACGATCGTGGCGACACCGCGGAAGAAAGTCGGGCGTGTGCCGCCCTCCATCTGATGCGAGAGGCCCTTGACCTCAACAAAGGCACCAACTTGCGCATCCACGCTCTGAGTAATGCCATTGGGATACATGTCGAGCACCTGAGGCACAAGGACGACGAGTCGGTCAGCGAGGCGTGCGCGTTCCTGGCGCTCCCCGAGGAGCGTCAGGTCCGCCGGCAGCGTCCGCGGATAGCTCGCAAGATCCTCATGAGGCGCAAATTGCGCAGGGTTCACAAAGATAGACACCACTGTGTAGTCGTTCTCACGCAGACTCGCGTCAACAAGCTGCAGATGGCCCTCGTGCAGTGCACCCATCGTTGGCACAAACCCGACGGACTGGCCATGCTGCAGGCACGACTTCCGCCACACGCGGAACGTATGCACTGTGTCGAACACACGCACAGGAGCAGAGGCCATGTGGGCCGACAGGCGATTCGACGCCATGGCGCAAGGATGAGCGTCGCACCGCGCGGCACTCGTTTGAGCCTCCACCTGCACGACGGCGACGATGGTCGAGCAGTTTGATCCATTTGCCGACGTGCGCAAGTTTGCGTATTCGGGGACGGTCCGCGCTGCCTACCCGCTGAGCCCTAGGCCCAAGGTCCCGTCGCACATCCGGCGCCCGAACTATGGCCGTGAAGCTGTATGTCCGCTGCTCTGACCCAGCTATTTCCCTCGCGCCGGATTCGGGTGAACAGCACGGAAGAGCAGGAGGGCGTCCGTGTGGCCGCGAAGCTCGCGCGCGAGTCGCTCGACCTGATCGGCGCAATGGTGCGGCCTGGCATCACGACAGACGAGATTGACCAGGCGCTGTTCAAGGCGGCTGTCGAGCGGGGGTGCTATCCGAGCCCCCTCGGGTACCACGGCTACCCCAAGAGTGTGTGCACGTCGGTGAACGAGGTCATTTGCCACGGTATTCCTGACCAGCGCAAGCTCGAGGACGGCGACATTATCAATCTGGGTATGTACATCGGACTTACGCAGATGTGACGTTGTATCACAATGGTGCGTGGTAGATCCTGACCCGCAGGTTTTCATGGCGACTTGTACGTGCCTGGACTCACACCAGGAATGCGACGTATCCTGTGGGTGACAAGGCCCGCGCGAACGCGGACCTGATGAAGCTGATCCGCACGGCTCGGTACGCGCGATGCACTGACCGCAGCGAGTGTCTGGACGCCGCGATTGCGATTTGTGGCCCTGGCATGCCATACGCGGAGGTGGGCCATGTGATACAGCCGATCGCTGAGCGCAACGGCTGCTGCGTCGTGAGGAACTACACGGGCCACGGCATTGGCCGCGTGTTCCATGGGCCGCCACCCGTGTACCACTACCCCACGAAAAAGTCCTACGGTACGATGCAGCCTGGCCACGTACGTGCACCCGACTCACCCAGATCTTTACGTGCGTTGCATCACTGACGCAGCATCGAACCGATGGTCAATCTCGGCCAAGAGTGGCGCGACATCGAGTGGCCCGACGACTGGACGATCGCGTCGAGGGACGGCTCGCCGTCGGCGGCCGCGGAAGAGACCCTCCTGATCACAGATACGGGCGTCGAGATCCTCACCGCTCAGGGCGGGCCCCGTGTGCTCGACACGACCGAGGCACGCGAGCGCCACCTCGCTGCGCGCCGCGCCACCGCGCCCAGTGCGGCGCCGCTCTCGTCCGGATAGTAGATCACGTGATAGTCGGCCGTTCGCGGCGCAGAAAGGGGCCCGTCCCAGGGTGATTTTGCGTCTCTACCACATTGCCTGTAAGTGGCGCCGCCGGCCTCACACGCAGATTATGACGACTATCGCTCCCATCAAGGGCATGATCCGCAAGCGCCTGACCCTCGACCTTACGGTCAGTCTCGGCGGTGGCATTCTCGCCGCCTGCGCCTTCTGGTACGGCAGCCACATTCCTCGCGTGCAGCAGCGTATGTACCGCCCTCACTTACCGCAGGTGATGCCTTCTACGCGAAGCTGAACGCCGAGAAGCAGGCATAAGCGCCTCTTCTACCATAGACTCGCTACCTGCTCATTATCTCCTCTCACCAGCACTCCTCCTGCCAGCGCCGCTCCGCCTCGAGCGTCGCAAAGAAACGCGCAGCCTGTTCGGCATCCATGGCTCCGTGCTCCTGGAACACGGCGACGATGGCGTCGCGCACCTGCTCGGGCATTCTGCCTGACGAGCCACACAGATAGGCAATACCGCGCCGAGCGGCGAGCACGTCCCAGATACGCGCGCCCTGCTGCCGGACAATGTCCTGCACGTACACCTTGTCGGCTTGGTCGCGGCTTGCTGCGACATGGAAGGTGAGGCGCGGCGGGCCACGCTCGCTCGAGATGTCGGCTGGGCGCGCGTCGGGCCGCTGGGGTATTTCGCCACGCGCCCATGCCTCCCACTCGTCGCGAAAGAGGCAGTCGCGCTCCATGTAGCGGCAGCCGGCGATTACCAGGTGCTCGCCTGGCGCTTGGTGCGCGAGCCGCTCCTGCACGAGGGCGCGCAGCGGTGCGATGCCCGTGCCAGGGCCGATCGCGATGATCGGCACCGACGCCTGCGCCGGCAAAAGGAGCGTGCCGGGCTGCAAACGGAGTGGGACCTGCGCACCGTGCTGCAGGCGCGCAAGCCACGCACTAGCTGTGCCCACGCGGGGCTTTTGGAGGCGCGTCTTGTACTGTACCACAGCCACGGCCAGCTGAATACAGCGAGGGTACATCTGGCGTCAGACGAGCGTACATACACTGGGCGCACTCGCAATGCTGTAGGCCCTCTCGCGCATGGGCGGGAACAAGTCCATGACATAGGCAACAGGCACCTGCACGCTCTTGAACTCGATGAGCACCTCGAGCATTGTGCGGCGTACGCGCTGTGCATACTCGTACATGTCGTCGGTGCCGTCGCCGGGCTGCAGGAACTCGACGATTTTTTCGTGCTCCATGTGATTGCGCGGCGTAAAGTGCTGCAGCAGATCAAAGAACGAGCGGCGGGGTACGGCTAGGGGGTCAAGGTACTGCGTGAGGAGGCGCCGCAACGTAAGTGTGTGTGCCGCCGATGCCTGCGCGAGCGCGTGGGGCAGTGCGTGATTCGCATCGGCAGGCGTCAGCTCGAGTCGCTGGTCGGCCACGTCGGTCCAGCCGAGGCGCCGCAAGAGTATTTCGATGTCCTCGGGCGCATTCTGGGGTAGAAAGGTGGCCACGTCGCCGGCCTGATAGGGCGGCGCGTCGTCAGGTAGCGTGATCTCGATGCACCGCACGTCCTGAAAGTGCGACGCAGCCGTCATGCGGTCGTTCCGGGCAAGTGTGCCGACGATCGCCTCGCTGGGGGGCGTGGGTGCATGGACCGGCGCATCAGACAGCGCCACACGCACGCGCGGTGGAAGCAGTGTGTCCGCAGGAATCGGCACGCGCCCCTGCGGCATGAGATCGTCGCGCAAGTGGCTCGTGAACGTCTCGAGCCATGGCTGCAGTCCGCCCTCGAGGCTGGGGTCAGGGGGGAGCGACGTACCCTAGCTCGTGCTGTTCGTCAGCCTCGCCGCGCTCGAACCACTCGGCGGCACCCAGGTCGCTCAAGCGGCGGTTCAGCATGCGGGATGCCCAGCAGAAGCGCGTGTAGACAGAATCGCCGAGTCCAAATGTGGCGAATGTGACGTCCGACAGGATATCGTCAGGAAGGCCCTTGCGCAGGAGGAAGCGCCAGAACGCGCGCGCCGGCGTGGGGAACTCGCCGTTGCCCGTCGTGGACACAACAAACACGACATGGGTCTCATTCACGAGCGCAAGCTGCGTGAGCCGGCGATACGTACGCGATCGTAGTCGGCAAGGTTGACTAGGCGCACCGACACATGATGTCGATAGGCGATCTGTGCAATTCGGTGCGCTACGTCCTCGGCATTGCCCGTTTCCGTCGCATACAGCACGGTCAGGGCCGCTGACGTAGGCTCCATCGAGCTAGGCGCCGGCGTCGGTGCGCCTTGCTGCATGTGGAGTTAAAAGGGCCATTTGCCACGTCTGACTACCTAGCTATGGCCTACTTGAGGATCTTGCCGTCGGCCCAGGCCTTGCCGTCGATGACGGCCTCCCACGCGAGCATGTCCTCGAAGAACTTCTTGTCCTCCTCCTTGTTGAAGATGTCCAGGGGAGAGACCTCGTAGCTCTCCAGGTCAGGCGCGACGCTGAGCACGGGCTGCCAGTCGTGGCCGCGGACGATCACGATACCCGCGATCAAGCTGTTGTTCGCCTCGCCAAAGACACCGGCGGTGCCCATAATGTACTTGCGGCTGGCCTCCAGGCGGTTGAAGAAGCCACCGATCTGGTTGCAGCTCATGAAAATGTGGGTGAGCTCGTTGTTGTACTTGAAGTCAAAGCGCCAGATGCTCCAGCCCTCCTTGTCAAAGTGCTCGTAGAACCACGGGATGGCCTTCGAGCGAGTGTCCTCGTTCGAGTACACACGCTTCCACTCGTCGACCACGAAGCTCGACTTGGGCAGCGCGTCGAGAGGGTTCTTCGGCTTCTCCTCCTTGGGCGCCGGAGGCTCCGCGGCGGCGGCAGCGGCCGGCGCAGGCGCCGCCTTGGGCTTCTCCTCCTTCTTGGGCGGCACAAACTTGGCCGTCGCGGCACAGTACTCGGGGTTCACGGGGAATGCACCGCGGATCGCCTTCTGGTTCACGACGGTGGACAGGTATCGCTGCACATGCGGGTACTTGCCGCGGATCTCAGGGCCAGCGAACCGCTCGTACGCGTTCAAGATCACAGAGGTGACAGCGAGGTCAGCGGCCGTGAGACGGTGGCCGACCAGGAAGGTCTGCGCCACGAGGTGCTTCTCGACGTGACCCAGCGCCTTCTCGAGGTCCGACCACGCGCGCTGCTCGTACACCTTGTTGTAGGGCAGCTTGTGCGAGAACATGGCGAACAGCGTCGACATGCTGTTGAAGATCAGGTCGTCGGCGAAGTTGATCCACTGGTCGACGAGCGCCTGCGAGGCCCTGTCGGTGCCAAGGAGCTTGGCGTTGTCGGAGAGGCCAGCCACTGTCGTGTCAGTCTAGTTCATACGTCCGTCCCCGTCTCAGACAAAATACCACACGTGCTAGGCGCACTACCCTCGACATGTCTAATTAAGACAGGGATAACTGAAACATCGACATCTTGGACGGGGAGGCTGTGCATACGTACCGTACTTGAGGATCGTGCGCGACTCGGTCAGGACGAGGCCGTCGGCACCCTCAAAGGTCGGGACCTTGCCAAGGGGGAACTTGGCGAGGAACTCGGGCTTGTGCGAGTCCTGGACAGGGATCGTAGGCACAACCTCGAGCTCAAGACCATTCACGTTGGCCGCAGCGACCACGCGGGTAACCTTGCCGATGGTCGGCGCACCGTAGATCTTTCCAATGGAAGCCATGGTAGTAAGGGACGATGGAAGGGCACCGAAGGTTTCGCACGCGGCTGGTCTCCTTGCGCCACGTGGCCCTTGCGCGGTGATCGGTGAGTGGCCGCCGCCTGGCTCGTCCACTCACCATGTCGCGCCGGTACGACTCGCGCACGACGACATTTTCGCCAGAGGGTCGGCTGTACCAGGTTGAGTATGCGATGGAGGCCATCTCTCACGCGGGCACCGTGCTCGGCATCCTTGCGGAGGACGGCGTCGTGCTTGCCGCTGAAAAGAAGGTCACCAGCAAACTGCTGGAGCAGGATAAGAGCAGCGAGAAGATCTTCCAGCTCAGTGGCAACGTGCTGGCGGGTGTGGCCGGCATGACGGCGGACGCGAACTCACTGGTCAACTATGCGCGCAATGAGGCGCAAAAGTATCTGCTTTCCTACGACGATGACATCCCCGTGGAGCAGCTGGTGCAGCGCGTGTGCGACTTGAAGCAGGGGTATACACAGTTCGGAGGCCTGCGTCCCTTTGGTGTGTCGCTGCTGTATGCAGGCTACGACGCGCACCATGGCTTCCAGCTGTACCAGTCCGACCCATCGGGCAACTACTCCGGCTGGAAGGCGACGTGTGTGGGCATGAACAACGGCACCGCCACGAGCCTGCTGAAGCAGGACTACAAGGTCGACATGAGTGTCCAAGAGGCCCTCGGCCTCGCGGCGCGCGTGCTGAGCAAGACCATGGATACGACGGCGATGGAGAGCGACAAGCGTACGTCCCCCTATCTGACACCAGTGGAATTCGCCATTCTCCGGCGGCGTGCACAGCCTGCAGACGCGCCACTGCTCCATATCCTGTCGCCGAGCGAAATTGACCGTGTGCTCGAGCGGCACGGGCTCGCGAAGCAGGGCGAGGGCGCGGACGCGCCGAAAAAGAGCGAGTCGATGGCGGTGGACGCTTAGACCCGCTTTCGTAGAGCTATGTATCCGTACATTACCGACGCATACCCGGAGGGCCAGGCGCGCGTCCACGTCGTGCTTGTGCTGCGGTGAGTGGCGTGCACGTACCTCGCAGGATCGTCGCGCGTCCACGTGCGCTGCCGATGCCGCGGCCCTTCATGGCATTCGGCCCAATGCTCTTGAGCATGGGCGCCTGCTGGAGCATATCAGGAATGACCATGAAGCGGATCATATTTCCGCGCACATAGACACTGTCGAGATGTGTCTGCTTGCCGTCGCGCCCCGTCACGGCAATGTCCTTCATGGCAATGTTGAAGTTGTCTTCGGCTGCATGTCAGCAAGCTTGCGTACCATCAAAGAGCCTGCCACGGTACGTGACACCACCCTTCAGCTCAATAGTGATCGTGTGGCCCACGGCCTCATGGAGCAGCTTGACCGGAATGCCCACGGTGCCCATGCTGTCGAAGCGGAGGGGCGACGGCCCTCGTCCGCCGCAGCGAAAGACATCACGTGACTCCATTTGACGGCGACGCGCGCGCGCGGCGTGGCGGGCCGGCCATAAACAGGGCGGGCCAGTGGAGGCGCGGCGGGCGCGAGCGGTGCACGGGAGACGCGCCCGCCCTTCGTTCACGCCACAAAAGACGTGTCGATTGACTTGGTGTACACTGCCGGACGAAAAGAACCATGCCTAAGCAGCCTACGCAGAAAGTGTCGACGACTACGCGCCGGACAAAGGCGAAGAAGGACCCGGCTGCCCCAAAGCGCCCCCTGAGCGCGTACATGTTTTTCAGCCAGGACTGGCGCGAGCGCGTCAAGGCGGAGAACCCCGACGCCGGCTTCGGTATGTAAGCAGCCCTGACGCCAGGTGACGTGGGTCGTTTGCTGGGTACCAAGTGGAAGGAGATGAGCGACGACGAGAAGAAGCCGTACATCGACATGGCCAACAAGGACAAGGAGCGTGCCGAGGCCGAGAAGGCCGCGTACGCGGTACGTGCGCGCCCCTGACCCCAGAACAAGGCCTAAGCGTCTATAGCCTGCGCCGGAGCCGGGGCCTCTAGGCCCGTGCTCGTGAGCTTGTATTGTACTCCTCTAGCCCACCTAATCTAGCTCTAGTTTCGTGCAGAGAGACTTTGTAGCAGATCCATGCTCTTCTCATACTGTGGTCAGCGAGCTGCACGCACCACCGTGAAGACGATACCGCCGCTCAGCATGAGACGTGCGAGGCGCGGCGTGGCGCCGCGCCAGAAGGCCAGGAGGCCCTCGTCGCGGAACACCTGGCGCATGCAGTCCAGGGTGCCCGCGTACCGCTGCCGCGCATCGAGCGCCTGCATGCGCGTTTTGACGACGTCCAGCGGCATGGTCGCATACACCGTCACGATGCCGGCCACCGCGCCGATACCGAACGTGACGCCACCCGGCAGCGGCTGTCCAGGGCGCGACGAGGTCTGCACAAAGTTGCGCAGCGTGGAGTATGTGCCAAACCGCACCGCACTGTTGGCGCCCTGGCGCAGCATGACCGGTACGAGGCCGCGGTAGATGCCCAGCAAGCCCTCGTCGCGCACAATCGCCATGGAGCCGCGCACGAGGCCTGGCGGGTACTTGGGCGTCTCGCGCTTGGCATCGTCGATCAGCTTCGTTCTGCGTGAGTCGGCACTGCGTACTTGATCGTCTCGGACGGCGTCACCGCAAAGATGGCCTCCATCATGCCGGCACCCAGACCCGCGAGCAGGCTGCGGGGGGCCGTCAACTTACCCTCCTCGTTCTTGAGCATGTCCTTAAAATGGTCATACGACAGGAACCGCACACCAGCCTTGAGTGCATTCCCAGCCACGAGTGCACCACACCCACTGTACAGGCCCGTGATCCCGTGCTTCGCGACCGTCTGGCGCACAACCACGAACGGATGCGGCGGCTGACATTACCACCGCTCTACGCACCTTCTCGCCCGGCTTAGCCGAAAACTGCGACACCGTCTTGGTGTACTCAATTGGGTACGTCGCAAAACCCTCAACCGCGCCGGCCAGTGTGCCCGACGTCAGCGAGAACACCGGGTTCACCTTGCTTTTATCACGCGCCGTCATCGTTCTACGTCAAGTGGAGGTTCCGCCCAGCTTGCCGGGCGCAGCCTCGGCCTGCAACACACGCTGCACGCGGTCCAGCGTCTCCTGCGTCGTGCGCGGGCGACGGGGGGCCGGCCCTGACGCCCTGCGCGTCTCCGGCGCCGCCTTGCGCGTGAGCAGCTGCCAGTATGCGGAGCCCTGCGTGCCCCGCTTAAGCATGCTCAGCTCCTGGTCCTTGGCCGCACTGGGGTTAGTCTTGTCTACGCACAGAGCCAGCGAAAAGTGCAGAGATTCGTCTTCCAGACGCTCGCGCTGCGACTGCAGCTGCACAAGCTCAAGGTCGCGCCGCGATACGTCGTTCTCCAGTGTGCGGATCCGCTGCTGCAGCGCATGGTTCTGCGCCTTGAGCCCCGCTTCCAGCTCGTCCCGCTCCTCGCGCAGCCGCGTGCACTCGCCCTGCAGTGTAGCGCACTGCACCTCGGCGCGCACACGCGCCTCGGCCAGCGCGTGCTTCTCTGCCTCGGCCTCAGGCGCACGACTCGCGCGCTCGCCCAGCTGCAGCTCCAGGTCGGCCACGCGCGCCTCGAGCGCGCGCTCCTGCTCCGCTGCCTCGTGCAAGCGCTCTTCCAGCACGTCCACGAGGCTCGGCGCACGCGCCTCGGCCAGCTCAGCGCGGAGGCGGCGGATCTCGTCCGCCGCCTCCTCGCGCGCTTGAAACACGCGCACATCGGCGTCCCGCGCACACGCTGCGCGCACGGCCTCTTCGACCTGCAAACGATCACCGCCCTCGGCGCTGGCAGCGAGACGCACCTCCAAGTCGCGCCGCTCTGTCTCGAGACGCTGCCGGTCCGCAGCGAGCGCTTCGCGCTCGACAGCCAGCTTCTCGCGCTCGGCGGCGGCCGAGCCAGACTCGGCACCCGGTCCGACCAGGAGCGCGCCATGCATCGTCGCGAGGCGCTCTTCCAGGTGCGCCGTCAGTGCACGCAGTTCGCTGTGTGTCGAATCAGTATCGTCGGCTTCCATAGCCGCTTTGCGCGTGAGAAAGTCGTGCACACACGTCTCGACCATCTGGATCTTGCTCTGCGCCTGCTCGAGGCTCGCACGTAGCAGGCCCGTCAGGTGGTGCGAGCGCGCGAGGCGGTGCTGCAGGAACAGCGTGCGCTGCGTGTGTGTGCGGTCCAGCGCCACAATCATGTCCAGGAGCTCGCGCGCATCGACGTGGTCCAGCTTGTCAATAGTAAAGAGCTTGGTCGAGAGCGCTTCCACCGCGTACGGCACCAGCGGGCCCGTGTCCACCTCGTCCAGCGCATCCTTCTCGGTGAGGTAGCTAAACTCGTACATCCCCGGCCACTGCGCCGCGCTGGGACTCGCTGCACTCTTGGCAGAGCGCAGACTTGTGTCGCCGCGCGGCGTGCCCCATGCGGAACTGCTTGTTGCTAGACTCGAGTCCGCCCCGGTCGACCGCGCTAGCAGCGCTGACTTGGCCGGAGCACTCGGCGACTCGAATGGGTTTATGTCGTCCTGGTGAGATTCGTGTGTTGGCGACATGCTCGGGGCCTCCTTGGCGGGAGGGGATAGGCTCGGTGCGGGTGCCTCGGCGGGCTCGTGCGATGGGTTGTTGGCCTCGTGAGATAGCTCGGCAGGCTCGTGGGATGGCTCGGCGGGCTCGTGGGATGGCTCGGCGGGCTCGCGGGATGGCTCAGCGGGCTCGCGAGATGTCTCGGTGGCCTGCGCTTTGGTGGGCTCCGCGTTTTGGGACGACTCAGCTCGAGGCACAGACACGTCAGGCCCAGGCGCGGCCCGAGATGCACGGATTGTCGGCGAGCTAGGCGCGAGCGACTCATCAGGCGGCGAAGAGTCTGCCTGCGTTGGCGAGTGCAGCGGACTCGCATCCTCTGCAACAGACGCCAGGTCCGTGGCCCTGGGCGGGCGTGCCGTCGCCTGGCCTTCAGCAGGGGGAAGGCGCGCCGGTGTAATGGGCGCCGCCCATTCGGAGCCACTTTCGTCGAGACCGGCGAGCGCGCCATCGACTTCGCGGCGCAGAAAGCTCTCGGTAAAGCTCATCTCGGGCGAGTCGCCCTCACTCCGAAGCGACTCATCGTGCGACGGCGACGGGTGGGCACTTGCGTCGAGCTCGCCAGTCGAACTGCTCACTGAGGCCGTCAACAAACTTTCCTCGCCGTCCTCATACGTGCGCATCCCAAACCGCACACTACTCCCCGTGCCTGGCGTATGAGGGGACCGCAATATGCCGAGGTGCTGCGGCCTTGGCGTGTGCAGTCCACCCGACTGCATGGTGGGCGGTCGGCACGGGACGCGACCCTGGTGGACCGTCAGGTCACGACGCGCTGATATCTACCCGCTCGTATCCCTGTCTACGGGTTCCTTGTGTCTATGTACACGCCTCGCCACCGAGCCACGGCAGGCAGCCGTGGCGTGGCGCGAGTGGCTCTGCCGCGCCGGAGCAGCGCGCGTCGTGCGCGTCGTGTCACGTGCGCTCTTTTTTTTTGTCGGGCACTGGGCGGCGATGCGTCTTGCCTCGGAGCGCCCTGGTGGCGGCGAGGCTAGTCATGTCGCGCCTCATCGTCAAGGGCCTGCCATCTTATCTATCTGATGCGCGACTGCGCGACCACTTTTCTGAAAAGGGCCATGTCACGGATGTAAAGCTGATGAGGCGGCCTGACGGCACGTCCCGTCGCTTTGGGTTCGTAGGCTTCCGCACGGAGGCGGAGGCGGCAGAGGCGTGTGCGTATTTTGACCGCACGTACATCGATACCTCGCGCATCTCGGTCGCACCCGCCAAGAAGATCGGCGACGAAGATCTTGCGAAGAAAGAGCATGTGCGCGGGGGGGCTAAGGCCGCCGCGCCCACTGAGGCTAAGCCACCGCGGACAAAGGCGAGCGAGAAGGGCGCCTCGTTTGAAGAGTTTCTCTCAGTCATGGCGCCGCGGACGAAACGCAAGACGTGGCAGCAAAACGAGGACCTCGATACGGCTCATGCAGCAGGGGCGGAGGAGGCAGTGGCGGAGGCGCCGCAGGCGAAGAAGCCCAAGCGTGCTGCCGTGCCCGCGGCGCCAGACACGCCGCCAGTTGTGGCCCCGACTGACGGCGCTGCTGCGGATGAGACGCTCTCGGACCTCGAGTACATGCGGCGGCGCATGCGCCACCGGGTCGCCGGTGGCGACGAGCCGCCCAAGGTGTTCGAACAGAGCGACTCGGAAGCCAGCGAGGCGGAGGAGGAAGCGGACGAAGCGCCTGCGGCTGAGCGGCGGCGTGCGCAGCTTGAGGAAGAGCAGCGACGCGATGAAGAGAATGTCGATACGATTATGGAATCAGGCCGGCTATTTGTGCGGAACCTGCCATATTCGGCGACGGAGGACGAGTTGGAGAGCTTCTTTACGACGTATGGCCCCGTGGAGCAGGTACGTCGCTGCGGAGCGTGGCGGCAGGCACAGGATGACCTACAGTATAGGGACAACCGAAGCCTCTACTGCGGAGACATACTGGGAAAAAGATAGTAGATTTGTCTGACGCCTGCCGCTGCTCCCCTGCATGAACTTACTAACGCCAGGTGCATATTCCCCTCGACCCACAGACCAAGGCGTCCAAGGGTCTAGCGTTTGTCAAATATCACGATGCAGCGCACGCGCTGCTCGCATTCCGGGGGCGCGATGGTGCCATCTTCCAGGGTCGCCTCTTGCATGTACTGCCGGCTGTAAGCCTGGCGCCGAAGCCTGCACACCCTGCGACGCTGAAGCAGAAACGCCTCGAGGCGAAAAAGGCCCAGGCCGGCAAGGACTTTAACTGGAGCATGCTGTACATGAACAGCGATGCCGTTGCCAACTCGATCTCGCACCGCCTGGGTATCGACAAGGCGGCGCTCTTAGGCACCGAGACGGACACGCAGGTGAGCCCCGCGGTGCGCCTTGCGCTTGCCGAGACGCGCGTGATCCAGGAGACGAAGCAGTTCTTTGCGGAGCAGGGCATCGAGCTGGACAGACTTGAGCGCGTTACAGCGCGCGCAGACGATACCATTCTGGTCAAGAACCTGCCGTATGGGACGACGGGCGAGGAGATTCGCGCGCTGTTTGCGCGGTTTGGCGACGTGGGACGTGTGCTGATCCCACCGGCCAATACGTTGGCCGTGGTCGAGATGCCCGTGGTGGGCGAGGCTCGGGCGGCGTTCCGTGCACTCGCGTACAAGCGGTTCCGTGACTCCGTGCTCTACCTCGAAAAGGCGCCTGCGTCGTTCCTCCCGCCGCGCGATGCGTCGAAGCCGGCTGAGATCATCTCGGGTGTTCAGGGCAAGACGGTGCCCGACTCGAGCCGCTCGCTGCGGGACGTCGACGAGGCACCCGTGGCAGCTGATGCGACGCTGTACATTAAGAACCTAAGCTTTGCGACGACACCGGAGCGCCTTACCGAGGCATTCCATGCGCTCGATGGCTTCCTCTTTGCGCGTGTGCAGACCAAGCCGGATCCTAAGCAGCAGGGCCGTCGCCTCAGCATGGGCTATGGCTTCGCAGGCTTCGCGTCGCTTGCGCAGGCGCAGGAGGCGCAGAAGAAGATGGACGGCGACGTGCTCGATGGGCACACACTCAGTGTCTCGTTCGCGCGACGCGGCCGCGACGCGGATGACGCTGCGCCGAAGAAGGCCCCGTCGACCAAGATGCTCGTGAAGAATGTGCCATTCGAAGCGACAAAGAAGGATCTGCGCGAGCTCTTTGGCGTGCATGGGCAGCTCAAGAGTGTGCGGCTTCCGAAACAGGTGCATGGGCGGACGCGCGGCTTCGCGTTTGTTGAGTTTGTGTCGCGGCGCGAGGCGGAGCATGCTATGAACACCCTGCGCCACACGCACTTGCTCGGCCGCCATCTAGTGCTGGAGTGGGCCGGCGATGCCGACGGTACGGCAAGTGTCGACGAGCTGCGTGACAAGACGCGCAGGGCGTACGTGAGTGAGGCCGAGCGGTCCGCTCTCGTGGGCCAACGCGCCAAGATTCGACTCGGTGCCGAGCAGGTCGCCGAGGCTGTGGCACAGCAAAAGGCACAGGATGACGACGATAGTGATGCATAGTAGTACTATACCCAGTCCGATGATCTAGGGCGGCGAGTGGCGCGCCTCCGGCCCGGTCAAGCTCGGTTGCAGCGCGGGGAATTGCTCGGCGAGTGCCTGCCCCAACTTGTCGCGAAATGCCTGCGTTAGTCGTGGCGCGTACCTGGATTGCCTCGTGCTGCCCGAGCGAGTATTGGTTCTCGCTCGCCAATCGGTTCATGAGCGAGCGCGTATGGCTGTCGGGGTTGCGTCCCGCGTCGACGAGGCTGCGTCAGGCGATCCAACATACTCCAGCACGTCCTTGGGAATACGCGCGTGGATGTGGCCACGCATAGCATCGATGTCGGCTAGGCGGCGAACGACGTGATTCCTGGGATAAGTGGGCATGACGTACACGCTCTCTCCAACGCCTAAAACGGAGCTGGGCTGCCCATCGGCGGCGCGCGCAGCAAGGTCGTACAGAGCATCGACGACTGCGAGCGTCCGCGTCTCGAGGTCCCGCCGTACGATCTCTTCGACGCGAATCGGCTCTGATCCGACGGGTCCATGCCTCTCCATGCCACCAGCTGCGCCAGGCGGCGACGGCGACGCACTCGTAGGCGTCACAGGCGCAGCCGACGGAGCCATCGCGCCAGGGGTGGAGGGAGCGTCTCGTCGAGAAGTAGAGGCACGTGAGCGTGTGGCGCAGCTACGAGGTCTATGGCCAGTCCTCGTCGGACTCGTCCATGTCGCCGTCGGCGATCTCGTTGGCGAGTTCGCGCTCACGCTCGTGGGCTGCTGTGGCAGACGCGAGCTCGGCTCGGTGGCTGTCGAGTGAGTAGCGCATGGCCTGGTGTGAGTCAATGCTGCGTACCTTGACGCTGTCGTTGTGCAGCTGCAGGCAAAAGTCGATGCGCTGCTGCAGCTGCGCCTGCGGCTCGTTCGTGGCGTAGATGTCCACAGCCTCATTTGAGACCATAGTGGCACTGTCATGCTCGACGCGCGCATCAATGACGCCGTCGCGGATGGCCTTGGCAATCACGTACTCGGCGTCTTCCTCCGAGTCCAGGTGCAACTTGCGCGTGATGTCAGCCAAAGAAATGCGCGAATATGCGAGCGAGATGCGGCGAATACCCGTCTTGATCACATTGTGACGCAGACGCAGAATCAGCGAGTACGTCTTGTCTCGCAGGAACAGGGCCTCGTGCTGCTGCAGCGTCGCTTGGAAGAGAGACAGGTCACCCACACGCACCGCCTGCACAATTGGCAGGTACGACGCGAGCGCGTGGCGCAGCATTGGGATACGGAAGAGAGAGCGCTCTGGCAGGTCGCCCATCAGCAGCTCGACAATGATCAGCAGTTTGTGCGCCGTCTGCAGGAAGCCAGAGGCCAGCGGCTTGGTCACCTGCGCGTTCTCCAAGCCGGGCGTGCGCTGCGCCAGGAGCCCCTGCTGTGGTGCGCGGCGGATCGCTTGCTGCAGACATGTATGAGCGTCCGAGTAGTTCAGCTGCACAGCACGGATCCGGCCGACGTAGTAGTCGTAGCGCGCCACCTGCGGGTTCGAGGCCTTGCCCCGCGGGAACGTCGCGCGTGCCACGAGCTTGTCGGCCTGGTCATACAGGTTGCCCTCGACGATATACATGCGCAGGAGCACATTTTGCACAGTCGCATTTGTCTCAGCATCGTGTCGCAGGGATGACGTGCGCTGCAGGGCGAGCAACTTGTCGCGCAGGGCCGACAGACTCTGCGGACCCAGTTCATAGCAGCGCGCGAGGAAGAAGATCAGCTTGGCGCCCAGCAGGTCCAGCGAACGGCGATTCTGCTTCACCACATCGTCGAGGGCCTCCGCACACAGCTCCATCGACTGTGCACGCTTCTCGGGCTGGTCCAGCAGGTACACCACGACAAGCAGCCGCAGGTAGGCCACGCACTCGGGCAACGCCTCGGCCCGCGCACCGCCCGTTTTGGGCGGCGCTACCGTCTCGTCGCTCGGGGCCTCCTCGTTGGAAGGCTTGTCCTCCTCCATAGCCACGGCACCCTCGGTGTTCTGACCGGGTTCCTCGGGCTGGTACGGGCTGGGAAGCTGTGCAAGGAGCGTGCGACGCACCGAATCTGACACTGTGAGCCATCGGAATGACGTACCTGCTTCTTTCAAATTCTCTTCAATGACGAGGGCCAACACATCGGCCTTCTCTTGCAACTGCCGCCGCACATAGGGCAGTGAGCGCAGCACTCGTGCCGCATAGCGCTGCTCCACATGAAGGACACTGCGCTGAAGGAGCGCGAGGTTGTGGCGGAGTAGCGCTAAGTACTGCATCTTCGTATTGCTAGACGCCGTTTCATGGTTTGATGCAACTTTAGAAGAAACAGCAGGCACCACCTGCGGCTCTTGCACGCCACCCGCACTCGCAGTCATCAGGGAGCAGGAAGCGTCGATGAACGAGCGTAGCCGTCTCACCACGCCGCGCGTCGATCACAGCTGACTAATCAAATTCCTTCATTGTGACCCACTATCCTCTCGGACGACCTGTCTACTTGTGGTATCCCACATTCGCATGAATCACCATTGATTCTCGGATGACGAGATGCACAGCCGTCACAGACACAATATCGCGTAGTTCCTCTCGCGAAAAACCACCGCCATCTGCGCCCAGGGCGCTGTAGCGCAGATCCGGCAGCGGCAAAGGCAGCAGCAACTCGCACACCACGAGCGGGTGTTGAGGCGCCGGCACAAGGCGCCCAATAGGTATACGAGTGCTTCCGTTCAGGACAATCGAGCACGTCCAAGGCCGCAGCTCCAGACTCTCCTGCTCCGACCCGGGCACGACATTCCGAGTTGGCGACGACGTACCGCGCCTCCGCTGACTAGGACATCGTATACCGAAGCCATGAGCGGCGTCTCCCTCCGTTTCACTCAAATGGGGAGTATCCGTAGGCGTCATTCGCATGTCTGTCGATCCCCTCGAGTGGGAGGGCGTCGACTCCAAGCTACCATGAACCGCAGGGTCGTACAAATTCATCGGGTTGTCCAGGCCGCCATTCCACTCGCGAACCCACTCAAACCAGATAGAGATTTTTGGGGGCTCACATACAGTGGATGTTGCCGTACTGTGATCCATTGTGCCAAAATGCTCCAGAATACGCGTCAAGATGGCACGCGACGTTGCATGATGTAACGCATGAGCCTCGGGACTGTTGGGCTGGATCTCTTTGGTAAGTTCACTCTCATATTGCGACGCTGGATCAGGAACAAATGAGCCACGCAAAAATTGCTTAATTTCCCACACATAGGACGTAGTGATCCTGTCATGTCCATGCGTTGTCCGTGGCGTTGCATGGGGTATATAGGCTGAGCTCACAGACCGAGAGTTCCAAAGGCCCCACTCATTCGTTTCATCCTGATATGACGTCGTGGGCGTCAAATCATAGGGATCATGGGAGGACCGCACATGAGGGCTGTTACTCCGTGGACGCAGATGCACGCCCAGGCGCTTGATCTTACCCATAAAACCTTTCCTGGATCGGCTAGAAACAGCGTCATCATCCATGCCGTGATCGTGTGCGTGATCCACAGTGTTCGACTCAGGTTCCAGTGTCTCCGCACCATAGCCTGTAGCCGAGAGGTTTACCCGAATCTCCCGTGGCTGCAGAATAGCAAAGTCAGGCATCTCCACCGTGCGCCGCACAAACTTGGCCACCAACTGATCTGTCCCGGCGTCCAAGACAAGCTTGGGACGGATTTGGTGATAGTCCAAATTGTACAGTGCAATTGTCCGCCGCGCATTCATCGAGGCCACGGAAGATTCAGAGCCCGAATGATGACTCTTAAACGACCGCTGCGACGAGGAGCGCGCAACGAAACCGCCCAGCGTCCTCCCACTCGAATTGGACGCGGCGTGAGAGCCGTCAGAGTGCTCTGCGTCACTCTGAGGGTTGGAATCGTCACCACGCTCACCTGGCTGCTTGGGACTCACAAGCTGCACTTGTAAGTTGAAGGGATGGTGCTGTTGCATCTTGGGATTGGGCTGCACGATTACCAAGACCTCTGTGCTCGGCTTTGCCGTCTTCGACGTAGAAATAGGAACAGCCTTGGGGGCTTGTTCTTCTGCGACAGCGATCTCCTCCGCTGAAGAGGAGACTGACGCTGAGTGACCCACGCTAGGGGCGGCCAACTGGTCTGGCGGACCAGAATGGCGTGATGAAGCATCATCCAGTGCAAGACCCCCAGGCATCGTCGAGCTAGGCTCGCGCATACTAATGGCCTGGAATAGTTCCTGCCAGGGCGACATTAGGTTATGTCAAATTGATGAATGACAAGGGGATACAGCAGCGATTTTCGTGTCAACGTGGGAGGTCGCACAATTACTTGGCCAGTGGCGTGGGCTTTTTACTGGACGTAGGGGCCATCGCCGGCTACTTTCCTCCACACAATACACCACGTCGAGTATTCACGTGCTGCACTCATATCCGCGGAACTACGTGGAAATACGGTGCGAGGAACCGATGCCAGTCTTGGCGTGCAGACAGCGTTTCGGGATTCTAGAAGATGCCATCAGATTAACATAGATACATAGAATGGGTATGGAGCTGGATACATAGGCGACCTAGTCTACTTGGTGTGGTCCTGAGATAAAAAGGCGGGTATGTCACAGGGCGCTGCTCCTTATCGGACGGTCCGAGAAGGGTACGACATGCCTGCCACCCCGATACCCTTTGGTCCAAAATTCTGGTGTGAGTGAACGATACACACTTTGGAGTAGCACATATGACACCAAATATTCGGATGATCCTCTGTCGTCTGATCTGCAGGCCCCTCCTCTACGCGGTTGGTATCCAGCGTGGCGCGACACCCATCACAACGGAGACAGGCCCTGTGCCACTTGCGCCCGGCAGCTTGCTTCTGCTCGGCAAAGTCTGAGGTCAGCATCAAGTCGTACGCACACACTGGGCGCCGGCAACGTGCACACAGAGGCGTCCCACCCAACATGAGCGGCGCTTGTGTATGCAGGGACGATGCAGAGGCATGCTTCTCTCCCTCTAGTGGAGACGATGAGCTGGTCGCATGAGACAGCAGAGACTCGGGCAACGGCATAGGCTCCGCGCTTCCCGATGGTGCCATGGGCAACGGTCGGTGCCTTGGCTGCGAAATGGACGGCAGCGATGTTGCTGATGACATCTTTGGATTAGATAGAGAAGCAGATTCTGGTGTGACTGGCGGATGCACAAGGGAGGCGGAGCGGTGATGGCTGGCTTGTCGTGCGGGCTGGATCGAAGGCCGCAGAGGCACAGCTGTTCCGAATTTGTCTTTGCCCTGACCTAGATGGATTTTGTGGCAATTGTGGCAAATGGGTTCGCCGTCGTGTTCCAGCAGAGTCACGCTGTCCAGCAATCGGTTGCACACCACACATTTCAAGCAGCGTCGGTGGTACTTGACAGACCGAGGTCCCAAAACTTGCTCGGCCGCATAAACCCGGTCATGACAGCGTGGACACTGAGGTGCAGGACCAAAGACAGGTGGCATTGCTATTAAAGGCGCCCTCTGTTCACAGCATCCACCTGGAGTGACGATCCTTCTCTGTGCACCAACACCGCCTCGTTCGCGGTGTTCGTATCACGTGAGATGGAGGGTGCCTCGCGGGGTGGTCTGACCGCACGTGGATCCACGTGCGCAGCCGCCTAGGGACGGCTGCGTCGTGCGCCGGGGCGTGGTCTGCCTGGACGCTATGGACTTTCCTGCGCCCGTGTCGCGGGCACGGACCGTTCGGGCGGGCGCCTCGCCGGAAGACACGGCACCGAAAGAGGCAGCGTCCGTCTCTTTCCATGCGCTGATGGGCCAGCCCACTCCCGCGGAGACGGCTCTCGCTCCTATCCCATCTTGTGAGTCTATACGGGCTTGGGTCCATTCAGCGATATACGAGCCTGATCCTGCGCGTCCTTACCGCATTAATCCCCCGCCGACGGGTCGGCCCATTCGTATTTATGCGGATGGGGTCTATGACCTCTTTCATTATGCGTATGTTCTCTATCGCTAACGAGGGAGTCATGCACTCCAACTCCGGCAGGCCAAGCTCTCGTTCCCCTCTGTGCACCTGATTGTCGGTGTGGTATCTTCGGATCTTTGCGCCGAGCACAAGAACCGTCCCCTTATGCACTCGAAGGAGCGCTACGAGGCAGTGCGGAACTGCCGCTGGGTGGATGAGGTTCTAGAGGATGCTCCCTGGGTCATTAACCAGGGCATGATCGACCAGCTCCAAATCGATTATGTCGCCCACGACGAGCTTCCTTACGCCATGGCCTCATCGGGCGCCGCCAGCGACGATGTGTACGATTGGCTCAAGACCGCTGGCAAGTTCCTCCCTACGCGCCGCACCGAGGGTGTAAGCACGAGTGACCTAATTGCGCGTATGGTGAGCATGTATCGCCAAGGTGACCTGGACGGCAAGTTGACCAAGATGGGCGAAACGGAGTTGGTGTCTTCTAGATAATGTTCTTCATAAGCAAAGGGCTGTTGCTCCCCTACTATACTACGCTTCATCATCATCGCGCTTGCGTGGAGGCGACCAATCCCGCGGTTCGCGGTAGTCTCGGGCGCTACCCGGCGACCTGGGGGGCGGGCCTGAGTCCCGTGCGTCGTCGTATCCCGGACGAGTTTCGTCTGCGCGGCGCGGCGGCGGCGCACGCTCCCTGTCATCATAGTCGCGGCGACGTCGCTGCGGCGACGCAGACCTGGGTGGCGGCGGGCCTTGATGCCTTGGCTTGCTTGATAGCTGGGGTCAGCGCGTCCACGCGTACCTTGGCAAAGTCCACGTGGAGTCTGTACCGCCCGATCGGCATCCCATGAAGGTCATGGTAGGCGTCCTGACGTCAGTCAACAGCTACGGGGCGTACCTCGGCATCGCGTGGGTCGTCATACTCGACAAAGGCATAGAGCTTCGAATGTGGCGTTTTCTGCGGTGGGATGTCGCATCGGACTAGCGGGCCGATCCTATTCATGAGACAGAGGCTGACGTACTTTTCAAAATCGTAGGCAAGATCCCATGCCTCCATGTCCGGCGGAAAGCCCGTGACATAGAGCGTCGTGCGCGAGCTCGAGCGAGGGCCGTACGACATCTGCGTGGTATATGGACGCCCTTCGTGCGTGCACGGTGGTCGGCTGCCTGCCCTATCCACGTGACGACCACGTGGGCAGCGGGGGAGGGAAGCCGTGGCGAGCCTGCACGGCAGCCATAGCAACGAGCCATGACGACGATTCCCGCTCGCTTGGCCAAGGCTGCGCAGGTGTCGCATTCGCTTGCGCATGCACAGAGCCGTGCTCGCTCTCTGTACCGCAGCTGCTACCGTGCTGTAAGTATGAGAGGAAGCTTATGGCAGGTTCCCGAGATTTGCGCGCTGTACCCGCTGGATGTGCCGCCGGCCCTGCTGCGTGCCAAGATCCGCACCATGTTTGAGCGCAACCGCCACATCACCGACGTTGCGATCCTGGATGTGATGCTCCACAAGGGCTACCAGGAGTACCAGGAGACTGTGAATGCGTGGAAGCAGACGCCGCACGTTATGAAGTGGTTTGCCGAGGAGGAGGCGCCGGGTACGTTGACTGACGCGCTAACACCTCAGCCAAGCCCAAGACCTTCCTGGAGAAGTTCTATGCTACCCGTGACGAGGGCCGCGGCCCGACGCACTCGGGCCTGTAGTGCGATAGGCCAACCTTGGCATACTGGAGATAAAATACATGACTACATGCACTCCAACGGTGTCACAAAAAGTACTGTGAGGCGGTATTGCGTGTGGGATGCAGGTGCTCCTGGTCAGGCACAGCATCAAAGATTTTAAAGTGCGTCTCGTTGAACCGCGACTCGTCGGCGTGAGACTGCGCGCGCTCGGCCTCTTTCTCGATGCTGTCGGGCGAAACCAAGTCGTTCACTTCAAACACAGACGCGACATTGCCACAGCGGTAGCAGTAGTTGGGGGCGGACCACACTGTGACGATGTTGTTATCGTGCATGAGCTTGTAGCCCTCCTGCACCAGCTGATGCGCACGCGCGATCAGCTCGAGCCCATTCAGGTGATTGAACTCCTTGGTCACGAGACGGCCAAAGAGCCAGCCGGCGCCGCGCGGGCTCACGCTCCATGTCTCAATGTCCTCCGGATCCGACCACATGAGGTCACAGAACGGACCCTCGTGGGGCACTTCCTGCAGCCGCATAATGGTGCGGATCTGATCGAGCGAGCGCAACTCGGGGCTCAGGCCGCCATGCACGCACAGCACGCGGCCATCAATGATAGCGGCCAGGTTCAGATAGTCAAACACCTGGCAGCAGCTCTTCCATACACTGGCGCTGCCGTACTTTTGCATGCACTCATCTGGGGTCAGCGAGGGGCACGCACCATAGAATCCATAGACCTGAGTGATCTGTCGGCTCTCGTGGTTGCCACGGAGTAGGGTGATGCGGTTGGGGTAGCGCGCTTTGAGTGCCAGGAGGTACGAAAGCGTCTCGAGGCTGAAGAAACCACGATCGACAAAGTCGCCCATGAAAATATAGCTCGTGTCGGGCAGGTCGCCTCCGACGCGGAACAGCTCCAGAAGGTCCCAAAACTGACCGTGGATGTCACCACACACAGTAACAGGACTCGACACGGGCTGGATATTGCTTTCTTCCAACATGATCTGTCGGACCTGCTCGCACAGCACCATCATGTCTTCTTCGGGAAGGTACTTGCATTCGCGCAGCTGCGCAATCCAGCTATCTGGATTACCGACAGCCATTGTCAATGCAAGTCGCCCACGAGCCACAGATGCACGCGGTGCGACGATGCGAAGGACCTGGTGGCTGACGTGCCCGTCACGAGGGGCTTCCGTTCCGTGCATATTTCCTGTACCCCGCCGGGCGGACGCGCGGCGCTGTGGGGCGGACGTCGTTTGCCGCGCCAGAGGGAGAGGTGGCATCTAGGGCAGCGGCAAGGATCTCTATCTAGGCTACTTGCGCATCCGATCTCCCTGGCACGCTGTGTGCAGCGCGCGTGTGCTGGGCTGGGCGCCCTTGGCCGGGTGGCCGGGCGGAGTGGAGGTGCGCGCTGGCAGCGGCGTCGCAGCTCGTCGCTGGTTGCTGACCATGTGGATTCGTGGCGTCCTGTGGCAGGCGTCGCGCGCGGGCCAGGAGCGTACGACGCAGCCTGTCCCGCGTAAGCAGCGCATGCAGCGTCTCGCAGACACGGCGCACACGGACGAGCCGCGCGAGCGCCTCAAAGACTTTGCGCGGCGCGTGGATACCTGGTCGGAGAAGCGGTCGAACAAGTCCTTCTATGAGAGCTGGATGGGTACGTAAGAAGACCTGACAGGAGCTCTTTCGCCGCGCACGCGCATCGTTATGGGCCTCGTGGCGCTGGGCTTCTCGCTGACGGGCCTCTACGTGGCGGACTGGCTCGAAGACAAGTATCCTGAGCGAAACCACCGGCCCAGCGCGGCGCCGCGCGAGCCGCGTCTGCAGGGGGGCGACCAGGGCGACGAGAAAAAGCCGCGCTTCTTCTCGATCAGCGTGGTCGACCGCTCGTAGCGCCTGGCCAGCGCTTCGGCGCGGGGCCCGAGGCTGTATAGGAAATAAGACGAGGCAGGCGGCCGCGGCGCACGCCGGCCGCGCCTCCCGATCGACCAGTGAGACGGAAATGTTGAGTGCACTGCTTTCTCGCCGCAGCGCTGTGACCTTTCGGGCTGCGCAGCCCATGACGCTGCCACGCGTGGTGCCTTCGATGGCGCGTGGCCTTGCCTCGAGCTCGGAGCCGTACGACGTGGTGGTCATTGGCGGTGGCCCGGGTGGCTATGTGGCTGCGATCAAGGCGGGCCAGCTGGGCCTGCGCACGGCGTGCATTGAGAAGCGCGGCTCGCTGGGTGGTACGTGCCTAAACGTTGGCTGTATCCCGTCGAAGGCGATGCTGAACAACTCGCACAAGTACCACGACACGCTGCACGACCTGAAGAAGCGTGGTATTGAGGTGAAGGACGTGTCGCTGAACCTGCCTACGATGCTCAAGGCGAAGGACAAGGCTGTCACGGCGCTCACCAAGGGCGTCGAGGGCCTGCTGAAGAAGAACAAGGTCGACTATGTCAAGGGTATGGGCAGCTTTGCCTCGCCGACGACCGTGGACGTGGAGCTCCTGGACGGTGGCAAGACGCAGATTGAGGGCAAGAACATCATCATTGCGACCGGCTCGGAGGTGACACCGTTCCCGGGAGTCGAGATCGATGAGGAGCGCATCGTCAGCTCGACGGGAGCACTGTCGCTCAAGGAGGTGCCGAAGAAGATGATTGTCATCGGCGGTGGTGTGATTGGTCTCGAGATGGGCAGCGTCTGGAGCCGTCTCGGCGCGGAGGTGACGGTGGTCGAGTTCCAGGACGCGATCGGCGGCCCTGGCGTCGACGGCGAGGTGGGCAAGGCGTTCAAGAAGACGCTCGAGAAGCAGGGCCTCAAGTTCCAGCTGGGCACCAAGGTGTCGAGCGTGGAACGCCACGGCGACTCGGTCACGCTCAAGGCGGAGGGCAAGAGCGACGGCAAGGGCCTCGAGCTCGAGGCCGACGTCGTGCTCGTGTCGATCGGCCGCCGCCCCGTGACGAAGGGCCTGAACCTCGAGGCCATCGGCGTGGAGCTCGACAACAAGGGCCGCGTCGTCGTGGACGACGAGTACAACACGACGTGCAAGGGCGTCAAGTGCATTGGCGACGCCACGTTCGGCCCCATGCTTGCGCACAAGGCTGAGGAGGAGGGCATCGCCGCCGTCGAGATGATCAAGACGGGCTACGGCCACGTCAACTATGACGTGATTCCCTCGGTCGTGTACACGTACCCGGAGGTCGCATGGGTCGGCAAGAACGAGGAGCAGCTGAAGGAGGAGGGCGTCGAGTACAAGATCGGCAAGTTCCCCTTCATGGCGAACTCGCGCGCCAAGACGAACGACGAGCCCGAGGGCTTCGTCAAGTTCATCGTCGAGAAGGAGTCGGACCGCATCCTGGGCGTCCACATCATGGGCCCGAACGCCGGCGAGATGATCGCCGAGGCGTGCCTGGCCATGGAGTACTCGGCGAGCGCCGAGGACGTGGGCCGCACCTGCCACGCGCACCCGACGCTCTCGGAGGCGTTCAAGGAGGCCGCGCTGGCCAGCTACGACAAGCCGATCAACTTCTAGCTCCGTAGTGCCCGATCGATGCCCGATGCGCCACCCCACACCGGCGGGGGCCGCCGCGTGCGACGGCCCGAGTGCTGTGGCGCCATGCTGGGCGCGCCGCAGTGGTGGATCGGCATTGCCATTACCCTGGCGAGCAATGTGCTCATTTCGCTAGCACTCAACTGCCAGAAGCTCGCGCACATGCGCCTCGGCGCGGCCACGCCGTCGGAGCCGTCCGAGCACACGCCGCTCGCGCGCAGCGCCCGCCCGTCGTACCTGCGCAGCCGGCTCTGGTGGCTCGGGTTCACGCTCATGGCGCTCGGCGAGACGGGCAACTTTCTCGGTACGCCGCCGCACTAACGCAGCCTACGGCTTCGCGCCTGCATCGCTCGTATCGCCGCTTGGCGCGGTATCTCTCCTCTCAAATGTGGTCATCGCGCCCACGCTCTTGCACGAGCCGCTGATCGCGCTCGACCTCGTGGGCCTCGCCCTCGCGGTCGTCGGCGCCGTGGCAGTCGTCAGCAGCGTGGGCCCCTCGCACGCCGAGCCGCTCGGGCCGCGCGCGCTGTGGGCCGCGCTCCTCCGCCCGACGTTCGTGGTGTATGCCGGCGCAGCGCTCGTCCTCGGCCTCGTGCTCGTGCTCGTATGCCACTCCCCCCTCGGCCACCGCTCGCTGCTCGCACACATCGGCGTGTGCGGCGTGTTTGGCGGCTTTACCGTGCTGGCGACCAAGGGCGTCTCGTCGCTTCTGGTGCACGCGCCCAGCGCGCCGCTCCTGCGCACGCCGCTCTTCTACCTGCTCCTCGCCGTGCTCGTGTCGACGGCGCTGCTGCAGCTCGTGTACCTGAACCGCGCGCTCCAACGCTTTGACTCACGCCATGTGATCCCTACGCAATTCGTCCTCTTTACCGTGTCGACCATTGTCGGCTCCAGCATCCTGTACCGCGACCTGGCCGCCCTCTCCTGGACGCGCTGCGCCGCCTTCGTCGGCGGCTGTGCATGCACGTTCCTCGGGGTATTCGTGCTGACGTGCGACTTGGCCTCCGACGACGCGCCCGCGCCCAGCCCGGCCCCGCCGGCGATTGTCGTGCACGCCGACGCGCCGCCTGCCCGCAGCGAGCCGGTCGCCGTGCCCGACGCGCCGCGGCCCACGCGCCACCTCCGCTCGCAGTCGCTCTCGGGCGCCGAGCCTCCGCGCGCACGCGCCTCGCTGCGGCGCCTGGCCACGACGCTCCTGGGCCCGGCGCCGACGCCGCATGCGCGCGCGTCGCTCCGTGCGATGCAGCGCCGGCGCCTGCCGTCGCGTCCGTCGCTCGTCGCGGAGCTGCGGGGCACCGACGGCGACACGCCCATGGTGCTCGGCCTCAGCCCCGGGCGCCACCTGCTCGTCTCCGGCTCCGACACGCCGCTGAGCCAGTCGCCCTCGCACACATAGATACCCTAGCGCTCCACGCTGCCGTACTTGCGTACGTGGGCCTGCGCGCCACTAAACCGCTCGTCGCCGCTCGGCACGCTCACCGTCGCGCGGCCGCCGGCGCCCTGGCCGAGCAGCTGACGCGGGAGCGGTGGGTCCGGCGCTGCGCCGCGGCCTGGCGGCGTGCGCGGCCGGAGCTTCTCGCACAGGGGCGAGTACGGCACGAGGTTGTGGCGGTACGGCAGCGGGCACTGCGGCGGATCCAGCACGAACTGCGCGAGGTAGTGCGCGGGATCCAGCGGCACCGCGCCGGGCGGTACGCCCGGCCCCCCCACGTCCGCGCCGACCGTGAGCCACCCGCGGCGCACGTTGCGGTTCGTGCCGAACAGCTCGAGGCGGCGCGTGCCGAGGCAGAAGTGCTCGATCATGTCGTACAGCTCGGGCGGCTTGGGCACCGGCGACGGCGGGCCGCCCGGGCGCGTCGGCTCGCCGGGCCACAGGATCACGTCCGTGTCGATGTTGCAGTGCACGAAGAACGAGTCGGAGCTGCGCACGACCGTGCCGCGGATGCCCATGAGGCAGTGCTGCACGCTCGGCGCGAGCAGCGGTGGCCCGGGCGGCGCGATGCGCGCGCTCTGCGGCGTCGTCTGCACCCACACAATGTCCTCGCAGCGGCGGTAGCCCCAGCGCTGCAGCACCTCGCGCCCGCGCTCGAGGCCGTCGTGCGCGCCGTCCCCGACCCACAGAAAGACAAAGCTGTCGCGCGACGCGAGCTGCGGCAGCGGCAGCGCGGCAATTTCGTCCCACGTCCAGCACGCGTGCGCCTCGTGCGGCGCGGCCCACGCATACGCCGCGAGCGGCGGGTCCACCAAGATCACGTCGTAGCGCAGCATCTCGAGCACGCCGAGGTCTGGCGGCGTCGGCGCGGGCAGCCATGTGCGCAGGTCGGCGCGCAGGTACGTGGGGGGGATCGCTGCCGCGCTGACCAGCTGCGCCTTGAGGTCCAGCAAGTACCGCAGCTTCGGGTGCCTGTGTCAGTCACGCGACGTACTCGGCGAAGCGCCCGCGCACGCCGGGGTTTTGGATCCACGCGCCGGGCGGCACCTGCAGGCCTGAATCGACGAAGAATGCGCTGTAGTCGTTGCGCACCGTCTGCTCGTCCGCGTCCTGCGTGAGAGGGCGCTGCGTACGTAGTTGGGCCCGAGGGCCGACGGCGCCTCGCGCGCGTCCTGCGCCGCGCTGACGAGCGCCCAGCGCGGGTGCGCGCGCGCGGCGGTACACGGCCGTGCAGGCCGCTCGTCGGGCGTCAGCGCGTGGCGTGCGCGGACCTCAGCGCGCCACGCCGCACGATCCGCGGCCATAGTGGAGTGGGACGATGGGCTATCGACACTAATCGCTCTTCTTGTCCGACACGGCCGACTGGGCCTTGGCGAGCTCGTCCGAGAGGCGGTTGTACTCGTCCTGCTGCTGCTGCATCTGCTTCTTCATCGTCGCCATGTCGGTCGAGCCCGCGTCGGTGTTGGCCGCGAGCTCCTCCTGGGCGTTGATGAGGTCGAGCACGAGCGAGTGCGTGCGCGCGAGGATGAGGCTCAGGAAGAGCGTGAAGCCCGTGAGGTACACGTTGCGCTGCGCGTAGAACTTCTTGGCGTGGTAGTTTGTCTCGGTGCGGAAGTCCTGGAAGCCCTGGTGCGTCTCGGTGACGGCCGACTCGGCCTTGATCTTCATCATGCGCTGGAACGCGTCGATGAACAGGACCGCGACGAAAATAAAGGTGATGCGGACGCAGTAGTTGATCTTGGCCACAATCTGGCTCGTCGCGAGGAAGCGGAAGAGCTTGCGCCGCGCGGAGAAGGGCAGCGGCACCTGGCGTGAGTACAGCGCACGTACAATCAGGACCATGAACATGGCCATCTCCAGCAGGAGAAGCGCAAACACAATCGAGTAGTACAGCGTCATCGTGGCGTCCACGGAGGCGGCCGGCGGCGCCGGGCGAGAGCCCGTTCGTACCACGTGACACCGCACGGCCCGACGCCGCCTTGGCCAGTCAGCGCGGGCGGCGGAGCGGCGCCCTTCGTCTGCCTTCGCCACCATGTCTGACCGTTCGCACGCGTCTGCGCGCCCAGCCAGCAAGACGCTGCTGAACCTGGGGAACCTGCCGCCCAAGCACGACAACTTCAAGGCCGACGACCAGTACCCCCGTGCGGCGTCGCGCGTCGACCCGAACAACCCGCCGTGGCCGGCGTACCGTGGGTACCACGAGTACTCGTTTGCGCACGAGACGATGGGCAAGCGCCTGCCGACGATTCTCGGCAAGGCGATTGAGGACGCGGTGAAGACGCTGAACGAGCAGTACGACGAGGAGATGATCCTCGATCTGCTGCGCTGCATCGAGCACATGCAGGGGCTCATGAAGGAGCTGCAGTCCAACTCGGTGCTGCGCCCGATCGTCGACGACGGCGAGGGCGACGTGCCGCTGTGGAACAAGGCGATCGCGAAGTACTTCCGCGGCAAGGACTTTATGAATGCGCCGTGGCTCTTCGCCGAGGCGTACAAGTACCGCCGCCTGCACGAGTCGTTCTCGACGTCGCGCTACTGGCGCGACTACGACGTCTTCTTCCGCCAAAAGTGCGACACCTTCAGCCGCTCGAACGTCGCCGTGTTCGAGCTGTCGACGCGCTTTGCCGTGCCGAGCGCGATCGACAGCTCGCTCCCGGACGAGGCGCGCGAGATGCAGCGCAAGCTGCTGTTCATGGAGCTCACGCAGATCTGCCTGTGGGGCAACGCGACCGACCTCTCGCTGCTGATCAACATGACCGAGGAGGACATCAAGAAGATTCAGTCGACGGGCGGCGAGCACCTCGCGTCGACCGAGAAGAACATCCTCGGCAACCACCTCGGGCGCCTGTGGGACCTCGTCAGCCGCATGAAGAACGGGCGCATCGACTTTGTGCTCGACAATGCGGGCTTTGAGCTGTACTGCGACTGCGTGTACGCCGACTGGCTCATCCAGGCGGGCATCGCGCGCGAGATCCACTTCCACGGCAAGCGCATCCCGTGGTTCGTCTCGGACGTGACGCGCAAGGACTGGTGCTGGCTGCTCAACTCCATGACCTACGGCTCGCTCTTCCCCGATGCGCAGCCGCAGGAGGTCGAGAGTCTGCGCACGCTCGGCAAGCGCTGGAAGCAGTACGAGCGGGAGGGCAAGTGGATCTACGAGCAGCACCCCTTCTGGTGCACGGGCTACACGTTCTGGGAGATCAACACCGAGTCGCCCGACCTCTTCCACCACCTGTGCGACAGCCAGCTCGTGATCTTCAAGGGCGACCTGAACCACCGCAAGCTCACGTACGACTGCCAGGCGCCGACGTCGACGCCGTTCGACGTGGCCATCGGCCCGCTCGCGAAGGACGCCGGCGCGCCGCCCGTCGCGTCGCTGCGCACGATCAAGTCGGACGTCGTCGTCGATGTGCCGCTCGAGGTCTCGGAGCGCCTCGACCGCGAGGAGCCTGGCTGGCGCATCTCGGGCAAGTACGCGGTCGTGCTGCTCAGCGACGGCAGCCCCACGCCGCTGCCACCTCCATAGCTACATAACCTGCAGCGGATCCGCATCCACCTGCGACACATGCACATCCATCGGCAAGTCGGCCGCGAGGCGCGGCTGCAGCACATCCGCGAGGTACCGCCGCTCCGTGTTCGAGTGGTTCGCAAGGACCACAGACACGCCGCGCGCATTCGCCGCGAGCACCTCGTGGTGCCCCATCTCGCCCGTGACCCACACGTCCACGTCCAGGCACGCCCGGAGCACCGAGCCGCCCGAGCCCGCACACACTGCGATCGAGCGCACGAGGGTGTCTGCCGCCACGCCGGGCGCCAGCGCCACCTGCACGTGCGGCACCCGGAGAAGCGCCTTGGCGCGCTGCACCAGCGTGCCGAGCGAGCACGGCGGCGTCAGGGCGCTCGCGCGGCCGACGCCGACAGAGGCATCGCGCTCACTGGGGCACACGACGCGGCCGGGCGATGCGAGCGTCGCCTCCAGCAGCGCATCGCGCGTCGGCGGCGCCGCCTCCCACGCGTGCGCGAGGCCGGCGACGAGCCAGTCGTTGATCCCGCCGCGGCACGCGTCGAGCGTCGTGTGAGGGCAGTACAGGTGGATGCCCGCCGCGATGCACCGCAGGATCGAGCGCTGCAGCGGGTCGGCCATCGTGATCGACTTGGTCGGCCGGAAGATCACAGGGTGGTACACCACGGCCACGCTGCAGTCGCCGCGCTGCAGCAGCTCGTCCGCGACGGCCGGCGAGAGGTCAATCGCGAGGAACACGCCGCCGTCGCTGCGGGGCACGGGCGCTTGCGCAAGAAGGCCCACATTGTCCCACGAATCAGCTAGCTTCGTCGGGGCCCTGTTAGCCACGCAACGTACCATGTGTGTCGAACCACGCGAGCACGCTCGCCAGGGCGGCGTCGGGGCCAGGCATGGCGGCCCAAGGCGGCGCCGCGCCCGATGGGCGTTGCTCACGTGACTCTCCCCCTCGCCCCCTCTCGCTCGCGGCCGGGGGTGGCGTACGCAGCACGATGGACGCCGTTCTCGCTGAGGCGGCGCGCGCCGACCCCTCGCTGACCGCGCCCGTGAAGGCCATCGAGGACAAGTGGCTGCTGCTGCCTGCGTACCTGCAAGTCAAGGGTCTCGTCAAGCAGCACATCGACTCGTTCAACTACTTTGTCGATGTGGACCTCAAGAACATCCTGCGCGCGAACGAGCGCGTGACGTCGGACATTGACCCCAAGTTCTTCCTCAAGTACACGGACATCCATGTCGGGCACCCGGAGCGTGCGGATCCAGATGCGATCGACCGCAGCATCACGCCACACGAGTGCCGCCTGCGCGACATTACCTACAGTGCGTTCATCTACGTCGACATGGAGTACACGCGCGGTGGCAAGATTGTGCGCCGGAAGAACGTGCCGATTGGACGCCTGCCGATCATGCTGCGCAGCAACAAGTGCTGGCTCGCGGGGCAGGACGACGCCACACTCGCGCGCATGAACGAGTGCCCGCTGGATCCAGGCGGCTACTTTGTCGTCAAGGGCACGGAAAAGGTGATCCTCGTGCAGGAGCAGCTGTCCAAGAACCGTATCCTCGTCGAGGCAGACAGCCGCAAGGGGCTCGTGCAGGCGTCGGTCACCAGTTCGACGCACGAGCGCAAGTCCAAGTCGTACGTGCTCACTAAGCACGGCCTCCTGTACGTCAAGCACAACTCGCTGCACGAGGACATTCCCATCGTGATTGTCTTCCGCGCACTCGGCATCCAGTCCGACAAGGAGATCCTGCAGCTCGTCGCCGGGCAGGACGAGACGTACGCCGAGCTTTTTGCCATCAACCTCGAGCGGGCCGCGAAGCTCGAGGTGTTCACGCGGAAACAAGCACTCGACTATATCGGTGCGCGCGTCAAGATCCTGCGCCGCGGCGTCGGCCTGCGTCGCGCGCCCAGCGACGAGGCGCTCGAAGTCCTCGCGACGGTCATCATGGCGCATGTGCCGGTCGTCAACGACGATTTCCGCCACAAGGCCATGTACATCGCGGCCATGGTGCGCCGCGTCCTCGTCTGCATGGTCGACGAGAGCAAGGTCGATGACCGCGACTATGTCGGTAACAAGCGCCTCGAGCTCGCCGGCCAACTCCTGGCGCTCCTGTTCGAGGACTTGTTCAAGAAATTCAACCACGACCTCAAGACCAACATCGACAAGGTGCTCAAGAAGCCGAACCGCACCGCCGAGTTTGACGCGTACAACCAGTTTTTCTACCACGGCGACTACATTACCGCGGGCTTCGTGCGTGCGATCTCGACGGGCAACTGGAGCCTGAAGCGCTTCAAGATGGAGCGCGCTGGCGTCACCCACGTCCTGAGCCGCCTCAGCTACATCAGTGCGCTCGGCATGATGACGCGCATCAGCAGTCAGTTTGAGAAGACACGGAAGGTCTCCGGCCCACGTGCCCTGCAGTCGTCCCAGTGGGGCATGCTTTGCCCGTCGGATACGCCGGAGGGCGAGGCGTGTGGTCTCGTGAAGAACCTCGCGCTGATGACGCACATCACGACGGACGTCGACGAGGCGCCCATCGTGCGCCTGTGCTACACGCTCGGCCTCGAGGACATCCACCTGCTCACCGGCGCGGAGCTGTACCACCCGTCGACGTACGTCGTGTACCTGAACGGTCATGTGCTGGGCGTCACGCAGACGCCCCACCGCTTCGTGGCGCAGTTCCGCCGCCTGCGGCGCGCTGGCTGCATGTCCGAGTTTGTCGGCATTTACACCAACGTGCACCACCAGACCGTGCACATTGCGTCGGACGGCGGGCGCATCTGCCGGCCCATGATCATCGTGCAGCACGGGCGGCCGCAGGTCACGAGTGAGCATATCCGGCGGCTGCAGGCGGGCGAGATGGCGTTTGACGACTTCCTGCGGCAGGGCCTTGTCGAGTACCTCGACGTGAACGAGGAGAACGACTCGAACATTGCGCTGTTTGAGCACAGCATCCAGCCGTCGACGACGCACCTCGAGATCGAGTGCTTCACGCTGCTCGGCGCGGTCGCTGGCCTGATCCCGTACCCGCACCACAACCAGTCGCCGCGCAACACGTACCAGTGTGCGATGGGTAAGCAAGCGATCGGCGCGATTGCCTACAACCAGCTGAACCGCATCGACACGCTGCTGTACCTGATGGTGTACCCGCAGCAGCCGCTCGTCAAGACGAAGGCGATCGAGCTGATTGGGTACGACAAGCTGCCTGCCGGCCAGAACGCCATGGTCGCCGTGATGAGCTACTCTGGCTACGACATTGAAGACGCGCTCGTGCTGAACCGCGCCTCGCTCGACCGCGGGTTCGGGCGCTGCCAGGTGATGCGCAAGCAGTCGACGGTGCTGCGGAAGTATGCGAATGGCACGTTCGACCGCCTCGCCGACGCGCCGTTGAACGAGCACGGCGAGCCGCTGCGCCGCTACGAGGCGCTCGAGGCGGACGGCATCACGGGCGCGGGCGAGCGCTTGGAGCCTGGCGCCGTGTTCGTCAACAAGCAGATGCCCACGAACGCCAACGACAATAGCGCCGGCACGGCGCTGCACTCGGCCGTATCGTACAAGAGCGCGCCGCTCTCGTACAAGGCGCCCGTCGAGGGCTACGTGGACCAGGTGCTTATCAGCGACACGGACTCGGACCAGACGCTCGTCAAGGCGCTCATCCGCCAGACGCGGCGGCCAGAGCTGGGCGACAAGTTCTCGTCGCGCCACGGCCAAAAGGGCGTGTGTGGTCTGATTGTGCCGCAGGAGGACCTGCCGTTCACCGACGACGGTATCCACCCCGACATCATCATGAACCCCCACGGCTTCCCGTCGCGTATGACGGTCGGCAAGATGATCGAGCTGCTGGCCGGCAAGGCCGGTGTGATCGATGGCTCGCTGCAGTACGGCACGGCCTTCGGCGGCTCGCGCGTCGAGGATATGGCCCGCATCCTCGTGCAGCACGGCTACAACTACGGTGGCAAAGAGTACCTCACGAGCGGCACGACCGGTGAACCGCTCGAGGCGTACGTGTACTTTGGCCCGATCTACTACCAGAAGCTCAAGCACATGGTCATGGACAAGATGCACGCGCGCGCGCGCGGACCGCGTGCCGTGCTCACGCGCCAGCCGACCGAGGGACGCAGCCGCGACGGTGGTCTGCGGCTCGGCGAGATGGAGCGCGACTGTCTCATCGGCTACGGCGCGACACAGCTGCTCCTCGAGCGCCTGATGGTCAGCAGCGACGCGTTCGTCGTGAACGTGTGCGAGACTTGTGGCCTCCTGGGCTACAACGGCTACTGCGGCTACTGCAAGAGCTCCAAGAACGTGGTCCAGCTGACCGTGCCCTACGCCACCAAGCTCCTTTTCCAGGAGCTCATGGCCATGCAGGTCGTGCCCCGCCTCGTGCTCGAGGACGCCGCCTGAGCGCCGGCCTATACCCTATGTAGCATCACGTGCCTTCCTACTACCCCTCGGCCGGCCGCCCGCTTCTTTCTGCCGCCTGCGGCGATGGGCGCGAGCTGGTCACGCCTCGCGGGCTCGGGGCCCCCCGGCGGCGCGGCGGCGCCGCCCACGCGGCCGGACCTCGAGCTGCTGCGCAAGGAAGAGCTGGCCCTGGAGGCCGCGGCGATCCCGCCGGAAGACGTTCCGTCGTGCCTGCACTTGTTCGACCGGTGGCTCTCGTGCTATGCGCTCGGCTCGCAGTTCCGGCACGCCTACCGCTACGGCACGGTGGCCGACTGTGCGAACTACAGCAACGACTTTAAGTTTTGCCTCACGATGCGGAAGCTCGAGCCGCAGCTCCGGCGCGATGCGTACCTCCAGCGCCGTGCGGATGAGCGGGCGCACGCACGCCGGGGCTTCCGCTCGAGCGAGGCCGTGTGGGAGATGCGCCGCGATCCCTTGCTGGATCCTGCGCTGGCGGACCCGGCGTATCCGCCGCCCTCTTGGTACGTTCGCAGGGGTGCGGAGGATTCGATCTTTTCAGTTCTGCTTCCGAATGGGCTTGCCCTTGTGGACAACCATACCAAGCTTACCACGAAATGACGCACCCCGCCGGCCCGAGCACGCTAACACCAGATGGTACGCATTGTCGCCATGCCGTTGTCCAGGATTAGAACAGTACATCCATTCTTTGAGGCATGCGTGCGGGTAGCGACGGGGGTCCGTGGCGGGGCGACTCGGCTGCGCCCTGCGCTGGCCCGCACGTCGCCGACGATGCCCGAATCTTCTCCATGAGCAACGCGTGGCCGCATGAACAGACTCACACCAGACGTGGAGCCACATGTGAGTACAGTCCCACTTGGCGAGGATGAATCTCTACCATAGACGAAGCCGGCGAGCTGCGCGATGAGCCGAGCTACAACATGCATGTACGTGCTCATGGCTAACGCAGCACCAACTGAGCCTTGTTGCGCGAACACGACTAACACCAGACCTATACCCGTCGATCCTTGATAGATAGTGCCGATAAGGATTCGCCCAGTGTATCGAGCGTCGACTCGGCGTCGGCAGGCGGCGCCTGCGGCTTGGGCCGGGGCTCCCGCTCGGCCCGCGAGCGAGGCCGCTCTGCCTTCGTGCGAGGTCGCGCAGCACTGCGCCACTCGGGTGTGGTATCCGTGGTGGGCCCCTGGTCCTTTTCTCGGGGGTTAGCCGCGTCGGGCTCCTTGCCGGGCGGCTTCTTGGCGGGGGGCCGGATGGTCTCCTTGGCGGAGGCCTGGGCGGACTCTTTGGCGGAGGCCGTGGCAGGGCCCTGGTCGGGCGCGAGGTCCCGTCGAGCGCGAGCGGAGAACGGCTTGGCCGCCCCCTCTGGCGGCCGCGGTGCCTGCCTCGCCTCGGACCAGCTGAGACCCGCGCGGCGGGGCGCAGGTCCCTGGCCGTCCGCCTGCAGCACACGCGATGGGCGGAACCGCGCCACATCCTCATGGGGCGTATAGCCTGGGCGCACGCGGCGCTCCTTGCGAACCCTGCGTAAGCGGCCCCTACGTACGATCCATCGGCACGCACGCTGGCAGGGACGACTCGCTCGCCATCCTTGGCGACAATGCCCGACGGCGTCGCGGACGGCGTCGCTGGTGGCATCGACAAGGACAGCCTCCACAGGCGTCAGGCCAGCGGCTGCATACGGTTGCTACTCAATGTACACAACTAGCGAATTTTGGGAGCTTACTCCTGCTGCACGGCCGCCGCCTTGGCGAGCTGCATCTTGCGCGCGTTGGCGCCGCGGGGCGCGCGCACCTTGGGGACAGGGCGCTTGCGCGCCTGGGTGTTCACGATGGCCGTAGCGCGGGCCACAGCGTCTGCCTGTTAGTGCATCTGTCGGAGGCGCCAGCGCCATGGGCGGTGTCCAAGACAGGCCCGAAGGGGGCCCTCCTGTGCTATGGCATCGCAAATACGCCCGACCCGTCATCGTTCCTCAGGGGGGTTCTAGCGCGATGCACCGCCATGGCGCTCCATACGTACCCTTGCGGAGGTCGGCACGGTAGCCGTTCTTCGCCGCAATGTTCGCGACGGCACCAGCGACACGGCGCGCACCACCCTTGCTGCGGGTTAGTCACGGTCGGCCCAACGTACATCGTGGTCTGCGTGCGCGCGCCCTTGACAGTGCGCGGCGACACCTTCTGCTTGCGGGTCGTCACGATGACGCCGCGGCCCTCCGCGGGCGTGATGCCGATAGCCTTGTCGTTGACAATGCCCGAGTGCTGCGGTCAGCGTCGCGCTGCGTACCTTGTAGCTGTGGAGCGAGGCCAGGTTGCCGGGCTCACGCGAGAACACGCGGCCGAGGCCCTTCTGCTTCACGAGGAAGCTGTTCGACTTGCGCACAAGAAGCCACTGGAGGTCCTGCGTCGACATGGCAACAACGGTAGGGTGGGATAGCGAAGGGGCGGCGCCCAGCATGCTCTTCCTTTGCAGAACTGCATTGAGCACGTGATGCGTCAACTCCACGTGGGAGGTAGGGGCGCGTGCCGGGGCCCACCGCCTCGCGACGGCCATGGACAACGCGCCGCAGGAGCGGGGCATCCCCGCGGCCCCCTTCGTCACGGACGTAGCTGAGTTTATCGGTGGCGCCGATCAGGATGTGATGCCGACGCTGCAAAAGTTCCAGGAGGCCCTCTCCAAGTACAAGTTCATGGAGATGAGCACGACGCAGCGGCGCAAGGGCCTCGAGCAAAAGATCCCCGATATCGCCAAGACCCTGCAGATGGTCGAGTTCCTCCGGTCGCGCAAGGAGGCGCCCGAGCCGACGGAGCTCACGTTTGAGCTGAACGACACGCTGTATGCGCGTGCGACGCTTGACCCCATCGACAAGGTGCACCTGTGGCTCGGCGTGCGTATACCCCGCTCACCCCAGGCAAACGTCATGCTCTCGTACGATATCGACGAGGCCATCGAGCTCCTCACCGACAAGCTCGCCACCGCTCGCAAGAACCTCGAGATGGCGCACGCCGATCTCGGCTTCCTGCGCGATCAGATCACCACGATGGAGGTCAATACGGCGCGTGTACACAACTGGGACGTCAAGCGCCGCCGCGACCAGTGCGTATCCTGCTCTCACACAGACGCGAAGCCAGCGCACGCGCCGCGTAGCTCTCCATAGCGCTTATACCCTCGACGACCCAGTGGAGGTCGACTTCCTTCTCGCATGTGGCATCGCTGGGGCGCCACGGCGCGCGCGACGGCGGCCAGGGCGGCCGTCCGCGCGCCCACTGCTGGCGAGCATGCACTGACGTGGGGCTATGGAGCGGTGCGCTATGCGTCGGGGCCACCACGCACGCGGCCGGAGCAGCATGGCGCCAAGAACCAGGGCCGGCGCAGCGGCGGTGGCGCGGCACCCGCACGAGCGGTCCCTAGCGCGAAGAACTGGGCGCGCGAGCCCAGTCGCCCAGCGCGCGCAGCGCCTGCGGCCAGGGCGCCACCACGCAAGGCGCCGGCGCCGCGCGCGCCGCCGCGCCCCAAGACGCAGCCGCTGGCGCTGCCGCCGGTCCTGTCCGTGTTTCACCTGGCGCGCATGCTCGATGTGCACATGCGTACGTTGCATCGGCTCACAGACAGGCAAGCTGCAGCTTCGCATGGAGCAGATCGGCTTTGACGATGTGCGGCCGGATCGCCTGCTCAAGTTTGACGACGCGGCGCTGGTGGCGGCCGAGTACAACCGCGTGGCCGTCGCCAACGAGGAGGCCGCATTTGACATCTTTCCGCGCCCTCAGGTAAGTGAGGACGAGCGCGCTTCGCTCCCCTTGCGCCCGCCGGTCGTGACGATCATGGGCCATGTCGACCATGGGAAGACGACGCTGCTCGATACGCTGCGCTCTACGTCCGTTGCGCAGGGCGAGGCGGGTGGCATTACGCAGCACATCGGTGCGTTCAGTGTGCCCGTGAAACACGCGCCTGGGGCGATCCAAACGGTGACGTTCGTCGATACGCCGGGGCATGCGGCGTTCTCTATGATGCGCAGCCGCGGCACGTCCGTCACGGACCTGGTCGTGCTCGTTGTGGCGGCGGACGACAGTGTGATGCCCCAGACGCGCGAGGTCATCTCGCTCGTGCGCGACGCGGAGCGTCCCGTGCCGATGGTCGTGGCCATCACGAAGGTCGATGTGCCGACGGCCGATGCTCAAAAGGTGCGCTACGATCTGATGGCCGAGGGCGTCGAGGTCGAGGACCTCGGCGGCGACGTGCCGTGCGTCGAGATCAGCGCGAAGAAAAAGATCGGTCTCGACACGCTGGAAGAGACGCTGGCCGTGCTCGCGGAGATGGCCGACCTGCGGGCCGAGACGACGGGGCTCACCGAGGGACGCATCCTCGAGAGCCGCGTGGAGAAGGGGCGCGGCAACGTGGCCACCGTCCTGGTCCAGCGCGGCGCGCTGCAGCCGGGCGACGTGCTGATCTGCGGCACGACATGGGCCAAGGTGCGCCAGCTGCTCCAGCCCGACGGGCGCGCCACAAAGAAGGTGCTGCCCGGCTTTGCTGCGCAGGTCGCTGGCTGGCGCGAGCTTCCGCAGGCTGGCGACGAGATGCTGGGCGTCGCGGACGAGGCGCAGTGCAAGCGCGCGATTGAGAACCGCAAGCGCGCGAAGGAGGCGCAGGCGCTCCTGCTGGACGCCGAGCAGATTGACCAGGAGCGGCGGCGCAAGGCCGAGGAGGACGCTCAGCGCGAGCGCGACGCACAAAAGACACGCCGCCAGCTCACGATGCTGCAGCGCGCTGAGCAGGAGGGCACCCTGGACGCAGACGCTGTGGCGGCGGCCGTGCGTGAGGAGCGCCTGCGTGCGGACGACGGTGCCTCTGCGCCTGCGCCTGAGCGGCGCAAGCTGTGCCTGATTCTCAAGGCCGACGTCTCAGGCACGGTCGAGGCGCTCGCCGGCGCCGTCGGCAGCATCGGCAATGCACTCGCGGGCGTGCACATTGTGGCACAAGGCGTCGGCGACGTGACCGAGAGCGACGTCAACACAGCGCATGCCGTCGGCGCGCACATCATCGGCTTCCACGTGCAGGCGCCCAAGAGCGTGCAGGCGCTCGCCGCGCGTGTGCAGCCGCCGGTGCCGGTGCACTGCGACCGCGTGATCTACCAGATCATGGACCACGTCGCATCCCGTGTAGCCGAGCTCCTGCCGCCGCGCGAGGAGATGCGCGTGCTTGGCGAGGCACAGGTCGCGCAGCTCTTCCAGATCAAGCAGGGCGCGCGCGCGTCCAAGACCATTGCCGGGTGCCGCGTAACGAACGGGCTCGTGAGCCGCGCGAATGAGGTGCGTGTCCTGCGGGGCAAGGATCGTCGCGAAGTCTTCCGCGGGCGCCTCGATACGCTGCGCCACGTCAAGAAGGACGTCACAGAGATGCGCAAGGGCACCGAGTGCGGCATGGCCCTCGACGGGTTCGATCAGGTGGAGGTGGGCGATGTCGTGCAGTGCTTTACGACGGTGGAGGTCGCAGCGACCCTGTAGCGGAGCGGAGCACCGTCACGTCCGTGCGCGCGTTGTCGTCGGTGCGCTGCCACGTATGTAGTGAGGCGCCGTGATCGCGGATCTCATATACGCGCACGCGGCGCGCAAGGCCTAGGTGCCCGTACGCTGCATAACTCGCGCCCCCGCCAAAGCAGATCCACGTGCCGCGCACGCGGCGGCAGTCGCCATTGTTGTGCATGTGCCCATGCACATACACCTGGATGCCGGGCGTCTCGGCGTCCTGTGCACGCTGTACGGCATCGAAGATGCCGCGGCGGAGCTGGCCGCCAACGCGCCCGACGCGCTCCTGCCGTGAGCCGACGATATACTCGTGGTCGCCGTCCCTGTCGGGGGCGTCCCACGCCTCGGGCAGCGGGATGTGGACAAAGAGCATGCCCGGCGGGCGCGACGCGTGGGAGCCGCGGCGTGCGACGGGCTTGGCACGCATCCCGCGCACAAGCCACTCGATCTGGTCTTCGCGGATCCAGTCGTACAGCGCCGACTGCCACGGGCGCCACAGCGACGAGGGCGCATTCGCGCCCGAGTCGAGCGCCCACAGCGTCCATGCCTCGGTGTCGTTCGTGGCCGCATAGACGGGGACCTGGTAGTTCCCTACGCCATGCAGCGCAGACGGCCCGACCTGCGCAAGCGAGTAGGGCAGCTGTGCCAGGAACTGCATCTGCTCGGTGCGCGAGAAAAAGCCGCTCTCCGAGTCGTGGTTGCCAAACACGGGAATCCACGGGATTTTCCGGCGCACAAGTGGCTCGACCCAGAGGGGCGTCGCGCTGCGCTCGTCCCAGCTCGTGCCCTGCCCGTTCCACTGGTCGCCCGTAAATGCGACCATGTCGGGGCGCTCTGCGTCGAGCCATTGCTCAATGCGCGCCATGGTATGGTTGTGCGACTGGCACGCGTTGCGATCGGCCACATCGCGGCATGGCTCTTCCAGCACGCTAAAGTGCAGGTCAGCGATCTGCAGAATCTTGAATGTACCGTCCGCGCGGAAGCGCAGCGTGGGATGCGGCACCTCTGGCCCGAGCCCGTGCCGCATCAGCAGAGTCACCTTCGCCTTCTGCGAGTGCAGCCTGTGCGCAGGCACCACCGTGCCAGCCGAGACGAAGCCGGGGAGCGGCGTGTGGTGCCCGTAGTGCACGCTGAGTTCCGTGACACCAACTTCGGGCGCCGAGGCAGACGCCATGCGAACGTACAGGTACACGGCGGGGTGATGGGCCCGGTGTGGCACGAGCGCCTCGCGCACGCGCTCCCAGCCGGGACCGAGCGGCCGCTTCTCTGCCGTGGCCGCACGCACATCGACGAGGCGCGTCGAGTTCAGACGGTGCGCGCGGCGGTAGAACACGAAGCGGCCGTACCACGGCTGTCCAAAGGCATTCCACATGCCGAGCTTGCGCGCGGTCGGCCCGGAGAGGGGGCGGTCGACGCGGATCCACGGGCCTGCGTGATCGTCGATCGCCCGTGGCAGCGCGCACCCGCGGTGGGGCGCGCATGTAGCCACCGTGACATTGTAGAGCGGCAGGTCCTGGGGCACGAGCGGCGCATACCGGTCCATGTCCTCGAGGCGCCCTGGCTGACCGACGCGCGGCGCGATCGGTGCGTGGAAGTAGTGCGACACGACAGCAAAGAGCGCCCAGAACAACACCACCCATACCGCCGCGGACATGGTGTCGGGCCGCGGGATCCCACGCCGCAGAATCCGCCCCAGCGGGGGTCGTGGCATGCTCGGTGCGGTGTACCACACGTGCGCTGCACAGACCATGAATCACGTGGCGTACACGCCAGCCTCCAGCAGGGGTGGCGCGTCTGGACGGTGATGACGACGAGTGGCAATGCCCTGCTTCTCAAGAAGCAGCTGATGGAGCTGCGTAAGAGTGCGTGGAGCATGCTCACGCGCAGATCCCGTCGATGGATTCAGTGCCGGCCTGAAGGACGACAGCAATCCGTTCGAGTGGGAGATCATGATCATTGGCCCGATGGGTGCGTTGCGCCACTAACGCCAGACACGTTGTACGAGGGCGGCTTCCTGAAGGCGGAGCTCATATTCCCGCATGTGCGTGTGGCCTACTTACGCAGGAATACCCCCTCCTGCCGCCGACGATGAAGTTCAGAACGCCCATGTGGCACCCCAACAGTACGTCGCTCCGTCTCACCCAGTCTACGCGGACGGCACGCTGTGCATCTCGATCCTGGTACGTGATGCAGCGCTCACCGCAGCATGCGCCTGGCAGAGACGAGTTTGGCTACGAGGACGCCAGCGAGCGCTGGCTCCCTGTGCACACCGTCGAGTCCATTGTACGTGGCGCCATCTCACGCAGCTCCTCTCGGTCATCAGCCTGCTGAGCTCCGACACGCCCAACACGGACTCGCCCGCGAACATTGACGCAGCCAAGCAGGTGCGCGAGGACCCTGCTGGCTACCGAAAAACGGTTCGCCGCCTCGTGCGGCAGTCGAGTGAAGAGGCCTACGAGTAGACAGGTCCAGGTATGCGTAAAATACAAAATAGACCGCTCAGCGCGCGGCCTGCGCAGGCGCCGTCAGCGGCGACGTCAGCGGCGCGCTGTTGCCCGGCGTCAGTGGCGTCGACACGATGCCCGCATGGGAGAGGTTCGGCGTCGAGACACTCGCCGGCTGGTACACCACACGCCCGGTGGGGGTGATGGTCGCGCACGTCGTGTTCGCCAGGCCATACAGGCAGCCGAGGTGCTTGCCAGTATCGATCGAGCCGTCAAAGTACCGCTCGCGCAAGCGGAAAAACGTCGACGCCGTCAGCAGACTGTCGCTCCCCGCCTGGTGCTGCTGGCCTACGCGGCTCACCTGCAGATCGTCCGCGACGTCCTGCAGACCACCCTTGAGCGTCTTGCAGCTGCGCATGAGGAACTTGATATCGTAGATACATGGGAACCACTTGTGCAGCAGCTCGAAAAACGCCGCCTCGGTCGCCGGCAGCGGCTCACACGTCACAAGCTTCAGCAGGTACCCAAAGTCGTACCCCGAGTGGAACGAGATCCACCGCACATCCTCGTACAAGACCAGTCCCGACGTGATCAGTGCCTCGCCAAATAGCGCCTGGTCAATGCCATACACCTTGTGCCGCGCAAAGTCAATGCCCGCCGACGTGAGCAGCTCGAGCGAGTCGGGCGCACACATGTCCTCGTCCACATCAAAGCGCAGATTAAACTGCCACGTACACGTGTCCGGTGGCAGGTTGCCGTGCTCGTCACAGAGTGTGAGGCCCAGCTGAATGATGCGCAGCAGGTCCACATTGCACCGCAGCAGCTGGTACTGGTAGTCGGTCGAGCCACGGAACTGGCCAATCGGCCGCGCAACAATACCTGGGAACTCAGTGTCCTGTCGTTAGCCGCGCGCAACACCTGCCATAGCCACATAGGGAAACGACTCCATCGTCTCCCGAAAGGCGTTCATCTCCGACTCAAAATTGTCGGCCCACACATCGCGGATCCGCGCCGCCATCGTGCTCGCTGGAGGATCGGCGCTGCGGTCGCCGCCGAGGTGCGGCGAAGATCACGTGCGTCCGCCACCCGGCGACGCGCCAGCGCTCGCTCCGCTGCACGCACCATCGCCATCATGCCGCTGGAGGCGACGATGTTGGTGTACGTACCACCTAGCTCACGGCAGACTCGACAACTCCGAGTGGATGAGGAATGGAGATTACGTCCCGACCCGCTGGGATGCACAGGCGGATGCCGTTCAGGTCCTCTTTGATGCCAAGACCAGCTCGCACCCCGAGAATATGGTCGGTGTCATGACGATGGCGGGCAAGAGGTACGTCTACCGTCTAACGCCAGCCCTGAAGTACTTTCCACGCTCACACAGGATATCGGAAAGGTGTTTGCGGCCCTGCACAGCTCCAAGCTCGCTGGGTCCGTCCACCTTTTGACTGGTATCAACGTCGCGCAGCTCGCACTCAAGCACCGACAGAACAAGAACCAGCGCCAGCGCGTCGTGGCATTTGTTGGATCACCAGTGGCTGACACAGAAGAAAGTCTCGAGCAGCTTGCCAAAAAGCTGAAGAAGAACAACGTGGCTGTCGACATCGTGTGCTTTGGCGAGTTCGAAGAGAACCGCGCCAAGCTTGAAAAGTTCATCGATACTGTGAGCAGCAACGATAACAGCCACTTCCTCGTCGTTCCTCCTAATGAGCGCCCTCTCTCGGATACCCTGCTCTCCTCGCCCCTCGTGATGGACAGTGACGCAGACGCTGGTCCATCGGGCAGCGCGAACGCCGGCGGCAGCCAGGCCTTTGAATTTGGCGTTGATCCCAACGCCGACCCGGAGCTCGCGATGGCCCTCCGCCTCTCCATGGAGGAGGAACAAGCCCGGCAGCAGGCGGCCCAGGGATCTGCGCAGGACAGAGACAACACGACCGACGAGCAGGCCATGAACGAGGATCACACCCTTGCACCCGAAGACCGCCAACCAGCAGAGGGCGCGGCTGGCTCGCTCGTCCCCGTTGACGCTCCGCCACTCACAGGCACGGCCAACCTCGACACGGACATGGCTCGCCAGGCAGAGAGCGAGGAGGCACTCCTCCAGCAAGCACTTGCTCTCTCAAGAGGCGATGCTCCCGCTGAGGAAGACGTGGCTATGAAGGAAAACTCGGAGCAAGAACCTCGCGCTACCGTCGCAGGTGCCAATGAGGGCGATGACGATGAGGAAATGTCCGAGCAAGAGGCCATTGCTCGTGCTATTGAAATGAGTCTAAAGGACTCTCAAGATCCACACCAATAGTGAAATGACTTTTAAAAATATTGCAAAACTTTACATCATTTCGTATGACCTTATAGTACCTCTTGGTATAATATCAAGCGAATCGATTAGTCTTCGTGTCATCATTAGAAGGAATACTGATAGAATAGTTACTCGCCTCATGACCTGAAGCTTCAAGGTCGACATGGGAAAATTCAACAGAGACACCATCTGGATGAATATTAGAATCTTCTGACTTGTGATTCGAAACGTCACTTATATCGTCGGTAGAACAAATATTATCATCTTTGTATTCACGAGTTGCTTTCTGTGTTTTAAGATGGAACATTCCTTTGACCTTCATAAAAGCTTTAACATAGTCTGATTTTATGTCAGTATTTAAACCAAACATGAAAAAGAAAATGAATCCCATCATGCACTGACTCCAAGTGGCAAACGAAGTCATGGTAAGAAAATGTTTGAATCGTGAGCTTGAGATTGCAGTACGTGGATAAATCCATACGTCTGAAAACCTTTTATGAACAAAATCCCAGGAGGTGTACGGTATTATTTTCATGTATGAGACTTCAAGAGCGAATGCTGCTAAAAGGATGGGAAAATTAATTAGTATGTCAATGAGGGCAAAAGAAATCATCCTCAAAAACTTCTTCGTACTGATACCACTTCCGCTTTTAGAGAGAATTGCGTCGAAATCCTTTTTATGGATGAAAAAATGTCTCAAAGAAAGTACTTAAAATTAATTGAATCAAACGTACCAGAATAGACCAGTGACGTGATACACAAAGACACAGGGATACCATAGTCAATCACAATTGATACAGATGAAAAATACACAGCTGGTTCGCACCCTCGGCCATAAACGATATTGAAGCGGTGTCCCTGTGATACAAGGGTTAAAAGTGAATAGAAGACAGGTAAAACCGTAATACAAAATAGCTCCAATATCCATAAGCGCTGCTTTTCTTCAGGCGTCCTCTTAGAGTACTTTAATGATGCAATATCATATAATTTTGAAGAGATGAGAAGCGCAGAGCAAGGCAGACTAAAACTTGCCATGCTCATTAATTTAACAGCTGACTTATAAGTTATTCAAATCAGCATACTTACAAAGGTCACACCAAATTGGTGCGGAGTTTTTGGCATTCGACATCCATATAATTCGATTTACGAAAATGTTGAGGTTTCCAACAACTAGCCAAAATACCAATCCCAGTATGACAAAATTGCGCGCTCTCCAATGAGACGGGACCGGGAGTAGTGATACGATCACTGCTAGTATAGCGAAGATTGGGGTAGCAAACCCTGACATGCGCGGTAGAATACACAATTGAGGTCAAAGATTGTCTAGAGTAGATGGAAACTTGACGGAAATGATATATGGGCATCATAGCTTACCCGGTGTTCATTAGTGCGTTCGTTCATTGTTTCACAAATACAAAATGAAACAAACTGGATATGAAACGCAACAGAACGTGGGGTCTCAAGGTGAGTGGAGGCTTTGTGACTACCACTTAAGGGACGAATCCAAATTTCTTTGAAATTACTGATCAAACCTTCAGACAAAGCAACTATCGTAGTCATTGTATTCTTAGTCGATAAAGAAACATGAAAATAAAACAGGGAGCAGTTGTGCTATAAAATGGAGGACATTAGCGGATGATTTTCCTCATCACAACAAATCTATCCAAATGAACCCTGCTCACTTCTCTGGTCTTAACTCGACTGAGCCTACTGAGAAGAAGCCTGTCACTAATTGTAACAACGAAGAGCCCGAGAAGCCTATTTCCAATGAATATCCTCAAGGCCCCCCTGCCTGGGGTGTTTCATGCACTATTGCATAGAAATCTCCAAAGTATTGAGGTTTAAGTTGGATATCTCGCGAGTAATGAACGATAGTATAATGTTCATTATATCCAAAGTAAACCCTCTCAAAGGATCTCTGATTAAGTAGTGGCCGTTATTTTTTTATTTATTTATTTAGACTTTCGTGATAGAGAATAAATTGGTACCAACATATTATGTATGCTAACATTGGTGGGTTTGAACTGCTCGAACAACAGCTCACAGTCACCGTCAGCGATCTCTATTACTTTTGGCAAAACATATTGACCCTCTGCATCCATCTGCCATCGACTTCCAGCGACTGAAAGGAGACAGGAAGAGAGAGCTTCGATAGTGCCGTGCAGAAAGCTGACTCTGACAAAGGAATCATTGATAAAGGAAATAGGGTAGATGCATGATGGCTACTGGACAGCACTGCTAGACCAGGAACGTTGAGAGTACGACTTGCTGTAGACTATGTGGACAGAAGAAGCACTTCAGAACGAGTCGACCTGACTTGACGCGAAAAATTAGTCAGCATCGTTAGGATTTGCCAGGCGTCCCAAGGCCAGCGACCTAAGCGACGATGGTGCGTGTGTGACACTGACGCCAGTCGCGCACTGAGCTTCTCACAGCCGGTGGATTCCGCATGGATGGGCGGAAGCCACTGGAATTCAGATCAATGGAGCTGTCGCTCTCGCCTCATACAGCGACGGGCGAGTCGCTGGTCCCGACGGCGGCGTCTGCGACGTCGCGTGCCGACGGCTCTGCGGAGGTGCGGCAGGGCCTGACCCATGTGTATGCGTGTGTGTATGGGCCCATGGAACCTGGTCGGGCAGCGCGTGCGCCGACGGTACGGCAGGACCGTGCGACAATCCAGGTGGACATAGCTGTGGCGCCATGGGGTGCAGCGGAGCGGCGGTATCGTGCGCGAGGCGACCGGTGCGTATTCCCATCTCACACAGGCAACTCGTGGAATGGGCCAATGCGGTCCGCTCGACATTCGATCCCGTGGTGCATACGCACCTCTTTCCGCGTGCGCAGATTGACCTAGTCGTGCATGTGTTGCAACAGGACGGCGGTATGTACGAGGAGGCTGATTGTAGGTGTCTTACCGGCCATGATTCATGCGTGCACGCTCGCACTGATGGACGCGGGCATACCCATGTCTGATTATGTGTGTGCGATGACCTGTGGGCTGCACGGCGAGACGGCGATGCTGGATCTGAACCGGAAGGAGCAGACGAGTCTTCCGTTTGCAACGGTGGCGGTTCTACCCCGCTCGGGCCAAGTGCCGCTGATGCAGCTGGATACGCGCATCCACATGGACCGTTTTTCACGCATGGTGGATATGTGTGTGGAAGCGGCAGGTGTGTTACGGGACGAGCTAGATACAGCGATGCGCGCGCGCTCAGCGCGACTTGTTGAGGCTGCGCAGCATCCGCACGAAGCGATAGAGGGGTCACAGGCGCCGTAGATGTCGGACTGCAGTACCGACGACAGGTGGTCCCTGCACGACAGCGTCTAGTAACCATCCACGTGATCGAAACTTCGAGAGGCCCGGGCCTTGCCCTAATTGGGCAGTGGACCGAGCGGGGAGCGACAGCCCGGGGGGGCGTCAGTATAAGACGCCGGGGCCCTTGCGAGAATTTCTTCCCTAGATTCAATATGGTGAACATTGGTATTAACGGTTTTGGTCGTATTGGCCGTATTGTGTTCCGCAACGCTGTCCTCCACGGTGAGGCGGACGTTGCGGCCATCAACGACCCTTTCATTGACCTGGACTACATGGTCTACATGCTCAAGTACGACTCGACCCACGGTCGCTTCCCGGGTGAGGTTGAGGCCAAGGACGGCAAGCTTGTTGTGAACGGCAAGGCTATCACTGTGTTTGCTGAGATGGACCCTGCCAACATCAAGTGGGCGGATGCCGGCGCGCAGTACATCATTGAGTCGACCGGTGTGTTCACGACCACGGAGAAGGCGTCGGCGCACCTGAAGGGCGGTGCGAAGAAGGTGGTCATCTCGGCCCCGTCGGCGGATGCGCCTATGTACGTGGTGGGTGTGAACCTGGACTCGTACGACCCCTCGCACAACATTGTGTCGAACGCTAGCTGCACGACCAACTGCCTGGCTCCTCTGGCGAAGGTGATCCACGACAAGTTCGGCATTGTCGAGGGTCTCATGTCGACTGTGCACGCGACGACCGCCACGCAGAAGACGGTCGACGGTCCCTCGAAGAAGGACTGGCGTGGTGGCCGTGCCGCGGGTGCTAACGTGATCCCGTCGAGCACGGGTGCGGCCAAGGCGGTCGGCAAGGTGATTCCCAGCCTGAACGGCAAGCTCACCGGTATGTCGTTCCGTATCCCGACCATTGATGTGTCGGTGGTCGACCTGACGGTGCGTCTTGAGAAGGGCGCGTCGTACGACGAGATCAAGGCTGAGGTGAAGCGCGCTTCGGAGAACGAGCTGAAGGGTATCCTCGGCTACACGGAGGATGCCGTGGTGTCGCAGGACTTTGTCGGTGACAACCACAGCTCGATCTTCGATGCTACGGCCGGCATTCAGCTCAGCCCCACCTTTGTGAAGCTCGTGTCGTGGTACGACAACGAGTGGGGCTACTCGCGCCGCTGCCTGGACCTCATCTCGTTCATGGCCAAGAAGGAGGGCTCGGCGTAGGTATACTGCATGCGTATGGTAAGCGTGCATGGGGGCAGGACTAACCAGCAGTGGTCCGTCCCGTTTGTAAGCGCCCGTAGAAGCTCCAGCGCCCACAGGGCAAGGTATCCAACGACTACTCAATCATGATATCTAGGACGTAGTCGTGCCGAAGTGCATACTCCATCGCCGTGGACAAATCGTCGTCGTCCAGCAGCATGACACGATCACCGTCGCTGTCAATATGGTACATGCGTGTAGCGCCCTCTGACGAGAGGCACACGCTCTCATGAACACGTGTATTAAGCGCAGAGAAGGGAGTGCGGGGTGCCATGGTCAGCTCCTTATAGTCGTTGCCGTGGCGCACACGCACGAGCATGAACTTCGGCCGCGACGGCGAGTGTGAGCCCGACCAGGGCCGGACGCCACTGGGCATGTTCAGTGAGCCTGTGGAGTTGTGGGGATGCGCCCGCGGCGACTGCGTCGCGCTGGGCAGCGGGCTGTCCAACGACTCGCCCGTGACCTGGCTCGAGCGGCTCTGTCGCTGCGACGTGTGCACAGCAGGAAAGTACGGGTTCCAATCCGGCTCGTTCGGCACGCCTGCGATACTCGCCGCCTCGGGAAGGAACGTCGGCGTAGCTGTGATGGGCGAGAACACGGCCGCAGGCGACTGCATCGGGCGCATCGCAATGCTGTCCGACGCCGTGCGTTGCATCAGCGCACTGTCCAGATGCAGCGCAGGTCTCGTGCGCGCAAGCCCGCTCGGCCGCCGCTGCTGTGCCTGGACGAGGCGCATAGCCGCCAGTTCCTGCTCGACACCCTCGGTATTTGCCCTGGGCGGTTGCAATCCGCTACCGAGCGACGACGAGCGCGACGGGCCAGGGGCGGCGCTGCGCGGCGAGAGCGGCACTCCGTGAATGTGCCCCAGCGACATCTGGCGCCAGGCCACACGTGCATTGTGGCTCGGCGCACTGCTGGTCATGCTCAGCGCGCTCAGCGGCGTCGGTCGATGCATCTCCTCCGGCGGCGGCGTAGACGTAGGCGCTGCCTCGTCGGGGGCCACCTCGTCAGTCGTGGGCCCCTGTCCCACCGGACTGACGCCAGCGCTGCGCAGCCACGGAAAATCGTTCACGGCCGTGTCCTCCGTAAGCGCATGGCGCAGCACCGGGCGTGCTGGGATCTCAGGGGGGTGCGTTGTGAGCGGCGTTGCCACCTGGAGAAAACCGCCGCGGTGGCGCGTGAGGGGCGCCGACGGCAGCGGTGTCGACGGCGTCGACGCCGCTGCCAACAGGTCGCGACGCGCCTGTACCTCATCGAGTAGTTTTTGGAGCGTGCTGTGCCAAAGACGCAGCTGTTCATCGTTTTTGCACCGCAGGCAGAACGACTCGACGTCCGCCTCGCCGCGCCACCACACCTGGAGTGGGTACGGCGCCGCCTGCGTGTCGGACCCACTCGCGGGCCGCTCGAGCACCTGGATCCCGACAATGTTATTCAAGAAAATGCGGCCCTTGAGCTGGAGGGGAGCATTGGCGTCACGCCGCGTGGCGGCGCTTGTGTCCGATACGCTGTTCGCGCGCGACCGCAGTCGCGAGCCGCTTTTCGAGCGCGAGCGTCCCGGCAGGCCAACCGAGACGCCGATGGGCGGCAGAGCGGGCGAGGTGGTGGGGGGTAGCGATGCACCGAGATCCTTGCAGCAGAGGAGGATGCGCTCGAACAGATAGACACGGAACTCGCGCTCCGAATCGCCCTTGGAGACCACGAACGTGTCGCTTAGGAAGAGGGTGCCGAACGTCTTGAGCGAGTGGCCTTTCCAGTCCTCGACACGGCGCTCGAGCTCCTGGACGAGCTGTATATTCTCCTGGATTCGACGCTTCTCATTGACCTTGTCGGTGATGCGGCGTATGGTGTGCAGGGCCTGCTGCAGCTCGTCCTGCTGCGGCGCATCGGCAGCGGTCGTCTTGAGCAGCTTCTCCAGCAGCAGGGGGTATTTACAGATGCGCTGGACAGGCTTGATCATGTACGTTGGGAGCTCGTACGTGGGCTCCAGATAGGCGTCTTGTGCGCCAGGCAGCGACGCCATGCGCTGCAGCGCCTTGCTCTCGTCCGAAATGGTCTGGAGCGCTTGTGCATAATTCGCACAGAACTGCTCATACAGTGAGAACTCGTCTTCCATCGAGTGGAAGATGTACCCGAGCTGCTGGCTGTCGACGGGTTTAAGCGCATTCTCCTCGAGGCGCAACAGGAAGCGCCGTTGCATATCGACGAGGGGGTCAAGGTTCCCGAAGATGACGTACACCATATCGGTCGGCAGCACTTTCGCGCTGACAACCAGCGAGACGTACGCCTGCAGCGTCTCCAGATCGTGCACGTAGCGGCGCTCCGATTCAAGCAGCTCCTGGGCGACCATGGCGTGCTGGTCGCGCGGCGACGTATCGCTGGCCGCCGGCTCATCCGACACAGGCGTGCCGGGGACCAGCAGGCCGACCGACTCCATGAGGTTCAGCAGCTCGTTGACCGTGCGCACCACGCGCACAAATCCGTTGGTATCGTTCAAATAGAGTTGCGATACGGTGAATGTGTCGTCTGGCGGCCACCCAATGCGTTCCTTAAGTGCAATGACGAAGCGCATGACGAGCGCCTTGCATGCGTTCGCGTTGCTCAATTTCGGATCGACTGTGAGGGGAATAGGTTCAAGCCCTGTCCGCCCCGCGTACAGGTTGAACAGCGTACAGAGCGAGCGACCGAGGCGAAAACACTGCCACAGCGTCGACACCGGGTCACTAAGTGGCACTGGTGCGCTTGCGGCTGGCTCTTGTGTGCTCACGGCGATATCGCCGCGCCCTAAGAACTCGGCAGAAAAGCCAGGGACGCAGCTGAGCCGCCGCACAAGATCGACGCAGCATTGGTACAGGCTTGGTCGTGGCATGCTACCAGACCGCACCATGGCCGGACCGGGAGGTAAGGCGCCATGCGGAGAGTCGGCCGCCGTGACATGCATCACCGCGCGACAGTTCGACTCCTTCCAGCGAGCGGGGGATGCAGCAATGCAGGGCACCTGGGGCGGTGAGGCGCGGCCGGCTGTCCGCTAACGCCAAGCGTATCATTGGACCACGCCGCCAGCCCCTGCGGCGATGTGTGTCATGCTGACACATATCACGTGCAGGGCTGCCACGGTGGAAGGAGACCCTGGCGCGCAGCGGGGCCGTGCTTCCTACGACGATGCGTGGATTCGCAGCCTGGGCTGTCGCGGCGCTGACCGCGGCCTGTGTGTGTAGCGCGACCGAGGAGACGTCATCGAATGTGGTGACGCTCACCAAGGAGAACTACAGCCGGTTTGTTGCCGACGAGCCGCTCTCGCTGGTGGAGTTCTATGCGCCGTGGTGTGGCCACTGCCAGGCACTCGCGCCCCAGTACGAGGAGGCCGCCACGGAGCTGCTCAAGAGCGACATCAAGCTCGCCAAGGTCGACTGCACGGTGGAGGAGGCCCTGTGCAGCGACAATGAGGTGACGGGCTTCCCTACGCTCAAGGTGTTCCGCCACGGCCAGGCGTCACCGTATGGCGGCCCCCGCAAGTCGGATGGTATTGTGAGCTACATGGCCAAGCAGAAGCTGCCTGCCGTGTCGCCCGTGACAACTGAGAACCTGGAGGAGTTCAAGTCGAAGGACAAGTTTGTGCTGGTCGCGTTCTGCGACGAGCAGGATGAGACGTCGAACAAGGAGCTGAAGGCGTTCGCAGAGGCGAACCGCGACGCGCTCGTGGTGGGTGTGTCGCACAGCGAGGCGCTCGCGGTCGAGGTTGGCGTGAAGATGCCGGCGGCTGTGGCGTTCCGCGCGTTTGACGAGCCGAAGGTCGTGCTGCAGGCGTCGGGTGCGCTCTCGCACACCGAGCTGCAGCAGTTCTACGACCTCGAGTCGTTGCCTCTGCTCGATGAGGTGAGCGCGGAGAACTTTATGAAGTACGCGATGAGCGGCCTGCCGCTGGCGTACTACTTTGTCGACCCCGAGTCGCCGACGCGCGAGGCGGAGATCCAGAAGCTGACGGACGTCGCGAAGGCGTTCCGTGGCAAGGTGAACATGGTGTCGATTGATGCGATCAAGTTCCGCTCGCACGCCAAGGCGCTGAACCTGCCGGGCGAGACGTGGCCCGCGTTTGCCGTGCAGAACATGGAGTCGGGCGCCAAGTACCCGCTGAGCGACCTGGGCCAGGACCTTGCGGCGAGCGTGCGCGACTTCCTGACTCAGTTTGTCGATGGCAAGCTGCAGCCTAGCCTCAAGAGCGGCGCGATCCCCGAGCAGACGTCGCCGGTCGTGTCGGTCGTCACGGACGAGTTTGACAAGTGGGTGTTTGACGACGCCAAGGACGTGCTGCTGGAGCTGTACGCGCCGTGGTGCGGTCACTGCAAGCGCCTGGCGCCTACGTACGAGAAGCTCGCGGAGCTGTACCGCAACGACGCGGACGCGGCGAAGCTTGTGACGATCGCCAAGATGGACGGCACGGAGAACGACATCCCGCCGAACGCCGACATCACGCTGATGGGCTTCCCGACGATCCTGCTCAAGCCGGCGGGTGCGGGCGCACGCGAGTTTGTCAAGTACGAGGGCGACCGCACGATCGAGTCGCTGATCGACTTTGTTGCCACGAAGGGCACGCACAAGGCGAGCGTCACGGTGGCAGCGCCGGCAGAGACGTCGGCGTCGGTGTCAGAGTCCGCGACGTCGACGCCAGCGGCGACGGCGACGGCGAGTGCGGACGCCACGAAGCACGACGAGCTGTAATAGCGCCATAGTCAAATGTGCTAGCAACGCTCTACGGGAGTGATGTCTTGCTGCTCGCTCATGCTAGAGCTTGCTTCGCCGGAAGACGCTCTGCCGGCACGACGCATGCTCGTCCAGCAGGTGCCGCGCCACATACGGGTTGACCAGCACCCGCTGCGGGTCGTAGTGTGCGACCACCTGGAGCCAGTCGGCCATGTGGGGGTACCGCGCCAGCAGCTCGGCCCGGTACGACGTGTGCGTCTTGGCCCAGTGCGGGCGCCCATCGAACTGGCGCATCAGCGCGTCGAAACGCGCAAACAGGCGCCGGTAGCGCACCGGCAGCCCGTACGGGCGGAACTGCACGAGCCCAATGTAGCACGTCCGCCGCCCGTAGCTGGGGCTTAGCCAGATGCCGTCCGCATCGACGAAGCGCACTTCGATCGGGAAGTGCGCACGCACGCCCTGGTCATTCGCGTGCTCGCGGTCCAGCCACGCGCGCAGTGCCAGCAGCGCCGCGCCCGCATACTCGTACGGAATGGCATACTCGGCCGTGTACTGGGGGAACAGGCAGTCAAAGTTGAACACGGCGGGCGCGTCGGCAACGCGCACTTCGATCGCCGACCGGCTGTGCACCGGCGCGAGGCCGCCCGGCGCGGAGGACGAGTCGCGGGGCGCGCGCGGCGCGCGCGCATGCGACATGGCGTACGCTGCACGCGCGACGGGCGCGGGGAGCGACGTGTGAAGGCGCGACGCCCACAGCAGCGCCTGCGTGACGTGCCGCACGCCACGCACGTACAAGTCAGACCACACACGGACAGGGTCCGCGGGTGCCTCGGTGCGCGAGGCGCGGTCGATCGTGACCATATGCGCATGGGGCGACCACAGGAAGCGCACATGCTCTGCGCTGTGCACGAGGCGGTCGATCCGGTCTTGCACGTCGTGTGCGGCGTACGAGGGAAGCGGGGGGGTCGCAGCGTCCGGCACGAACGGATGCACATGCGCGGGGCCCGCCGAGCGAGCCGCCGGAGGGAATGCGCGGGGGGGCAGGGACGCGCCGGACGCCAGGAGCTCGCCGAGGGCGCTGGGGTGCGCGAGGAACGTGTCGATCGGCTCGATCGCCAGCATGTCCGGGGACAGTGAGGCGGGGAGTTCGGGCGGTGGGCCAAGGAGCACGTCGATCGGCACGTCCTCGGTGACCTGCTGGAGGCGGAATGCGGGCACGACGCCCAGCGATACGGCAACGATGACGCCAGTGGCGCCGAGGCCACACAACGACGCATTAAAGAGGTCGGCGTGCTCGGTGCGGCTGCAATGCACGACCTGCGTGCCGTCCGCGAGGGGGCACACGATATCCAGCGCGAGGATGTGCGCGGAGAGCACGGGAAAGTCGATGCCGGAGCCGTGCGACGCCGTGGACAGGAGCCCCGCGATGGTCTGCTCGCTAATGGAGCCGAGGTTCGGGAAGCCGAGCGCCGGCTCGTGGTGCGCGAGCGCATCGTTGATGGTGGAGATGTACGTGCCCGCCATCACGTCCACCTCGCCGCGCGCCGCGTCGATGCGCACGATGCCGTCGAGCTCGTCGGTGCGGATCGTCCAGCCAAGGGAGAACGGCAGGTCCGACGGCGAGTGCAGGCGGCCGACCGCCCGCACAGGGACAGAGCGCCGCTTGGCCAGCTCGACAATCGCAACGACCTGCTCGATCGTGCGCGGCATAAATACGCTGCGGTCCATGTGCGAAAAGGCCCCGTCGTTCGTAGGGACCGCCGAGTGGTACACGCCCGCCCAGTTGCGCATGTACGCGAGGCGCGACGTGGGGGCGAGGCGCACGCGGTCAATGAGCGCCTCGAGCGCAGACTCCGACATGGCCTGCGCAAACGCGCTCGGCGGCGGGCGGTACTTGGCCGCAATGCGGACAGGCGCCCTCGGCATGGTGGAAGAGCGTGACGCCTCCACACGTGGCGGCGGGCGACCTACGGGCTATCCACGGGCGGGCGCGAGGAGCTCGGGCGACTGCGCCTGCACAAACTGCGCGACCTGCTGCACACGGTCGCTCCACTGCTCCAGGCGCTCGAACAGGGCCTGCGTCTGCGCCGCGTCCAGGACGCGCGGCTGGACCCACGTGATGCGCACGAGCTGCGCCACCTCGTCGAGGGAGCCGTGGAGGAGCTGGAGACACAGCGCCTTCATCACGAGGTGCTCGACCTCGTCCACGGGGATGCGCGTCTCGGCGGCGATCGTCGCGAACGAGAGTGTGCGGTCGTTGGTCGGGCGGCGGAACACATTCTCCATGAGCGCCATAAGGCAGATCTTCTGGCGCAGGAACGGGACGCTCGCCGCGAGGATGGGCGTCTGCTGCACGTGGGGGAGCAGCGCCTCAAAGCGGCCGATGTCGCCCGCATTGAACGCGAAGAGCATGTCAGAAAGCCACGCGTGTTCCGAGTCGCGCAGCGCCGCGAGGATCGGGTGCAGCAGGAGCTCGCCCATATTGTAGATGGTATCGCCCAGCAGCGCGGAGATGCCGAGGTCATGCGCGCACTGCACGCGCTCGCTCGCGCTCATGTCCGTATCGACGTGGATGCATGCGAGGAACAGCAGCGTGTTCCGGTAGTAGTCCGCGTACTCGGCGCGCGCCTTGTGGTAGTCGCCACACACGCGGTAGAACGAGGCGTGGACCTGCGGCTCGACCGCGTCAAAGGTGTCGAGGATCTTGGAGCACCGGTCCATAGCCGCCTTGGTGCTTTCGAGGTCCCCGAGGAGGAGCTGGAAGTGCGCCGCCTCCATCGTCAGCAGCACGAAGGCGTCCTGCTTCTCGGGCACGTCGTGCTCGCGCGCGAGCGCCTGCAGGAATGCGAGCGCCTCAGATGCATCCGCGTACTGCCGCGATACGATCACGCCAAAGCGCGCAAGCTTGAGGTGGTTCACATGCTGCGCGAAGCGCTTGACAAAGTGCTCGTACAGGTCAATGTGCAGCGGCCGCTGCTGAGACGCCGGGTGCCGCAGGAACGCCTCGATCTGCTGCGTCAGCTGGTGCCACAGCCGCTTAGAGTGCAGATCGGCGAACGACTCATAGTACGGGCGCAGCTCAGCAGGCGTCGCCGTCGCACCGGACAGCACGGACTCCAGGTACGCGGTCTCCATCGTCGCTTGCCACGCCCCGGCCGCCGCTGACGCGTAGGCCGTCAACGCTGACTCAGCGCCTCCACCACCTCCCGCAGCATGCGCGGACGAGCGTCGTACGCATGGAGCGGGCTCGCCGTGGCGCTCGTCGTGCTGGCGCACGTCCTGCAGTCGCTCTTGTCAGGAGCCTATCAGGGTGGGACGCGCGTCACGGCGTACCCGAAACATGTGCTCGTCCTCACTGCACACCCCGACGATGAGTGCATGTTCTTTGCGCCGACGATCCATGCGCTGCAGGCGCACAATGTCACCCTCTCCGCGCTGTGCCTCTCGCACGGGAACGCGGACGGGCTCGGAAGTGTGCGAGCGCAGGAACTCGTGCGCAGCTACGGCGTCCTTGGCGTGCCGGCGGAGCGCGTAACGTGTGTGGACGATCCGCACCTGCAAGACGGCCTGAAGCAGGTGTGGACGCCGGCGCGGGTGCGCGATGCGGTGCTCGCGCACATGAACAGCACGCAGATCGACACGATCCTCACGTTTGACGCGGGCGGCGTCTCCCTGCACCCGAACCACCGCGCGCTCTTCCATGGGGCCGTGCAGGTGCAGTCCGAGCTGGCGACGCCCCCCACGCTGTGGACGCTGCATACGTGGTCGTGGCGTGCCAAGTTCTGGGGCGTGCTGGCGAGTCTGCTGCAGCGGGGGGATGCGCGTGACATCCTGTTCCGCTCGTCGCTGCGGGAGTACGGGCGGTCGCTTCAGGCCATGTACCAGCACCAGACGCAGCTCGTGTGGTTCCGGTACCTGTATGTGCTCTTTTCGTCGTACATGTATGCGAACCGTATCCGATTAGAAGTACATGCGCTATGATACATGGATCCATTACGTAAAGAGGGCGTCCGGCCGCACAATTTCCACGGGCACGGCGCGAGGGCAGTGGGACCGACGCACAGGCACAGGGGGCGGTTCGAGTGTGAAGGATCGGTTGGGGGGGCTCGGTAGCGCCAAGTGGGGCTCGTCGGCCGCGACTGAATCGGCGTTCTCCGATTCGTCGGGCCACCGCAGGCACGATGGCTCGTCTTTCGGCCTACAGGGCGCCCGCACAGTGCCGCCGGAGGAGAAACTGTCAGTCTTTCCGGTCATGAGCCCTGCATGTGGGAGCGATTCCCAGAGGCCGACGCAAAAATGGGGCGAGTCCAGCGTCGACAGAGTCACCTGCGAGTCGGCGTCGAGGCGCCGGTGGGGATGCACGGGGACAGGTGCGGGACCCTGCGCATACGCGATGCTCTCGTCTTGAAAGGGCTGCTGCGGCGAGAGAACGGGCGTCGCTGTCGCGCTGTCGCTCTCGGACCGCAGTGAGAGCATGGAAAAGCGCGAATAGTCTTCGTTCAGCAGCGTCGGCGAGGCAGGCGGCGGCACCGGCGTGAATACCGGTGGACCGTGCGTGTGGGCGGCCTCGCGAGCCGCGGCGAGCTCGGCCGCCCTCGCTTCGGCGGCCGCCAGCTGCTCGCGGTGCTGGCGCTCCCATATCTCGAGGTTCGTGGCATGGAGGCGCGGCAGAGCATGGACCCAGCGGCGCAGCTCGCTGACGGATGGGCGTGCTTCGGGACGCAGCGTAAATATGCGCTTCAGCACCGCATGCACCTCGTCAGAGATGGGCAAAATTTTCTCGAGAAAGTCCGGGTCGCGCAGGTACTCGCGGAACGTCTCGTCGTTGGGCGTGGCCTGCTTCCATGGGTTGCGCCCGCAGATGAAGTTGATGAGGATCACGCCGAGCGACCACACGTCGTTGGCCGCCGTGTTGTACTTGGTAAGGCGGTGGGTGATACCGCCCTGGCACTCGGGACCCATGTAGAACGAGCTGCCGCACCCAAAGTCGGCACTGCTGCGGTCCCCTGTCGCGAGACCAAAGTCAGCGAGCGAGACGCGCCGGCCTTCGGCGGTGCACAGAATATTCTCCGGCTTGAGGTCGCGATGAAAGATGCCGAGGCCGTGGCAATGCTCGACGGCGTCGAGGATCTGGCCGAACACGTCCTTGATGATCAGGTCCATCTGGGCGCGAGCGTGGGTATAGGCCTCGTCGGGCGGGAGCGGCCGGCCATCGGTGGCGCGGGGGTCTGGCACGAAGGGCTCGGGCGGGAGCATGTAGCGCTGCTTCTCGGTGATCATGGTGAACAGGTCGCCGTCGGCGCAATAGTCCATGACCACATACACGTAGGGCTCCCAGGGGTTGTCAATGATGCGGTGCAGCGTGACCACGTTCGGGTGGCTGGATGTCATCGTGTGGAGAAGGATCTCGCGCCGCTGGAAGGCGCGCTGCCGGCTATCGAGGCCGACCTTGTTGAGGCACTTGACCGCGTAAAGACCGCTGGTGTTACCCTGGAGGAACGGGGAGCGCTGCGTGCGTTGCTGCATGATGCTGGAGACATCGCGCGCCAGGTACACGACACCGTACGCACCCAGTCCCAGGAGCGAGACCAGCTGCAGACGACCGTCCGCGATACGACTCCCGATCAGGTTGCGGTGATGCTGAGGAGACACCGCAGACATGGCAAACTCAGGCGCTGCCAGAACGTAGCCGCTCTCAGGAAGAAAGAGGTGGTGGTGACTAGTTGAAAAAGGCCGTAAGTGGTGATGGCTTAAGGTCGACGGACACGCCGAATTCGGCTGTCAACTCGGCAGCTACATCTGCGACGACGGCGCTGATTGCCACTTTGGTATTTCCCTTTTCTTCATTATGCAAGGTTATGCACTGGGCGTACGCGCAACACAACAAAAAGGGTCAGAGCGCCGAATTGACACCGCTTCCGGTCAAACACCCCACTAGCGAGGGAAAAATGCGAGGCGCTTATACGGCAGATCTTAGCTGCAAGGAAGGATTTTGTGCAGCTGCCATACGAACGGAGATTGCCGGATCGAGCGATCGGGCAAATGCAACACCCTCCTGGCTTTCTCCGCCTCCACACGAACTTGTGTCACGCTGAGTCAGCGTGTTTCACACAACGCACACGCGCGCCCCTCGCGCGGCCGACCTCCGCCGGCGATGCGGCGATTCTTGGCGCGCGCCAGAGCGCCGCCGCGCGACGCGGGGCCCGATGCCAGCGACGGGCGAGGCTTGGGAGCCGCAGAGGAGTGCGAGAGAGAGGATGCCACCTACCCATCGTACGCGGAAGTACGCCACACCCCGCCACCTGCCACGCCATGGCACCGCGACGCCAAAGGCGAGGGCCTGCCGAGCCTCTTGCCGGGTGTGCGCCCCAAAAAAAGCGAGCATGTGGGTCGGCCTCGCAGGCACCGGCCGCCCTTTGCGATCCGGCGCCGCATACCCGCCGTCGACCTCGGCGCTGACCTGCACCAGCTCGAGCTGAACGACGCGCCGCTCCCTCCGACGCGATGTGCAAGCGAGGAGGCCGTGCCCGCCTACCTGGCCGAGTTCTTCCACGCCGAGCCGACAGACGCCGACTGGGAGTGCGTGCACGAGCTGGGCGAGCTCGTCAACCAGTCGCCAGCGCACAGCAAGGCGGCGCTGCGTGCGCTACAGCATGAGCTCAGAGGGCCCATGGTGGCCGCGCAGTGCCGCGCGGTGCGCACGTGGGGCGTGTGGTCGATGCATGCAGGGCGGTACTTTGCCGAGGTCGCCACGAACACACAGCTGCTTGCTCAGCTCGAAGACATTCTTACGAATCCCCTCACATACCCCGCCCTCCGGTCCGACGCGCTCCTCGTCGTGGGCGCGCTGGCCTCGCGCTCGCGGCAGAACGACCGGCTCCACAAGGTCGCCCGCCTCTGGGCGCGCACGCGGCCCAGCACGAGTCCTGAGCACGGCGTACCGCTCTCTGCGCCGCTCTTCTGCGATGGGGCGCCGTCGGAGGCGGGCGACGACCCGTACGGGGAGCCTGTCGTCCCTTCCCCGCCCTCCCCGCCACTCCTGCCCGCGCAGGACCCTGCCTCTATACCCCCGCGCACGGTGCACGTGCCCGACTCGCTCTCGCCTGGCCTGCCGCTACCCCATGCCGTGCCTGCGTCGCTCACGCCCAGTCACTCGTCGCATGGTTCATGTCGGGCCGACATGGACGGGGAGCGCCGGGCGTTGGTGGAGCAAAAGTGCCACACGGCCAAGATGAACGCGGCGCTCCTCACCGAGCTCGTGGAGAGCGGCGAGGACGACGCGGCGCTGCTGGACGAGATTCACGCCAAGATCCAGGAGGCGCAGTGCGAGCTGGAGCCGCACCTGGCGTGGGCCTCGGAGCGCGCGAGCACCTTGGAGGGCGCGGCATTGTGCGTCGCTGAGGAGCTGCTACATACGATACTCAGCGCACTCAGCAGTGCGAATGAGGCGCTTGCGCTGCGCGACACGCAGAGTGGTGCGGCGTGTATCCACGGCGACTCGTTCGATGCGTCGGAAGACGAGGGCGTGCCTGCCCAGCCCAGTGCCAAGGCACTGGGCAAGCGCCGCGCACTCGACGAGCCATGCAAGCCGCCGCTCCCTCCGCTGCCCGACTCGTAGCGCCTATCATCTAGTGAATGTCCATGCACGCTTGTCTTGTCCGATGCGGGGCATGGTGCGGGGCGCAGGCGCCTCGGCGGGCGCCTCGTTCGTGGCGGCGGGTGGCGCGGCCGCGGCCGCCTCGCGCTGACGGAGCGCCTCGTCGACCATGCGTCGAAGCGCCTCCTCCTCGCGCTCGTCGCGGCTCTGTGCGGCAGCAAAGCGCGCGCGCCACTCGGCCTCTGTCTCGTTGGCGCGGCGCTCCAGCTTCTCGGGGTTCCACGGCTCTAGCTTCTGTGGCTTGCCATCAGGGCCGGGCGGCGGGATGCGCGAGCCGGGCGGCTTCATGTACAGCAGACTGAGCGCGGCCGTGCCGACAGTGAGTGTCTGGAACACCACGCGCCAGCGCAGGGCCGACTGGAACTGCTGGCGGCTGCCGCGACGCAGCTGGATCGACGCATACGTCAGAGCGGCCGTCGTGAGTACGGCGCCTGTGCGTCAGCGTCGCAGCACGTACCGATCGGTGTGAGAGGGTCCTCGCGCAGGCGGCGGTACAGCTTGTCCATGCCGCTCTCCTCCGGCCTACCGCCATAGTCGCCCATGGTCGTGACGGTCGTGGCGCTATGTGGAGTTCCACGTGCTATGGCTGCACAAAGTACTTGCCCGCCACGAGCGTGCGCGTCGGGGCCTGCGGCGCGTTGAGCACCTCGACGCGGCTCAGCAGGCAGTCGTGCATCGTCCACGCAGTCGTGACGGGCTGTGGTGCGCCCTGCGTAGCGAGCGGGAAGCGCGCGGCGAGGCGGCCATCCGCCTCGTCGGTCTGCCACACGAGCTCCTGCGTGTCGGGGTCCCAGTCGGCGACGGGCTCAGCCAGTACGCCGCCGGAGACCGGCGTGTCGGTGGGGATGCGCACGTGGAACGATACGCCCTCGAGGCGCGCCGGGGACGCAAACGACGCGTTCGTGCGGTGCGTGAGCAGCACCGAGCTCTGCTGCGGCTCGCAGCGCCACTGCGCCTCGAGCAGCAGCGGCACGTACTGCGCGCGCAGATCGCTCGGCACAAGCACCTCGTACTCGAGTGCCGTCGCGCTCTCGCCAGCGCGCGCGACGGCGCCGAGATCCAGCTCGTACACGCTGGCCTCTGCGGTCACGGCACACACGCCCGGCCGCGTGCGCACCTGCGCGAGCGAGTCCGTGCCGCCCAGTGCGAGGGGCACGGTGCCGTGGGGCGGCACGGACGCATCCACAGACACGCGCACCTCGCCGACGACCATGACCTTGGCGAGCTCGTGGTCCTTCCACAGGGCATTCACGCGCTCGCAGATGTGCACCTGCCAGCGCACGGGCGGCGGCGCCGAGGCCGGCTCGTCGGTCGGTTCCTCGTGCATGCTCCCCATGCCCGGCGAGCCCCACAGGCTCGGCGGCGCCACGGGCGACAAATTCATGTACGAGAAGCGGCGGTCCATGGCCTGCGCCATGCTAGCGCGGGCTTCGCGCCGGCGGGGCGGCGCATGCCCGTCGAACTCTGCGCCCGACTGGCGCAGCTGGTCGCGCACGCGCTGGAGCGCTTCGCGGTCCTCGACGCTCGTGGACGACGTGCGCGACATGTGCGAGAAGGATGAGTTCAGTGACAGGGACGTCGGCGCGCGAGGCACGGGCGTCCCGGGCGGCAGATAGCTCATGTGCCGCGTGCGGGGCGCAGCAGCCGGCTCGTGGTGCGCGGTGGGGGTGGGCATCATCGAGGCGCGCTGCGGCAGGGGCGCGGGCGCCGCCGCCTCGTCTGCGGCAGGGGGCGGCACGGACACGGGCGCCTCGGTGGGGTCCACGCGAGGCTCGTGTGGCGCGGCCTCGGCGTGCGGCGCGGCCTCGGCGTGCGATGCGTCGAGGCTGTGCATCGCTTCGGAGGGCAGCGGCACGGAAAAGTGCGCGGCCGACTCGGTCGGGTCCGCGCGGGGCTCGTGCGGCGTGCTTTCGGTGCGCGACGGCGTGCGCGACGCGTCGGGGCTGTGCATCGCTGCGGAGGGCAGCGGGACGGCGAAGCGCGCGGGCGCCGTCGGCGCGGCGATGCCGGCGAACTGCTCCATGTCGGCCATGGGGTCAAAGTGGTGGACAGCCTGGAACGTGTGGCGTGCCGACTCGAAGAGGGCCTTGGCCGCCTCGCCCTCCGCCTTGGACAGGTTCCGGAGGACGGTGCGCACGGCGAAGAGGCGCTGGGCGTCCGCGGACTCGTACGCGTGGAGCATCGTCGGCGCGCGGTCCTGCCACATCTCGCGCGCGTGCTGGAGGGCGTCCTCGGTCGAGAGGAGTTTCTGCTGCGCACTGGCGTTGCTCTTCTTGCCGAGCTTGCGCTGGCTCTTGGCGCGCTGCGACTCGAGGGCCTGGACGTCCTTGAGGAGGGGCGCGAGCACGTCGTCGTGGTGCACGAGGCGGGCCCACTCGCCCTGTGTGTGCGCCTGCTGGAGCGCCTCCGCGTCGCGCTGGAGGTGGTGCGCCAGGGTCGTGTGGATGTGCGCCTTGTCGGCGACCTCGGCCATGAGGCGCTCGTACACGGGCCGCAGCTGCGCGGGAATGTAGGCCGTGTCGATCGTGCGGCGCGCGGCCTTGTGCAGGTGCTTCACATAGGCCTCCTCGGCCTCGCAGCGCGCCGCGAGGAACTCGGCGAGCTGGTCATTGAACATGCGCGCGTAGCGCATGCGCGTGTGCAGGGCCTGCACACTGTCGCGTGGCTCCCAGTTCTGTGTGAGTGCGTGCACGTACGAGAAAGGCGTCCGTGTACATGGACACACGCTCCGGCGGCCCTGCGCTCATGTGGCGAGGTGCGTGAGGCGGCGCGCAGCGCCTGGGTGGCTGACATAAGCCTGCCGCGGGCGGCGCAGGGGTCCGTCGATCGCACGACGCTGTCGACGACCATGGCGGACTTTGTGAAGCTGTCCATTTTCGGGACTGTCTTTGAGGTCACTACGCGGTATGAGAGCCTGCAGCCTGTGGGCATGGGCGCCTTTGGTCTGGTGTGCAGCGGGCACGACAAGCTGACGGACACGTCCGTGGCGATCAAGAAGGTCATGAAGCCGTTCAGCACGCCGGTGCTGGCGAAGCGCACGTACCGTGAGCTGAAGCTGCTCAAGCATATCCGACACGAGAATGTGCGTCGTGTGCACTGACCCAGATTATTAGCCTGAGCGACATCTTCATCTCGCCGCTCGAGGACCTGTACTTTGTCACGGAGCTGCTCGGCACGGACCTGCACCGCCTGCTCACGAGCCGCCCGCTGGAGAAGCAGTTTGTACAGTACTTTTTGTACCAGATCCTGCGCGGCCTCAAGTACGTGCACTCGGCGGGCGTCGTGCACCGCGACCTGAAGCCGAGCAACATCCTCATCAACGAGAACTGCGACCTGAAGATCTGCGACTTTGGCCTCGCGCGCGTGCAGGACCCGCAGATGACCGGCTACGTGTCGACGCGGTACTACCGCGCGCCGGAGATCATGCTCACCTGGCAGAAGTACGACGTCGCGGTCGACGTGTGGAGCGCCGGGTGCATCTTCTCCGAGATGCTCGAGGGCCAGCCGCTCTTCCCCGGCAAGGACCACGTGAACCAGTTCTCCATCATCACCGAGCTGCTCGGCACGCCGCCAGACGAGGTCATCCAGACGATCTGCAGCGAGAACACGCTGCGCTTTGTGCAGTCGCTTCCGAAGCGCGAGCGCATACCCTTCCGCGAGCGGTTCCCGAACACGGACCCCGAGGCACTCGACCTGCTCGACAAGATGCTCGTGTTCGACGTCAACACGCGCATCACCGCAGGCGACGCCCTCGCGCACCCCTACCTCGCGCCGTACCACAACCCCGCCGACGAGCCCGTCGCCGACGAGCCGTTCGACTGGAGCTTCAACGATGCCGACCTCCCGATCGACACGTGGAAGGTCATGATGTACTCCGAGATCCTCGACTTCCACAACATCGAGCAGAGCCCCGTCGACGCGCACCCCGCCCTGGACGCCCCGGCGCCCGCCGCGCCGTCCGCCCCGTAGAGTCTGTAGGTGGAGGTACGCCTCGCGGCCGACTCGCCGTCGCCATGCACGCTTGGCTCCGCGTGGCGGTGCTGGGCGCGTGCGCCGCGATGCTGTGCGCGGCTGCGGCCAGCAGCTCGTCATCGACGCAGACGAGTAGTCTCGTCACGACGAACGCGGGGCCCTCGCGGACGAACTTCCACCTGCCGACGCACAGCACGGCGTCGGGGGTGAGTGCGAATACGGGCATCGCGCCGCCGCTCACGGGGAGCGCCGTGCCTGCGACGGACGGGCAGCCGTACATGCTGAAGGACTCGGTCACGGTGCGCAGCTATCTGCAGGTGGGGCCCGGCGCGCCGGCGCCCCTGTACTATACGTTTGCGCGGGGCGCCGGCCAGCCGGTGTGGGTGTCGATGTCGCTGTGCAACGGCCCCGGCATTCCCGCCTACAACACGAGCAACGCGACGCTGCTGGACGATATGGACACGTCGGCCAAGGACCTGCGTGAGAGCACGCTGGTGGGCCTGTTTGTGTCGGACCGCGCGGACGCGCAGCGCCCGGGGCCGCGCTCAGGCCTGTCCGCGGACCATGTGGGGTACGCGCAGGGCGGGTGGACGCAGGTGGCGCTCCAGAAGGGCGCGGCGCAGGACGTGTGGATCGGCATCTGGCCGCCGCGCGATCCGCGGGGCGCGCAGGGGCGCTACGAGGTGCAGCTGACGGCCTCGACGGTCGGCTCGCTGCAGGACGTGGCCGCAGTGCCGGGGCTGTACTTTGACGACTCGGACCGCCGGAGCGCGCTGCTCACGTCCTTCAACTACACGGCGCCGCCGCCGAACATGAGCCTGATCGTGCTGCCGACCGACGGGCGCTTCTCGCTCACGTCGATCACCTACTTCAACTCGTCGTTCTGCCGTATCTTTGATCTCTGGGACGACATGGACCAGGCGAATGTGCGCCCGGCGGTGAACAGCAGCGAGACGAGCCGCGGGACGCTCGACGTGCTCACGCGCATCGCCGGCGGGAGCGGGCCCGAGAACCACGGGCACATCAACGACACGGCCGGCATCGCGCCGATCATCGACAACGACCTGGCCGCGCCGGTGATGCTCGCCGACGAGACGCGGTCGAGCCCGCAGGTGCGCAAGCAGTTCCTCGTCAACGGGCTCGAGCCCGGGCAAAACTACACGGCGTACCTCGTCTCGTCCACGAACAACAGCGGCGTCGTGCACCGCCGGCTGTACCCCGCGGTCAAGTTCGTGACGAAGCGCACGGAGAACTGCCGCCTCATGTACAACCTGGCGTTCTGCCCCGAGCTCGCGTATGCGGTGCCGTACAACCCGGCGCTGGACGTGAACGAGGCCCTGCGCGTGCTGGAGCAGGTGGTATCGAGCAACTACGGCAACTTCTCCGCCACGCTCGACACGTTCCCGTGCGCGGACGACAAGCTGGGGCGCTACTCGAGCGTGTCGACGTGCGAGGACTGCCGCCGCGCGTACCAAAACTGGCTGTGCGCCGTGGCCATTCCCCGGTGCACGGACCTCGTGGACCCCGCGGAGAGCGCCGCGAGCCAGAACGGCACCGAGCTGCAGGGCCTGCCGATGCCGCCCAACGAGCGCCTGCTCCCGTACATCGTCAACCGCGTGGGGCCGCGGAGCAGTCGGCAGGCGTACATCGACCAGCTCTTCGGCGCGGGCGACTACGGCGAGCTCCTCCCGTGCCTGCTGACGTGCGAGATGGTCACCCGCTCGTGCCCGCCGGTGCTCCGCTGGGCCTGCCCGCGCTGGACCGTGACCGCCCAGCGGGACTACGGCACCTTTGCCGACGCGGACGACACGGGCTTTGGCGTGAACGAGAACGGCGGCGGCGGCCCCGGCGGCCTCCGCTGGGGCGGCGCCTGGTCGCGCTACGTGGCGCAGGACGCGTTCGGCCATGTCTACTGCAATCCGATGGACGTCGACCGCCTCCTGCGCCAGGCCAGCGGCGCCGCGCCGCGCGGGCCGCCCCTGTGGACCGCAGCGCTCGCAGCGCTCGCCACGATACTGGCCGTGCGCTAGCCCGCGAGCCCGCTCAGCACGAGCGTGTGCCCGTCCGGGTCCCGCACACGGAACTCGCACGTGCCGTCCGGCATGAGCTGCGGCCGCGTGAGGATCTGGGCCTGCGCAAAGTCGTGCTCCGGAAAGTAGCCCTCCTGCACGGTCGACGCCGCCACGAGCTGCGCGGCCGCATCACGAAAACACGCTTCCACGTCCGTGACCATGAGCCATAGCGTCTGCAGCTCCCCGGTCGGGCCGCCCGCCGACGGCCGCAGGAGCAGATACACGCCCGGCGGCAGCGACGGGCGCATGCCCGGCGCGCCCCCATTCAGGCTCGGCATCGTGCCTGGCGCGCCGCGGAAGAGGCGCGCCTGCGCAGGATCGCGCCGGCCGAACCGCCGGAAGCGCAGCACGCGCGTGTAGAAGGCAACAGACAGCGGCAGGTGTCGCACACGCAGGCACGGCATGGCCATCAGCATCGCCGGAAGCGGCGTCGGCACCGCGGGGGGCGCGCGCCGCGCGCGCCGTACCACATCGCCCGTGCCGTCGTCGTCGTCGTCCGCAGGCGTGGGCGCGTGCCGCCGCACCGGCATCGCCGGCAGCAGGTCGATCGGACGCCGCATATTCGTCGTCTTCGGCCGCGAATCGCTCTCGCTGGGGTCAGCACAGAGGCATACCGAGGGAGCGCGCGCAGCTCATCGATGCTCACGCCCAGCTGCGACAAGCGCAGCCCCGGGCACCGCCGGTCCGACAGGGGGGGCAGCGGTGCAGGGGCCATCGAGCCGTGGCGGCGCCGCGTCGCAGCGGGGCCAGGCGCTGCCCGCACGTGCCGCGACTCGGCAGGCCTCCACCATGGCCGAGGCGGAGCGCTTCTGGGCGGCGGCCTACTTTGCGCCGCTGCACGCGACGCTCGGCCAGTGGCACGACGCGTGTGCGGCGCCACAGCGCTTTGTACACGCGCTGCATGCGTGGTGGCCCGTCCTGGCGGACGGCCTGGACACCGCCGGCCTGCGCACCGCACGGCCGCGGTGCGTCGCGCCGTGGGGCGAGGAGGCCTGGCTCGTGCAGCGCGCCGTCCTGCTGTACCTGTGCCATGCGCCGTACTGCCGCCCTGGTGTCCCACCGGATGCACAGCCGTTTCGGCCGCTCGTCGAGGCGTACGCCACGTGCGTGGACCCGCCCCGCGCAATCGATGCGTGGCAGGGCGCCAGCACGCCGCGCGACCGCGCGTTCCTGCAGGCGGTCGTGCGCGCCCTGCTCGCTGGCGCTCCAGGCGACGTCGGCGACGCGACGCCCTGTGCGGCACGCGGCGCTTGGGACGTGCCGGCCCACATCCCGCGCGCGCCGCCGCGCGCCGCGTACGAGGCGAGCCGTGCCGCCGGCCTGCTCATGCAGAATGCGGCTGTGCCGCTGGATCTCGTGCGGCAGGCGTGGCTGCAGCAGTTCCTGCGGCGCATGCGTCATGATCTGCGCGCCGGGCAGGCCGAGAGCACGGAGCGGATGGCGGCCCTCGCGCTGCGCGACGCGCCCATGCACGGCCTGTGCATGCGGCCCGCGCTCGCGGCGTCCCTCGCGCGGCAGCACGCCGGCCTCGCGGCCGAGTGGGTGCTGTGTACGTGCCGCCTGCCGCCCACGCACCTGCCGCCCGCATGGACGCGCGAGGGCCTGTGGGAGCAGCTCGGCGAGGCGCTCGCGCACGACACGGCGCATGTGCGCGCGGCAGGCGACATGCTCGTGCTCCTATGTGCGTCGGACGAGCGCGTGTCGGCGCGCATGGAGGACGGCACGGACGCGGCGCTCGGCATAGCTTGGCTCGCGCAGCGACTGTGTGTGCCGCGCTTCCTCGCGGTGCTCGCGACGGCCATGGAAAGCGCGCCGCACGAAGACCTCGCCGAGTTCGTGTGTACGTGGACGCTGCGCCTCGTGCACAAGGGATACCTGCCGCTGCACCGCGACGCGCGCCCCGAGGCGCTGGGCCTGAGCGCCGACTCGGCCGCGCTCGCGGCGCTTCAGGCGCACGCAGACGATGAGCTCGATATGCTCGATGCGGTCCTGCGCAGTGCGGCGCTGCGCTACGCGCGGCATGCGTACGCGGCCGCGCTCTACCAAGGGCTCACGCACGGACCACGCGGCGCAGCGCCGCCCCACGTGGATCCGCCGGTGGAGGGCGGCGAGGCAGGTAGGACCGCCTAGGCGGCCGCTGGCGCAGCTAGATCGTAGGGAGTCGTCGGCCAGCGCGAGGCTCGGGCTCCGTCGGCGCGGTGGCGCCGTCGGCGCTGTCGCTCCGCCGGGCCCGCCGGCTCCGCCTTCTGCGTCGTCGCGCGGCTGACGGCCTCCACTCCGCCCACCATGGCCGGCAGCTCGGCGCGCGCGTTCCTGCTCCTGCAGATCGGCGTGCGGCTCCTTACCTTTGCGCTACACCAACTGCTCGTCCGCACGGTGAGTCCCGCGGTGTTTGGCGCTGCGAATGTGCAGCTGGAGCTGGTCCTGAGCATTGTCTTGGCGCTGGCGCGCGACGGTGTTAGGGCGGTGGTGGTCCGGCGGCAGGCGGCGCTCCGCTCGCAAGCGACGGTGCGCGCTTTGCACAACCTTGCGCTCCTCCCGATGGGGTGTGGCGGCCTCCTCGCGGCGGCTGTCGGCGGCGCGTACCTCCGGTACATGGCGCCGCCGACGCTGTGGGCCGCGGGCGGCGCGGCGCTCCCCGTGTCGGTCGCCCTGTACGGCGTCGGTGCGGTGTTCGAGCTCATGGCCGAGCCGCTGCATATGCGTGCGCTGGGCCTCGCGCAGTACGTGCGCGTGCGCATCGGCATGGAGGCCGGCGGCGTGCTCGCGCGGGCCGTGGTGCATGTGCTTCTCCTGCAGCCCGTGTGCCTGCGGTGGATGCGCACGCACGGCGGCGCGTACCTGACGGTGCCGCCGGGCGAGCTGCCATGGGCGCTCCTGGCGTTTGCGCTTGCGCGTGCGGCGTATGGCGCTGGCTATTTTGGCGCCGCAGGCGTGGCGCTGGCGCACTGCACGTCCGTGCGGACGGTGGCCGGCGCGCTGTGCCCTGCGTGCGACCGCCCGCTCTTCGATGCGCCGGAGACGCGCGCGCTCGTGCGGGTGACGACCGGGCAGGCCGTGCTGAAGCTCGTGCTCACGGAGGGCGATAAGCTGGCGCTCACGAAGCTCACGAGCCTCGCGCACCAGGGCGGCTATGCACTCGCGAGCAACTACGGCTCGATCCTTGCGCGCACGCTGTTCCAGCCGCTCGAGGAGAGCGCGCGCCTGCAATTCACGCAGGACACGGGCGAGGCGGCGCGCGGGCGCGCGGCGGCGCTCCTGCAGGTGCTCCTGCGCATGCATGGGCTGCTAGGCACCGCGCTCGTCGCGTTCGGGCCGCCGCTCGCGCGCGCGGCGCTGCGGATCGTCGCTGGCGCGCAGTGGGCCGATGCGCCGTCGCCCGCCGCGCCGATCCTCGCGACGTACTGCTGGTACCTGCCGGTCATGGGCGTCAACGGGCTGGTCGAGGCGTTCGTGCAGGCCGTGGCGCCGCCGGCGGTGCTGGCGTGGTACTCGCGCGTGTTGGTCGTCTCGAGTGCGGCGTTCGTGGCGGTGCTCTATGGGGCGCAGGGGCTCATGCTGTGGGGCCGCGGCGGCGCTGAGAGCGCGATTGTGTGGGCGAATATCGCGGCGCTCGGCGTGCGCGCGATCGCCGCGTACGTGTACGTGCGGCGCTACTTTGCGCCGACGGCGTACCGGGCGCAGGTGGCGTGGCGCGCGCTCGTGCCGCGCGCGCGCACGCTCGGTGTGCTTGTGGCCTGTGCGGCGGCGCTGCGCGCATCGGCGGTGCAGGCGCAGCCGGCCATGGCGCAGCTCGGCATGGGCGTGGCGCTAGCGAGTGTCGTGTACGTACGGGACACTAACGATCAGTCTCGCGCTGGAGTGGCGCACGTGCACCGCCGCGCTGGCGGTGCTCCGGTAGGGTATCAGCTCGGCGGCGCGAAGCGGCGGCGCGTCGCGCGGCGCAGCGTGGGCGAGGCGCCGAGGGCTGCGCCGCGCGGCGGCGTCGAGAGCGAGTGCATCGACGTGAGCTGCTGCGCGAGAAAGTCGCCTGTGCCTGGGCGCATGCGCAGGATGCGCATGGCCATGTCGGTGAGCAGCGCCGTGTCGTCGCTCTCCGTCGCTGCGGCGGCCTTGGAGCGCTGGTGCGCGCGGATCGTGCCGAGCGAGCGCTGGTCCAGGACGGACTTGGCGCGTGTGCGGGCGGCGCCGCGCCCGGCCGACGCGAGGTGCGCCTGGAAGCCGCGCACACACTCGATCATCAGTGCGTCGGTGCTCTGGTCGTGCAGCAGCAGGTAGGACAGCAGCTCGCGGTACTTGGGCCCCTGGAGCACGCGGAGCGGCACGCCGTGCACGACGCCCGTCGAGGCGTCGTACGCGTGGAAGAAGCTGCGCAGGAACGACAGCCACTTGAACACGATATCGACCTCGGCCCCGCTCAGTGGCCGCATGTCGCTCGGCGCATCGCTCAGTGGCGGGACAAGGAGGCCCTCGAGCGTGACGAGCACCTCTTTCCACACGCGCGTCAGCACGAACTGCGCCTCGGGCTCGCACAGACTGCTCTGCAGCGTGCCGAACGTCTCCTCGAAGTAGTCGAGCAGGGGCACGATCGCCGCCTCCATCTCGGGGTCGCTCAGCGCCGTGCGCTTCGCGCCCGACTCGACGGGCGGAATCGCGCTGCTGCCGGCCGCCTGCGCGAGCGCCGACGCGTAGAGCGCGCGCACATTGCCCACGACGCGCTCGACACGCGCGCCGCGCACGAGCGTGCGCAGCACGCTGCGCGAGAGGAACTGCCGCATGAACAGGGACATGTGATCGACGAGCACGCGCACCATGTCGACTTCGCTGCGCTTCACGACGCGGAACGCGTGCCCAAAGTCGTACAGGATGCCGTCGTGCGCATCGTCCATGCTCACGCGCAGCAGGAGGCGCCCGCCAGCGCGGTCGAGCTCGAGCCACACGTCCTGGGACGCATGCTCCGCAAAGTCGCGCGCATCGAGACACAGCGCCGCGCGGCCGACGAGCACGGGCGCCTCGTTCGTGACGCGCTGCCACACGCTCGCGGAGATCCACCGCGGCGCGCTCACGGCCACATCGACGGCCTCGTCCCAGCGCGGCGTCGGCGTGTCAAAGAGGGTGCGCGTCTGCGCGAGACGCACGCCCTGGGCATCGCTCAGCGTGACGAACGTGTCGAGGCGCGGCACGCGCTCGGCGGCCGGCGCCGGGAGCTCGGCCTGCACCATCTTGACGGCAAAGTGCCGCGGTGCATCACTCGTCGCCTCGCTCGCGCGCGTGTGCTGCTGCACGACGGCCGCCTGGTGATCCGCGTCGATCGCCTGGTACAGCACGTCCAGCTGGCGCCGCGCGCGCTCCATATTGTTCAGCTTGACGCACGAGCGCGGCTCCAGCAGAAAAGGCGTCACGCGCTTCTCGCCCTGGATCGTCAGCTTCGCCTTGGCGACCCACGCCGCGTGCTTGGGCGGCAGCGACGCGAGCGCCTCGGTGGCGAACGCGAGCGCGGGGGACGAGAGCGGCGGCGGCGGCGTCATCTCCGCCATGTACAGCGCCTCGAGCTCCTCGCAGTACAGCTCCACGAGCCGCCGCATCGAGTGCGCGAGCTGCGAGAAAAAGACGGCGAGGTCGTACGCGTCTGGCCACGCCAGCGCTTGCAGCGCGCGCACCTGCTGCGCGAGCGCATCAAAGAGGTCCACCACCGACGTGCTGTGCAGTGTGTCTGCCTCAGCGACCGGCTCAAAGGAGTCGCTGTGCACCGCGCGCCGGACCCACCCAGCGGTGCGCTCCTCGCTCAGCGCGAGCCAGAGCGTGACGTACGGCCGGAACCATGTGACGAGGTCAAACGTCGGCGGCGTCTGCACCTGCGGCCACGCTTGGAGCACGCGCACGCGGTTGAGCAGGTCCCACGCCTCGTTCACCAGGCTGAGATCGCGGCGCATCTGCACCTGCTGCCACACGGCCTCCCGCACGGCGCCGACATCGTTGAGATACAGAGGCACGAGCTGCGCCGCCACGGCCTGCGCAGGCTGCACCCCCAGCACAGGCGTCGCGCAGCGCGCATGCAGCGCCCGGAGCGTGCGATCGAGCCAGGCGCCGAGCTCCACGAGTGCGCCCAGCGCACTGGACGGCGTGGCCAGCAGCGCCTTCGCCTGCGCCTTGTACTGCTGCTTCGCGGTCGCCACGAGCGCCTTCTCGAGCATGGCAGCGCGCGTGGGAGGCGGCGCCGTGCCTGTGAGGGAGCGTGCCTCGGTGACGAGCGCCTGCGCCCGCCCGGCCAGGGCCGTCGCCGCCGCACACTCGGGCGGCAGCGGTGCATCCGTGTCCTGCAGCGCAGCGAGTACGAGCCGCAGGAGCGAGTCGAGCAGGCCATCGAGGAGGCGCACGAGCAGGTGCCGCTCCGTATGGCGCCATTGCGGCAGAGGATGCGCGTCGAGCACGCGCTCGAGCGCCTCCATCGCGTCGGCGACGCACTCGAACGGGATCTCGCCCATATCGTACTTGGCCTTGAAGAGGCGCAGGCGCGCGAGGCCGCGGAAGGGCGGCGAGACGCGCCACCACAGCGCACACGTAGCGAGGAGCTCCGTGTGCACCGGCGAGAAGATGGAGAGTGATACCTCCTCGTCGGCCGCCTTGGCGCGGATCCCCTCTAGATCGCGCTCCAGGCACAGCGCTAGCAGCCGCTGGTACGCGGCCGGCGCGTCCGGCGGGATGTACGTGAGCTCATCGGTGTCGGAGTCGGCGGGCATGTCAGGCGTAGCGCGCCCAGTGTCGAGCGAGCCGCGGCGGCGCGACGAGCTGTCGCTCGCGCTCGCTGCGCTCAGCAGGTCGGGGCGTGCGTGGCACAGCTCGGCGACGAGCTGCGAGAGCTGCGCGAGCTCGCTCGAGCGCCACTGGTGGTACGCCTCCGTCGTGAGAAAGTCGTCGGCGGCCGCGGCCTGTGTGTGGATGCGGTAGATGCACCGCTTGAGATCCACCACACAGGCCGGCAGTGTGCAGGTCGAGCGAATCGACTGCACGTCGAGGCGCAGCTGCGGCAGCTCCACGTCAAAGAGGGCGCCCGTCGCGGCGACGAGCGGCGCGTGCGCGGCGTCGGGGTGTGCGTCGCTCGGCGTGCTGCGCCCGGGGCCGAGGAGCCGCTGCTCGTACTCGCCGAGACGCTCGAGCACGTCGCGCGAGGTCGTCGGTATCGCACGCAGGCACTCGGACACAATGCGCATGAATTGTTCGAGCTCGGCGTCGAGCTCGGCGCGGCGCTCTGCCTCGTTGGGCACGCGCTGCTGCAGCGACGCCTGCGCCACCGCCGTGAACTGGAGCAGGACCTCTTCGAGGCTGCGGTGCTCCCTGAACCGCTTCTGCACGCTGTCATCGCGAAGCGTCGACAAAAATGCCTCGGCGGTCGTGACAAAGGGCGGCGCGCGATACAGCGGGTCGCGCCCTGACGCCACCCGCTCGAGGCGCTCAGCGAGGCGCTTGACGAATTTCTCGGGGAAGCGCCCCTCGCGCGCCGAGCTGCTGGGTAGGCGCAGGTCACGCATACGCTCGGCGAGGCCTGTGCGGTCAAAAGAGCGGCGCGGCGCATCCGACAGGGCGGGTGGCGTGGATGTGCCAGGCGTCGCGCCGGGCGCAGCGGGCGCGCCTGTGGCGCCACTCGCGGCGGGTGCGCACTCATGCTCGACGAGATACACGAGGTATGCGGTCTGTAGCGTAAACACATATACGTCGCCATCTGTCAGGCTTCGGCGCTGTGCGCTGCCGGCAGACGCGCTGCCACGCAGCATCGCGGTGCGCGTCGTGCCACTCCGACGCACGGATCGGAGGCGGCGGAGGTGGCACGTGGCTGAGTCAGCCGGCCACGCGGCGCGCGTGGACCCCGGGCCAGGGCCGCGCGGATTTTTCCGTTTTCTTTCGTACCACACCATGTCGAAGGCGGACGAGGCGGACGACCTGTACGCCGACTTGTACGGAGAGGAGGCAGAGCCGGCCGTGGCTGCTCCGGTGGCAGCGCCGAAGGCGGAGCCGGCGCCGGCTGCCGCTGTGACGCCCGCTGCGCCGGTCGCGGCGGCGAAGCCGGCGGCCGAGGTGCCGTCGGCGACGTTTATTCCGGGGCAGCCTGCGCCGCCGCCGCTGGACTCGGCGGAGGCGCGGCAGGCGGCTGCGGCGCGCGGTGAGCACATTGCGCCGCAGGACCTGCCTGATGAAGGGTGAGTATTGACATGGCGTGCATGTCGTAGCACGTCCGGGCACGCGGGGCCTTGGACCGATTAGAGAGGACGTTTGTTAGACTAGCCACAGACCCTTAGCATACAAGCCTGGACCCCCCGGACGTGCAAGTGCGGTCCGAGTAGATACTAACGCGGCAGAAAAATGTTTGTGGGTGGTCTGAACTGGGACACGGACGAAGAGAGCCTGCGGCGCTACTTTGGGCAGTTTGGCCCTGTGACGTCGTGTACGGTGATGCGTGACAATGCGTCGGGCCGCTCGCGCGGCTTTGCGTTCGTGACGTTCTCGGACCCGAAGTCGGTGAATGCTGTGATGGTGCGCGAGCACTACCTGGACGGCAAGATCATCGATCCGAAGCGTGCGATTCCGCGCCCGGAGCAGTCCAAGACGCAAAAATGCTTTGTGGGCGGTCTGCCGCAGACGGTCACGCAGGACTCGTTTAAGCAGCTCTTCCAGCAGTTTGGCCACGTCCTTGACAGCACCGTCATGATGGACAAGGACACAGGCCGGCCGCGTGGCTTTGGTTTTGTTACGTTTGAGAATGACGATGGTGTAGAGAATACACTGGCGCACCAGCCGCTTATGCTGGATGGCAAGCAGATCGAGGTGAAGCGCGCGCAGTCGCGTGGCCAGCCGCAGCCGAACGCGGCGCCGAACCGCTACAGTGCCGACCCAGCGCGGGGCAGCAATGCGCAGGCGCCTCTGCGTGCATGGGGCGCGCCTGCACCAGCGGCGGGTGACGCCAGCAAGGGTGCGCCGGCAGCGGGGGGCTTCGATCCCCAGGCCATGGCCAAGATGTACCAGCAGATGGGCTGGGGCAGCTCGGCGTGGAACCCCCAGATGATGTGGCAGCAGATGATGGCGGCCTACATGGGTGGCGCCGCGGCCAAGGGCGGCTGGGGTATGCCTGGTGCGGCGCCTGGTGGCGCTGCGGCCGGCGGTGGCCGGCCGGGCAGCAGCGATCACGGCTGGGGCTCCCGCGGAGGCAGTGGCAGCGACGATGCGCGCGGCCGCTCCGGTAGCAGCGGAGGCCACCAGCGCGAGCGCTCGCCGACTCGTGGATCGCGCAACTATGACGAACGTAGTCGGTTTTGAGTAGAAGGTACCATGTACAATGTACAAAACGAATGCAGGGCAGGGCTGCGAGAAGCGAGGCTATGTCGAAAAAAACGGGGCAAAAAGTGGACGAGACGGGATTTGAACCCGGGACCTTCTGCTGATTCAAGGTTTGACCCTTGTTCGATCGCAATTTAGTGCGAAGCAGACGTCATACCACTAGACCACACGCCCGTGCTATGCAAGTCGCGCTACCAGATAGCCCTAAAAGGGTAGGGAGAGATCCGTGGACAAAAATGGACGAGACGGGATTTGAACCCGGGACCTTCTGCTGATTCAAGGTTTGACCCTTGTTCGATCGCAATTTAGTGCGAAGCAGACGTCATACCACTAGACCACACGCCCAGGAGACGGCAATTTTTGCGCGTAGAGCGCCTATGGTGTGACAGGTTTCAAAGCTCAGGCACCAGGGGCACGGCGGGCACGGCCCCGCTGACTCGGTCACATGCATTGTCGCTTCTGTGCCCTGCATCGATAACGCCATCGTTCGTCCACTCTCGTGCACGCCGGCATGGATGTCGTGCCCATCACGTCGATAGCCAGTGGGCCAGGTACGACTCAAAAATGGGACCTGCCCTGATCGTGTGCGCCCGCGGTGTATTTGGCCATGTCGAGTGCGTGTGCGGGCCCTAACAAATAGCCTCCGTCGAGTTCGACCATGCATGTGCGGGAGAGGCCCTGGCCGAGCAACTGCGGTACAACAAGCATGTCAGCGATATGGGGCAGGAGCATGACCTGCTGCCGGCGAGCGTGGAGCATGTTACCCGCGGAAAGGCTGTCGACGAAAGTGACGACTGGCACTTTCCCACCGAGGAAGAGCGCCGAACCTTGCGCCGCGTGTCGGAAAAGATGAACTGGCCCGCCTTTGCGATTTGTGTGTGTGAGTTTGCCGAGCGATTCAGCTACTATGGTGCTACGCAAGTGTATTCGAACTTTATTTCCAAGCCTCGTCCCGTTGTACATGGTGCGCTGTCGCGCACGGGCGCCAACAAGGGCACAGACTCGACGTCTGGCGCGCTGGGCCTCGGCACAGTTGCCTCGCAGGGACTGACTCTGTTCAACTCGTTCTGGTGCTCTGTCACGCCGCTCTTGGCCGGCTGGCTTGCCGATGCGTACCTGGGCCGCTTCCGGATCATCTGCTGGGGCACAGGTATTGCGCAGGTGGGCCACATCCTTCTGACCGTGTCGGCGATCCCAGGCGTGATGGACCACCAGCGGGGTGCTGAGGCGTGCTTTGTCATGGCGCTGATTATCATGGGCACCGGCACGGGTGTGTTCAAGGCGAGCTGCCCTGTGCTGGTGGCCGAGCAGATCAAGATCAAGCAGCAGACAGTCATCACGCTCAAATCTGGCGAGAGCGTCATTGTCGACCCCGCTCTGACGACCGCGCGCACGTACATGTGGTACTATGAGATGATCAACCTGGGTTCGCTCGCTGGCCAGCTGGGTATGATCTATGCGGAGCAAAATGTCGGCTACTGGCTGGCATACCTGCTTCCGACGCTTGTCTTTTTCCTGCCGTTCCCTGTGCTGTGGTTCGGCCGCCACTACTACCGGTCAGAGCCGCCGAATGGCTCCGTGCTCACGCAGGCGTGTGGTGCGCTGTGGCTTGGCATCCGGCACACGCTGAGCTGGAACCCGTGGACGTTCCTGAGAAAGTACGGCTCGGAGGAGTTCTGGTCATATGCGCGCCCATCGACGTTCCGCGGCGCAGTGAGGCCCCGGTGGATGACGTACGACGACCGCTGGGTCGATCAGCTGGACCGCGGTGTAAAGGCATGCAACATCTTTCTGCTGTTTCCTCTGTACTATCTCTGCTACAACCAGATCACCAACAATCTGATCGTGCAGGCTGGCCAGATGGACATGAGCGGCTCGCCGAACGAGCTCGTGTCGCAGCTCGACCCGATTTTTATTATTGTGTTTGTGCTGCTCTTCCAGTTTGGGCTGTACCCCGCGTGTGAGCGCTACAACATTCCTTTTACACCGATCAAGCGCGTCGCGATCGGGTTCTTCCTCGTGAGCTTGGCGATGGTGTGGGCGGCGGTGCTGCAGCACTATATATACCGGACCAGCCCGTGTGGCACGCACGTCGGCGACCATGGCTACCGCGCGCCGGACGGCTCCGAGTGTTCGAGCCTGCAAAACTCGTCGCCGCTGAGCATGTGGGTATCGTCCGGCTCGTACGTGCTGATTGCGTTCAGCGAGCTGTTCGCATCGGTCACGTCGATGGAGGTCGCGATGGTCATGGCGCCGAAGAACATGCGCTCGATTGTCATGGCCATCGGCACATTCATGTCCGCCATTGCCTCGGCCATCGGTGAGGCGTTCATTGGACTGTCGCAGAACCCGAACTGGGTCATCAACTATGGCCTATTCGCCGGCCTTGCGTTCGTCGGCGGCATTCTGTTCTGGCTGTGCTTCCGCCGCATCGACCAGCATCAAGACTCGTTGAACATGGTCGGGCAGGAGACGTTCGAGGAGCGGGTCGCGCGAGGCGTGGAAGCCGCGGAGCCGGGGCCGCGGGCCAGCGAGAAAGCTGACATAGCTGCGTAGGTCGGACTCGCGCAGGTGGAGTCCCCGAAAAGGGCCCATTTCATCGTTACATATCTACATAGCCGCCCATCGCGCCGCCCGCGGCGCCGTCTGTGTCGGCTGCATACGCATCGAGCGGGGCCTCGGCACCGGGGGCCGGCGCACCCGCACCATAGGCGGACCACATGGCCGGCGCATACGGCGCGGCGCCGTCCGCGCCGAGGCGCACCTCCTTGGCCCAGGTCTGCTTGAGCGAGCCCATCTGGACGATGAGCTTCGTGCACGCCTGCTGCAGCACTTCCGCAGGCGTCTGCGACCCGTCCGTCTGGATCTTGACGAGCACGCGCGGCTCCAGCGGATGCGGCACCTTGTACCCACAGAAGAGGACGCCCGGCTGCGCGAGCACGGCGTGGCGGAGCATGTTGCCGAGCGTGTGGTCCTCCTTGTTGAACACGAACGTGGCAGCGTTCGGCAGCCGCATGTCCTCCTGGATCTCGATGCGCTGCTCCCCCGGCTGTAGGAGGAACAGGTTGAAGCGGTCTGGCGCATTCGCCATCGTGCACAGGGGCTGGTGTCAGTGGCCCAGAGCAGGCGCGGCATGCAGGTGGCCCTCATATACCGTTGTAGTTTTTTTGAGAAATCAGTGTCATTGCCTTGCCAGGCTCAGACAGTGTGAATAAAGCGTAATCATCGGACCTGCCGCGCCTCGTACATACCTGAGGCTGTCGCGCCGAAGAAAAAACGCCGCGGCGGCCGCCGACGCCCCCCGTGCAAAGCACGTGACTCGGCCGATCAGGCCGCCCCCGCGGCGCAGCGCCGGCCGTGCTCTGCGCATGTCGGACTCCGGGGCGCCTGCAGCGCCGGGCAGCGGGCCGCGCGCCGAGATGGTGCAGAGTGCGATCCAATTCCTCGAGGACCCCAAGGTCCAGAGCTCGCCGGTGTCGCAGCGGATCAGCTTTCTTGAGTCGAAGGGGCTGACGCCGCAGGAGATTGATGTGGCGCTCGGCCATGCGGGGCGCGCTGGCGCAGCGCTCCCGCAGCGTGCGCCGTACCCGATGATGCCGGCGTACCCGCCCGCACGCGCGCAGCGCGACTGGCGCGACTGGTTCATTATGGCGGTGGTGTCCGGCACGGTCGGCTACGGCGTCGCCGCCCTGGCGCGGCGCTACCTGTACCCGCATCTGCAGCCGCCGAACCAGACGGCGCTTGAGGAAGAGCGCGATGCGCTGGCGGCCAAGTACGACGAGGTCGCGCTGCACCTCGAGGAGCTCGACCAGACGACGGAGGCCATGAGCCAGGGTCTCGCGGCGCAGCAGGCGGCCATTGCCGCGAGCGTGCAGGGCGTGAATGATATGGTCGCTGACGCGCGTGAGCGCGAGGAGCGCCGCGACAAGGACATGGACAAGATGCGCGACGATGTCGAGGAGCTGCGGACAGACGTCGAGGGCATGTTCGACCGCGCGCGCCAGGCGCAGGTCTCGGCGCTGTCGGAGCTGCAGTCGGAGCTCAAGTCGCTCCGCTCGCTGCTCGTGTCGCGGGGCGGGCTGTCTGCCAGCAGCGCAGAGCCGGCCGCGGACGACGCGCCGCCTGCGCGCGCTGCGCCTTCGATCCCGGCCTGGCAGCTTGCCGAGCCAAACGAGTAGAGTCTACAACGGCGAATCGATGCCGCGCATGACGCGCCCCAAGAGGCCCTGCGCCATATCGCGCGCCCCGCTCGCAACCTGCCCGAGATCGTGGCTCTCGCCCCAGGGCGCCGGCCCCAAGCGCAGCGACGGCGGGCCGCGGCTCCCGAGCGCGGGCGGCGCGCGCGTGAGCGACGGGTGCCGCGCGGCGACATGCTGTGCCATATCGAGGAACGTGCGCGAGCGATGCACGGTCGTGCCGCCCAGCAGGAAGCGGGTGCCGGGCCAGGTCGGCGCCGGCGCGGCACCCGCCCCGGGCGCCGCGCTCGCTGCGCCATTGAGGAGCGCGATCATCCGTGCCTCCTCGTACGTGGTGCCGCCAATGACGAACACGACCACGTCCTGGGGCCGCGTGGGCGGCCCGCCGGGGTACACGGTCGCAGGCGCGTCGAGCGCGTTCGACGCATCTGAGCCGGCGAACGGGTAGTGCGCGGTGCGCAGCTTGCCGCGCATGAGCTGATCGAGCGTCTGCACCAGGTGCGGCGTGTGCTGTGTGTAGACATTGTCGACGCCCTTGAGGCCACGGAGCGCGCTCTTGCCGCGCGCGAACAGGTTCTCGTTCGCGAACAAGTCGCCCTGCCGCTGGTCCGCGCCGGCGAGGTTGAGCAGGACGTACACCAACGCGACGTCGCTTTCCGGGACGCCGACGTCGACCAGCTGGCGCACCACGGCCTCGATCTGGTGGCTGCTTAGGGTCTGGTAGCGCAGCGCATAGAGGATTGCGACGCGCAGCTTGGCGTCCGCGCCGATCTGCGGATCGGCCAGGAGCGACTGCACGTTCTGAGTCAGTGGGCGAGACGCACCTTAAGGTCGCTTGCGTGGCTCTCGCGCGTCGCGAGGCTCTGCTCGAGCTCGCTCACGGTCAGGAGGCGGCGCGCATCGACGAGCGCGCTGAGCTCGCCGAGGAGCGCGACGTGCTTGCTCACGTTGCCGCGCAGGCGCTGGAACTCGGGGTACGCGTCGACGAAGCGCTTCATGTCTTGCACCGTCTCGATCGTGGCGTTGGACGCGGAGCGCGCCTGGAACTGCACGACGTACTCCTTGATCGACGCGCCGAGGTCGCCAAAGTTGTCGTACAGGTTGGCGGCAAAGAACGGGTCGTGGTCCACGGACAGCACGATGTCCTGCGCGCCCTGCTCCGTGTGCATCGTCGTGCGCCCGTTGTCGATGCCGAGCAGCTCGTGCACCATTGCCTGGTACGTCCACTGCGTGAGCAGCGGCGTCACAGGGTCGTTCCGCCGGTCCAGGATGAGCAGCAGCGGCGGCACATCGGTGCGCCGAAAGTCGAACAGGGGCGCCAGCGCCGTGTCCATTTGGTGCACCACATCGTGCGCGAGGGTCTTGGCCAGCCCGCTCATGCGCTCGTACCGGACGACCGGCTTCTTTTTGAGGCTCAGGAGCACGGACGTGAGCGCGCGCGTGTGCACGTCGAGCGCGTCCGCGTCCCACGTCGAGGTAGTGTGGCCCCAGAGCGCATGGGGTGGGACGGCGTAGTGCAGCGAAAAGTGCGACGACGTCACCGGGACATAGTCCGCAAAGAACTCCTGTACGGCCTGCACGGCCTGGTGCTGGTCCGCCTCGGCCAGCTGCTCGATGTGCGCTTTCGACACGGCGTGGCTAAAGTCTGGCGTCAGCGGCGCGCACGTACACAGCCAGTACGCGCTGTAGCGCGGATGCTGCAGCTCCTCGCAGAGCGCGTGGATGGATGCAGCGCTGGGGCGCACAAACACGATGCACGTCAGGTGCGGCATGCGCTCGCGCCGCGCGTTCGCGAGCTTGTCGGTCAGGTACACCTCCTGCTCGAGCAGCGCGGACTGCGTGTAGGCCGCGGACACAGTCGGCGTCTGCGTGAGCGGGCGCCACGTACCGTGTGCTCATCGAGGAGCAGGATCTTCATGCCCTGCACCTCCTTGAGCATGCGCTCCATGTACGCGGCGATCGCCTTGCCCACGTCCATGGCGAGCGGTGCGATCGGTGGAGATCGGCCGAGCGAGCGAGTGTGCTACGGAGCGCCGCCGAGGCGTGGCTATGAGCTGGGCATCTCGCACGAGAAGGGGCTTCCGACGTTGCCGGTTTTGTACAGATCACGGATCGACACGGCGGAGGCCCACGTACCGGCGATCATGAAGAAGCCGGCCATGCCGATCATGACGAGGGCGACGATGGTGCCGAGGCGGTTCCGCCAGTGGTTCCAGTAGTCGAACTGGTGGCGCCACAGGTAGAACATGGGCGCAAAGAAGAAGAAGACGCTCCAGAAGAGCGAGGCTTCAAGGCCAAGGAATGTGCTGAAGAAGGGAATGACCTCGGCGAGGACGAAGGCCAGGGCCCACGAGATGATGTTAATGACGATCCACACGGTCCAGGTGACGACCTTGTTGTCGAGGAAGCGGCGGCGGGCGCCGGAGAACACGTTGATCATGAACATCTTGCCGGTGACCTGGCCACTCGCGCAGCCGGCGACGAGGATCGTCGGCAGGGCCAGGCCGTAGGACACCTTGATCATGACCGTGGTCAGGCTGCCGAGCGAGGGCGACGTCGTGAACTGCCCGAGGTTGTAGTTCATGATGCACCCCACGATGACGTACATGACGAACGACACGGCGACCAGCATGATGAGGCTGTAGTGGAAGTCCTGTGGCCGCTTCATCTCGGCGACCACCGGGAGGTACGCGGGAATCGCACCAAAGCTCACAAACACGTTCGTCGTGCCAAGCACACCGTCGAGGAAGCTGTGGGGAATACGCCGCGACGCGCCGAACGCGTGGACGGCCTTGGGCGGCTCGGACGGGTCACGGTTCTGGGGGCCGGAGACACCGCTTGCGATCATCGCGATGATGACCACCGTAAAGATCGACGTGAACGAGATGGCCGCAAACGCGGAAAACAGGCGGTACGAGCGCGGCAGCGTGAACACGAACGAGATGATCGTAAAGACAAGCACCATCACGATCATGCACGCGTCCCAGCCGAGGTAGTAGAACGCGTAGCCGCCCAGCAGGACGTGGTTGCCCTGCAAGAAGACGCTGAAGATGGCCTGGAACGTCGCAAAGATGACGCCGCCGATCGGCCCGAAGATCAGCTCGCCGACCTGCTGCAGGTTTTGCACGCCCGGGTACATCATCGCGATGCGCCAGTAGTTGTAGCCGATGTACCACGTCAGGAACGAGAACAGGCAGCACAGCAGCACGAACGGCACCATACCGATCGTCGCCACGACCATCGGAATACTCAAAATACCGAGCGCGATCGAGTAGGCGATCATGTTGAAAAAGGCACCAAAGAAGCCGAGCGACCGCTGGACGGGCTTTGCAATCTCGCCGCGATACGGCCCATTCACCTGCTCGACCATACCATCCTCGAGCTGCGCCTTGTGGACATGCTTTTCGGCAGGGTCGCTGGCGGCGTCGGGGGGTGGCGTTCCCGACGCGGCGGTCTCGGAGGGCTCAGGCTCCTCCAGGAACTTGTATCTCCGGATATAGTTGGTATCGCTATTCGGGAAGAAACGCGACACGAACGTGCGCTTCTGCCCTGGCGCTGGCGACGGCCCCAGCGTTTCCATGGTCGGGGTCAGGAAATGATAATGCAAAAACCGACTGTATCTTCTTATGGAGGCGTGTATTTTCCTGATAACCCCGCGCCGTGTGAAAAGGGGGGGAGCCGCGTCGCCCGATCTGTGCTTGGCGCCATGTCTTCGAGCGCGGCGCCCAAACCGCTTCCGACGTATGTGACGCTGGTCTCGGGCGCCACAGCCGGTGTCGTAGAGCTCCTGTGCCTGTATCCCCTCGGTACGTGGGATGTGCTGACGCAGATGTCGTCAAGACGCGCCTGCAGCTCCAGCGCTCCTCGGCCGGCGGCAGTGCGCCGTACCGCGGCATTGTCAACACGCTCGGGCGCATCGCGCGTGACGAAGGGTACGTTGGTGAGACTTATCGCAGACCGACCGCGCTGTACCGCGGCATCGGCCCGCTGCTCTTGCTCGAGGCGCCGAAGCGCGCGATCAAGTTCGGGTACGTCGTCGCTACTTACGCAGCGCCAATGACTTTTGGGGCAAGGTGTTCCGGCCGCTGTTTCCTGGGCGCGGCACGAATGCCACGCATGCGCTCCTGACGGGCTGTGCGGCCGGCGCCACGGAAAGCCTGGTCGTCGTGCCGTTCGAGCTCGTCAAGATCCGCCTGCAGGACCGCGCACAGACACACCTGTACCGTGGCCCGATGGACGTGGTGCGCAAGATTGTGGCCGAGTCGGGGTGGGCGGGCCTGTTCCGCGGGCTGCCGGTGACCATGGTGCGCCACATTCTGTGGAATGGCGGCTTCTTTGGCTCGATCCCCCTGATCCGCTCGTACATGCAGCCCCCGACGAACAAGCGCGAACGCATGCAGAACATGCTGCTGAGCGGTACGCTCGGCGGCTTCATCGGCACCCTGCTCAACACGCCTGCGGACGTCGTCAAGACGCGCGTCCAGAATACGTCGCCGGAGCCGGGGCAGCCGCCCAAGTACCGCGGCATCGTCCATGGCTTCGCGCGCATCCTGCGTGAAGAGGGCCCCGGAGCGCTGTACAAGGGCTTCCTGCCCAAGGTCGTGCGTCTCGCGCCCGGCGGCGGCCTCCTCCTCTTTGTGGTGGAGACCCTCAACGGGCAGGCGCGCCACCTGCTTGGTCCACCTTATATCTAAAAAGGGTATGCCTATACACGGGTGCCCAGCTCGAGGTGTTCAAGGACAGTGTCGTAGAGGAACTTGAACGAGTGCGGGTTGCCCTTGATGCGGCGGATGTCCACACTGTAGAGGCCCTGTAGGCGCACCAGACGCGCAATCTCCACGGAGAAGCGCACCTCATGCCCACCATCGACGGCGGAATCGCCATACAGGGGCGGCACATTCGACGCCGTAAACGCCTCGAGCGACTGCGACGACACGCTCAGGCTCATGCGCTGCAGGCCCTGCTCGACCTCGGCGCTCGGCGCGTGCTTCCCACCACGTGACCAGCGGCGCCGCGAGGTCTCGTGCCGGTGGGACGAAAAGAGGCGCTCCAGCGCGTTCAGCCGGCGAGGACGCATGCACTCGACGCGGAACTCGGCGCGCGACGGGCGCACGGCCACTCCCAGGCGCTGCAGCAGCTGCAGCAGCTCCATGAACAGCTCGTCGGGCATGCGCGTCGTGAGCGCACTTTGGTCGACGGCGCCATTGTGCACGCTCAGACGCTTCTCCACGGCCGTGCGCGCTTCGAGCGAGGGCATGCCACTCCACGTGCGGTGCCGGCCCTCGAGACGCGCTTGCGCGAGGCGCTGGTGCTCGGTGCGCTCTTCGTCGATGCGCGTGCGCGATGTATCGAGCGATGCGCCACGCATAGCGAACGACTCGTCTGCCTCGCGTGGCGCACCGCTTAAGCGGCGCCACCACGCGCCCGAGCGGGGCGCCCCGTTCACCGGCGGGGCGAAGCGATCCGCGTCCGTGTCCAGGGACATGCGGCCGGGCGCGACGGGCGCCGAGACGGGCACGCGACGCTCAGGTACCTCGACCTCTGCCGCAGGCATCGACACAGGGCGGGGGCGCTGCTTGGTCGCAGGCTGCGGTCGAGCCGGTGCGGACGCATGGACCTTCGCCACGGGCGCCGAGGCCTCAACGACAGGTGCACCGAACTCGGGCGCAGCGAGCTCTGTGACGGGCGTAGGAGCCTTCGGCACAAGAGCCTCGGGTACAGACGCCGCAAAGACCGACGTAGGGGGCTCGCGCACGGGCGCCTCAAAGACAGGCGCAGGGACCTCGGGGAGCGGCGCCTCGGACACGGGGGCCGCAAGGACAGGCGTCGTGTCCTCGCGTGTAGGGGCCTCGACGACAGGCGCAGGGACCTCGGGGAGCGGCGCCTCAAAGACAGGCGCAGGGACCTCAGACGCGGGGGCCTCGGAGGCAGAGGTGTAGGCAACGGGCATCTTGCTCGGCACTAGCGGCTCTGCCTTGGCCTTGGATGCCCTGTCCGACTCCTTGCTTAGGGCCTCGGGGACCGGGTCGGCCTTGCCGATGGATGTCTTGCGGGGACGCGTGTCGCCGAGGCGCTGCGGCAGAAACGACGTAAGACTGAGCGGCTCCTGTCCAAAGGTGGTCGGCGTCTCACGCTTGAGTGCCGACACGGGCGCCAGCATCGGGACGCCGGTCGCATTGTATGAGAGCGCGGGCGCCAGCTTTGCGTCGGCACGCGGCGAGGCACGGCGCATCGCCGCCTCCTTGGCGCGCGCCGGTGCTTCGGTCGCGATGCGCGTCTTGGCCATCGAGCGTGGCTGTACATCGTCCACCTCGCTCTTGCGCTTGGTGGCCGTTTCGAGCGGCGTCGACGACAGCAACGACGTCATCCATGTCTCGGACAGCGGGGGGTACGCCTCTCTGCCGGAGAGCGCCGGCGCGGTGGCCGAGTAGGGCAGCATCGGCGCTGGCGGCAGAGGCACGTCGGGCAGTGGCAGCGCGGGCAGCTCGCTGGACGTGTCGGAAGGCGGTTGCGTGACAGGCGCGGCAGAGACCTGCGGCGACGCTGGCTTGGGCTGCGCTGGCTCTGGCTGCACTTGCGCTGGCTCGGGCTGTGCCGACTCTGGCTTGGGCTGCGCTGGCTCGGGCTGTGCCGACTCTGGCTTGGGCTGCGCTGGCTCGGGCTGTGCCGACTCTGGCTTGGGCTGCGCTGGCTCGGGCTGTACCTGCGCTGGCTCGGGTTGCACCGACACTGGCTCGGGCTGCGCCACCGCCTCGGGCTGCGCCACCGCCTCGGGCTGGACGACGGGCGTCTCGACCGTCTCCGGCGCTGCCCGCTCGTCAACGACCGTCTCCGAGGTCGAGAGACCCGAGTCAGGGCGTGCATCGTCCCCGAGCGAGCTGGCCGTCGCGGACGTAGGGAGGGTGTCTGCAGACAGCGGCTGGCTCGTCGCGACCGGAAGCGCGGCAGCTTGCTGCTGCTCAAGCAGCTTCTGCTGGTAGAGCATCTGGTCGCGGTAGGCCTGGCGCTTCTTGGCCTGCTGCTCGATCGCCGCGCTCTCGAGCTCCTCGACCGAGAAGCGGAACAGGTCGCGGTACGGCGCAAGCCAGGGATGCGCCATGACCTCGTCGAGGGTGGCGCGGTGCGCCGGGTCGGGGACGAGCATGCGCAGGAGGAGCGAGCGCGGCTCCTCGCCCACATAGTCGGGGAATGTGAGGGGCGTGGCCATAATGTACTTGTAGAGCATGTTGATGTTGTCGCCGTCGGGGTTCGCGGGGTCGTCGTCAAACGGCAAATAGCCTGCGAGCATCGCGTAGAGAATGACACCGCACGACCACACGTCGACGGCGGCGCCGACGTACAGGCCGTCCTGCACGACGAGCTCGGGCGCCGCATAGCACGGGCTGCCGCAGCTCGTGGCCATCAGGTCGTTCTCGCGCGAGCTAAAGTCGTTCGCAAAGCCAAAGTCGGTGATGATCACATTGCGGTGGCGATCCAGGAGCAGGTTCTCGAGCTTCAGGTCGCGGTGGATGATCTTCTTGCGGTGCAGGTACGACACGCCCGAGATAAGCTGCGCAAACAGGCGGCACGCATCGCGCTCCTGGAGGCACTTGTGCGCGAGAATGTAGTCGAAGAGCTCGCCGCCCGCGCCGTACTCGAGCACGATGCCGATGTAGCGCTCCGACTCGATGACCTCGTACAGGTGCACGATGTTCGGGTGGCGCAGCTCCCGCAGCACGCGGATCTCGCGCTCGACCTTGCTCATCTTGGAGCCCTCGGCGTGCTCCTCGGCCTCCGCGGCCGCGACCTTCTCGCGCTTGATGAGCTTGATCGCAGTCTCTTCGCCATACGTGCGGTGCACACCAAGCTTGACCTTGCCGAATTCGCCCTCACCCAGCGTCTGCAGCAGCAGGTAGTCGCCAAAGTACACCTGCGGCCGCCGCGGGTGCGCCGCAAAGTACGAGAGCGCGGTCGGCGACGCCAGCGGCAGCGCGGGGCCGTCCGGCACCTCCAGCGTCGCGGCGGCGCGTGGCGTGCTCGCTTCGCGCGGCACAGACTCAGCCACCGTGGTCATCGTACAGGCACGGACAACCGGTGGGCAGAGATGGAAGAGGAACGATCGCGACGCTGCGCCGCGCCGCGGCCCCTCGAAACGGTTTGGGCATGCGGCTCCCTTGCTTCCTCCCATTTGCGTCCTCCGCTGTTACCTAATCAGGTTCTTCCACGCGGTCCCTCGCGACGAATCCGTCGAATCGCGCATATGCCCTCCACATAGCAACGTGACCTCCCTCCACGTCTCGGAGTCGTATGGTAGCGCCGCAGCGATGCGTGCGGTGCCGGCAGGCGGACGCGGCCCTCGCGGTGCGCGAGGCGGCGTACTGCCGCACATGCTATGCGCGCGTGTTCGATGGAAAGGTGCGCGCTAGTCTAGACCTTGCGCGCGGCGCTGTCCTGTGGCACAGCGTCGTGCGCTCGACGCCACAACGCACCACGCCGGCGCTCGCCGTGGCGTTCAGCGGGAGTCTGCACAGCTGCGTCCTCCTCCAGGCCGTGCACCGCCTCTTGCGCACGGCGCCCGGCGGCGCCGCCGGCCACGACGTGCCTGCGCGCGCGCCCGAGCAGGCGCGCCTCGATGTGATCTACGTCGACGACTCGTACCTCGTGCCGGGCGCGCCGGACCCGGGCCCGGCGGTCGCAGCGCGCGTCGCGGCGCTCGCGCCGGACGCGCACGTCGTGCGTGTGCCGCTCCACGCGGCCTTTGGCGCCGGCGACGAGGTCCCGGCGGCGCTCGCCACCGCGTGCGCCGACGGCCTCCGCCTGCGTGCGGCGCGGCGCGCGCCTGCCGCGGCCCTCGATGCACTCTTCGCAGCGCTGCAGCAGACGGCGTCGCGCAGCGACGCTGGGTCGGCGCGCACGCGCGTCGAGGACATGCGCGCGATCCTCGTGCACCGCGTCCTCCAGGCGACCGCGCAGGCGCGGCGGTGTGCGGCGCTGCTGTTCGCGCACGATGCAAGCGACACCGCCGCGCACACGCTCGCGGCGATCGCCAAGGGCGCCGGGCACAAGCTGCCGGTCACGGGCGCGGCGTCCCTGTGGGTCGACGACGTGCTCCATGTGCACCCGCTGCGCATGCACCTGCCGCAGGAAGTCGCGTTCTACGCGGCGGAGCATGGGATCGAGGCGGTGCCGCGGCCGACGCTCTTCCCGCCGCGCAGCGCTGCGCCGGCGGACGCCACGTACGATGCACTCGCCGACAAGACGAGCCTGGGCCGCCTCGCCGACTCGCTCGTCACCGCGCTGCAGCAGGGCGTGAGCAGCACGTCCAGCACGGTCGTCGGCACGCTGAGCAAGCTCGTGATGCAAGATACCCGCCTCGTGCCTGCGCCGTCGTCCGAGGACATGCCGCGCATGGGCGCCAAGGCCGTCGCACTCGTGCGCGCCGCGCAGGACGTGCCTGTGTGGGACGCGCACCGACGGCGCTCGTGCCCGGTGTGCCACGAGCCGGCGCAGGCCGGCGCCGCCGACTGGAAGGCCCGCACGACGATGGGCGCGGCGCCGCTCGCGGCGCCTGCGGACGACTCGCCGAACCTCGCGCACCGCGCGTGCTATGCGTGCCTGCAGGTGCTCGATGTGCCGCGCGGCACGACGCTGCCGCTCCCGGCCG